GCCCAGTTGACCACAAATAGTAACAAACTACGTCCGTAACTTAGTGGTAGGCCGAATATAAAATAGTTTCCGACAAGCGAAAGCTCGTTGCCGGCTCGTCTGTTATCCAAACAATGTTCGCGTCAAGTCAATGTCTGGCTTACCGCACTGTTTCGCCGGATTTACATTTAATTTTCCAATATTTTTTTTATTTGTACTGCTTTACCTTGGTATAAATAAATGAAGTTGGATATGAATTTTACTCTTTCCTGCTAATAGCTGTAGCTTTATCCCCGCACGTTACATCTATTTAGCTGGGCATTTTATTGTTAATATTTACATGTAAAAACTTTATTACAATTGGTTCTTTTTGTATTTTTTCTAGTAGTCGATAGGATTTGTATTTTACATCCTGGCTCAATATTAGGTATTGAGATAAACAGCCAAGTATTACTGATTACTTGATTATTATTTTAATTCCACTACAATTAGTATGCGTGAGACAACCAATATTTATTGCGAAGGATTGATCACAACTAGTAGAGGCCCGTGTACTTATCAGTACCATCGTGATTTTGGCACCAAACAATCAACACTAGGTTTCTGAGAGTTAAAAATAAATAATAAATTGAATGATTGAAAAGTGTTTATCTATCTGCCATAGCGTTATATCAATTACAAAGCTATTATTTTGAAATTTACACAAAGACACAAACTTTTAAAAAAATTAGTTTTTTTTTTTTGAAAGGATGATTTTAAATTGTTTTGAACAAAAGTTTATATAAGATATTATCTGAAAGAGATTCATTTACATAACAAAAATCAGTATTTTTGACGCATAGTTTTCAATTTATGATAGAAAATGTTACAAAATTTCAACCCCTTATTTCCAATGATTGTAAAGCTAAATAGTTACAGTTGATAAACGTTAAAAATACTTAAATACAAACTTTTTTTTCGGCTATACTTTTAAGGACAATTCTGGATTAAATGTAGGAAATCCTAATCTAATAATTTATAGCAAATTATACGTCATTAAATTCATTTTTGTATACAGAAAATATATCTCCTTAGGTACTACAATTAATTGAATCCATACACATCAAACAAAACAGTTCATATGAGTATAAGCAAAAGTTGAAATTAGATGGAGATGAACTCTACTATTTTTATCAGGAATCTCTTTTATATATATGTAAAACTTTAAATGGCAAACAAGCCGATATTTACCTCATGCACTGCCATCCCTGAGGAGTAACAAGATGTCATGCCTCAGTACCTAGTAATTTCATTGCCATGAAAGGTAAGAACCCTTGAAACCGAAACACCCCATGCGAACGAAACAGCTTAGCTACAGCAACACAAGTGAGATAGAAATACTCATGCTAACGACTTTGTACAACGTCTCCCTCTGGTAAAAGCTTACTAAGAACTTGCTTCTACAGGATATGTATTTTCCAAATTCGACGAAAATTTTGCTGTATCACACTCACTAAACAGTATTTTCCCTGCTTTGAATATAAAGCTCTCGGTGTTACGGTTTTGATTTATGGGGTGATACATTGCTCCAAGTATTGATCAATCAAATAAAAAATTGTATACGTAAAATGTTGTAATTCTGTTTTGCCAAAAGAAGCTTCGTGACTTTCGACACAAAGAAATTATCTATCTAAAAATCATTTAATGAACGGTCCAAATATGAATTTAAATTCAAAGTTTAAAATTTAATAAAAATAAAATAAACAAGCAAGCTCATGAGTATATTGTCTAATACGGTAGTCAGAGGCATTTTTCGATTGTGCCAAACTTTCGATATACCTATATTTCGCAGGACATATTAGAATCAAATATAAAACAGATGAGTTTACTGCGTATTTCCCTCTTTGAACAGATGGTCCAAAATTTACAGATCAAGACAAAATTTTAAATTTAATCAAATTAAATAAATATGTAATTATTTCTTATAATCCTTATAAAAAGATAAAATTTATTTGTATGGTAGCAAAAAGTGGCAATATTTTTATTTAGAATGGATCATATCTATTACTTATTTAAGTTTATTATTTTAAATATGGGCGGTTAAATAAATTTCTTTATCCTTTTATTTAAACGGTATTGAAACAATAGACTTGGAGTTTAAAAATACAAGTGTAATTTATAATCTAGGTATTTACTCAAAACCTTCCAAAAAAAATAACAACTGACAATATTGTGTAAGAATTACAGAAATGAATAAACAAATTTATTCCGTACAAAATAATATAAAACTCATTAAAAGATCGGTTGTAAATCTCCAGGAACTTGATGAGTTTGCGGAAATAAAATATTTACCTATTTAGATATTCGTAGAAGGAAGCAAACGAATAGGTACGCATATAGTCAGCTATAAATAACCAAATTATTTGAATTGAACCATAATGACGTTTATTTATTTATATCTAGTTATTTCTTGTGGCTTTACTCGCGAATCAGTACATAAAGTTACCTGGTTTAAGTCAACATATAAGCTACATATGTACATATAGCATTATATCTAATTATCATTCAAATACTACGTAAAGCTGTTTAATATCTTTACAAACTTTCATAATTATGACAGTAACTTATTCATAGATTTAAATTCTTATTATTATTATAATCATCATCATATCAGCCTTTAACTGTCCACTGCTGGAGATAAGCCTCCCCCTTGAGGGGTTTTGCCAGTAGTTGTCACGCTTGGCAGGCAGATTGACAACCGCAGTCAGGCTTTTAGAGATATTTTAAGAGGGACGCTGCTGCACATCCCTCGCCCTCCCTTAGTCGTTTCTTTAGACACCCACAAGAAAGGAAGGGGTAGCCTATTATATGCCGGGACTACACGGCCATATTATTATCATAACTATAATTATTATTTTGAGTAATGTTCTAAGAGTTCGAATAATCTTTTTTTTTTTAATTCGATATATCATGTAATTCGAAAGTCACTCATTTTAGATGACTATGAAATAACCTATGGTATTAAAACAGAATCAATCTAAAATTTATATATAAAAAGCACAGATTATACTCGTACCAATGATATTAGCTTGGATAATTGTTATTGTCTACTTTCTAGATTGTTTAACTTGCTTATCAAACTTCTAATTATATGTTCGTTTTATAAAAAAATATACCTGAAATTGATATTCAGAGTTTTTCTCTCTGAAAATGTTAATAAACTACAGTTAGTATAACTACTACTAAAAGCTTCAATTTATATTTAGATTAGTTAAAAAAATGATTCACGTCACATGGAGTTCTTTGAAAATGATGACTCTAACGCACAACAATGTCCGGTAAATCTTAAATTAAACTCGGCTACGTCCATTTATCTATCTATGTCGTCCTATACCTAATAATTTTTACTATGAGACTTAATATTAATATACTTTAACATATTTTTCATTCGAGTGCATTAATTAAACCCTGTCTATATTGAGTCGAACAATGCAGTATGTTCTTTTAGAACTTTTGTGTGTGCCTATTTGTGAGCTTCTAATAATGACAACTTAAACTAAATAAGACTGAAATGAATTGGTATTTTTTTTTTTATTATTTAATCGTCTGACTTTATTTGTAGGTAAATCAGAATTTGTAACAACTACCATATTTATTTTATTAATCATATTATTTTCAAAATATCTCGCTCGCAGTCAAACGCAAGACACCGAACGCCCTTCGAAGAACACTTCCGGATGAAGCCGAAACAGTTGTCGGAAACGACAAAAACAGAGCGATTAATTTCCCGTTTTATATGTATATGAATACCGTATAAACGTCGATTTTCGCATGTTTATCTTTTCTGTTCCGCATCGTGCAATACGGGGTATGTTAGCGGGTAACCGCACACGACGTTACCCGATCTCACTCTTAGGATGCCTGCGGAGAAAGCCCACTGGATCTGACATAGGTTCTATAACTGGTTTAACGTGTACGCTGACACACATTTTGTCCCTCGCTTTTGATCTTTTGTGCTCTATTGGTTGTGCGATTTTCTTCAAAGAACTTTATAAGATTGCTAGATACACATCAAGTTAGTATATAAGAATCTATACACATATTTTTTTTTATTTGTATTTATTTTATTTTGTATTCAAACTTTTAATGGACTTTTTAATGACTAAATAATCGATTACAATTAATCCCAACGAATTTCTCTTTTACTTACTATACATTCAATTGTAATAACAGTATTTTGACAATTCAGAGATGTAAGAATCACCATTAGCTAATGAATACTTCTTCTACTGATTATCTGGAGAAAACTCCAGACATTATATGGTGCAAGAAATTTGATGTGTATGTTAGATGTTTTCTCGTGTTTAGAAAAGACGTAAAGATGTCAATCGTCATCGCATAATCTATTTCATCGTCGTCAATTTTGTAACTATGAAATTATAATAATGATGCTTGATTTTAAAACAAGATTACTCTTGTTCTTGATTCTTTGTTGATGATTATTGCTGTTCTATTTCACAGTGCTCACTTTCAAAATGATTAATTATCTGAATGACACGAAAAATTTGACAAGTTTAAATAAAAAAGCATTTTCTCCAAAATGGCATCTTCTACTGTTCCTATTTCCTCCTATTCATCCTCAATTATAATACCTATTGTCAATATGATATTAAAATTAATAATGAAGGGATTTCATTCCAAACACTTTATTTTAAAAATAGCAATATGAATAAATAAATGAACTTTAACTATACCTATATAACTTTTTTAAAGCTTTCCCAATTAATCGGCCACTAGTCGGTGCATTTCTAGTACCAAGTCAAATAAATATGTTCGGCAAATTGTAGGCAAATCGTGTGTTAGACATGCATCATAGTTCAAATGCTAACACCATATTTTGACTCTAAAAGCATCTGAGATTGCCCCCAAATGGTACTACTCTATCTTGAAACGTCCCAGAGGTAATTAAGGCTTCATTTGGAATGCCACTAGTGTATTTCATTAATAATCTCTTGCTATAAATTAATAAAAAATCTACTTACCATGGTATCAACTCTTTGTTTTCTTCTAGACCAGAAGGAGTAGCCAAAGTGTCAGCATCGCCCTCCGTCCTGCCTCCCGGGTGTTCAGGAATCACTCGTTCGATTGTCGTCACCTCTTCGATATCAGAATCGATTCCTTGAGCGAAATCCATATAAAACGACTCCCGAGAATCGCTGGAACCGCGGCGCAACTTTAATGACAGATCTGGTGAGCTGTCATCCATTTTGCAAACACCAATTTAGCACTCAATACATAGTAAGCCTATACACGTCTCAAATCAGATTCATTTTCGCTAAGTCATTTTAAAAGTCCATGTAGCAATATAAAATTAACCCATCGTATAGCTAGAAACCAATACAAATATTAAATCATGAAAACACGAATTAGTAATTCATGGGCATCATCGTGTTCCTTTTTAATTTAAAGACTAGCATAGTGGTCCGTATAACTGAGGACAACGATTGTGCAAGATAAAATTCAAGCTCCAATAGAGAACTGATTAGGTGGCTCAAAGTGTTAGAATAAGTTCTTATCAAAAGAAAAATGCTTTTATTTTGATCAAAGAACGAGGCCAGCATCAAAAAACGTAGATTACTATCTATTTAGGGATGCTCTACAAGCCAAAACCCAACAAATACATATATAATACTATAGATATAAAATTGTACAGTCACATGCAAAGTTGCTTTTATTAAAAAAGAAAAAATATTAACATGTAGATATTTAGCCATTTACTAGATACTGTAGTTGTACTGGCTTTTTGATTAGTACCTACTGGTACTTTGTAACAGTAAATATCTATTTCAAAAATAAAAACTTAATTAGTGGATGTGACAAACTTAAAACATTGTTAACTTCGTCACATTTACTAATAGGGAGCATTTAAGATATGAACTATCAATAAAATTCCATATCGTTGATACCTACTTTTACGAATTAATTATAACTATTCTATATTATTCAGCTACGTATGTAACTAATAAATATATTTAATTAACTTGAAATGATGCGAAACGTAAACGGATGTGACATTGTAACAAAAACCACTACTCCCGAACAATACCAATTTATCTTGGCGCGTAACAAAAAACGCTTTGAAGTGAAAAAGAACAATGACCTGTGAACAGTTAATAGTAACCTTCCCTAAAATCGACACGGCTTGCTGCGACCGTTCGGCCGGGGCGTTAATAACTGGGAGCGCGCACCACGCACACGCTGACATTAGTAGGAGCCTCCACCTCTATATACAGTTAAATTCAATTATATATATACAGGAGGGAAGAGAATTGTTAGTAATAGATACTAGCTGCTTCATTGCTATCAATATAGGGTCAGATCGACCTCTACGTGGTCCCTCTGGAAACAATTGTGATTAATTCCTGATGAATATGAATGTTAACATTGTCACTGACAATAGATTAGATTGAAATTGATATTGAAATTAGAGTCAAGAGTAGACCAGCAGATCTAACTACATCCGCACCTATCATCAATGATATCCCGCTAGCATAAACTAATAGTGCAGACGGGGTTACCATATCATTTTCATCGAGTTAAATATTTCCTTACCTACCTACACAACTCAATAGTATATTTAGTATGTTATTGTGATTTTCTTAATTTCGCTTTTTTTATACTATTTCTATATCAGCCACGTTCACAGACTAAAAACTCTTTATTATGGCAAATAATTTAGACGTTTCCGTTTCATGTAGGTATTTTTTAATTATACGATTACATAAACATTCTTATTACTTATTATTGACAAATTTTGTATTTCTTGCCTCTACTATCTCCAACCACATTAGATACAATAATAAATCTATCACAGTGAATACGTGTATCATGTAAAAACTGACTTACGTAAGTTGGCAAGTAAATTTCTACATGATATTCAATTTATATATATATTCATTTTTATATATAAGGTTTAAGATCTTTTCAGTAGCACATCTAAATTAAGACTAACCACAAATAATGACACCTCACAGTACTATATACATCTACTGAATAATGTCTTAAGTCACCCGTTATGTTTAGTCCGACTTAAGGCGCCGAAATCCGGTACGAGACCCTTATAAGACCGTATTTGTCAACGCTGCGCCTTGTGAATACAAACCAAAAGAGAGTAAGACAGAGGATTAATAAGCTTTACACTTAAACTAACTCATAGTTTAAGTGTCAAAATCTGTTTCTTTGAGGCAAGATTATCCTTAATTATGTAAAAATTTACAATCTCTGTCCTATGGAAATAAGTGTATACTGACACTGATATACTAAAACCTAATAGAATGAATACATTCAGCATGTCGATACCAATTATAATTTACATTTAATAAACATAACATCCGAGACAGGCATACGTTTTACATAACATGACCAATAATGATAAAACTCTGCCGAATAACATTAATATTAATACCACATCCGTGAGCGATATTAATCGCCGCCAGTCCCTCGGGAACAACAATAATGCCCATGAACAAACATATTCATTCGCACACGGCTGACAATCGGGATATTCCTATGCTAGACACGCTTTGCACCGGGGAACGCGTATTGACATGGAATAATTCAACGAAATCACTCACACACTGGTATATTTGTAGTAGAGTAAGCACGTGCGTGGTACAGGAACACGACGGGCGACAGCGGCGCCCTCCCGCGGCGGAGGTTGGCGCGCGATTGCCGCGAGGTTCGGAACGCAGCGCGGCCACGCGGGAAGGGCGGGGGATGCACCCTCCGACGGCACGGGATCAATCTGACGGTCGCCGGGACCCGGTAGCAGAGGGCCACAATATTTGGGATACAATGCCATTGACATTAATGTCCGGAAACACAAAAAATTAACGATGTCACTTGTGTCTTAAGGTTATTGGAGAAATAAAACAGCAGTATTAGTAATAGTCTAAATATGCTTTATAACACACATTATATCATAAAATAAATCAGATTATACTTACTTACAATGTACAAATTTATATCACAATACTTTCTAGTCTTTATAATTAACGCAACCCATTCACTTCATGAAGTAATTGATATCAATTTAAATAATAAAAGTAATGAATTTTTCGTGTATTTTTAATGGGTGCATTGCATTACATAATCTTTGATAACATATAACGTATGTTTATGAAATAGCAATTGTCCATTACACTTTACCTCAGCACTGCCTGTATTAATTTTAAAGCGTTTTTATTAGTAGTTTATTATCATCCTACTGTCAATACTCTTTATAACACCAGTTAAATCATGTACAAAAACAAAACTTGTAAACTACGTCCTTTCAAATAAAATTAATTAATATTAGGAAAAAAAAGGATAGGTAAGTTTATTGTGACTTGGTTTAACTACTGTATCTCCAAATAACCTAGTCTACAATTGTATGCAGACTTTGTAATGTGTGGACGTAATAAAAAAATGTATGTATAACGCAGTCTAACAGATTCATTAGAAATCAAATTACTGTATTTCACAAAACATAAAAATTAGGATCACAGAATATAGCGCCATCTATATACTTTTAATTTCAAGCTTCATATTTGAGCTTCAACGAACAATACAAAATAGATGCTGACGGTTTTTATAATTATAGAATACTTTTATAATTTATCGTAACAAGTCACGGCACGAAATGAATGTATAAGAATTTCCATAAACATGACATAGTCACGGTAAATTAGACGTCTCCATACAACTGCAAACATTTTACTCCCTTACCATAACGATTTGCGCATTTAATCAAACAGCTTGACAATCAAAGGACGCCTTTAATCCTTCAAAACAACTAGCCGAAAATGTCAAAGAATGCAAAGTGGCTAATAAAAAAAACAATTACTCCATAGAGATTAGGTGATTATTGTTTTAGCCACCAAATAAATCGGACGTGCTTAACTAACACTGCAGCTTTGACTATTGGCCAAGTGATATGGTTGCTGTAATAATTATATAGAATTAGATTTATTTGACAGCACAAATAATACACCACATAAAACTTAAATCAACATTATTAATTTAAAAGATAATAAACTAATTACGTATTAAAAGTCGTCAAATTATTGATTGGTGGCTGTCAAAATAAATGTTGACATAATTTTCATTTTAATGGACAAGGAATTAACATGAAATAGCAGTTATTTATCATTATATATATATTTTTTTATACCAAATGAACATAAAATATAATTTATTTGAATTATCAACATTATTTAAAGCGTGCAATAACAATGCGTCTTCGTGATTTACTAAAATTAAAATAACTATACATTAAAATAGAAAACACAAATACTGTAAACAGGTATATTATTATTTTGTTTATTTTTTCTTTTGTTTATAAATAGGAAAAACTTATTAAAACTGTATCTATTGGGTCGCTAATAATAAAAATAGTATACATACAGATTCCTAAGTCTATTTTTCTTTAGTATTCATATATGTAATTTAATAAGTTGCAGATATGTCAATTGTTAAAACCTGAAATTTCACATGCTATGCAAAAATAACAAATATTAAGGGAACCCCCAACACCATCTCCATAATTATAATTTTTTTTAATTCAAAATCGAAGCCAGGGCTTCGATTTAAAACTCAAGAATAATAAATTTAAGAATCAATTGTTATACAACAACTAAAATCGTAGTCAGAGAGCTGATAGTGAACTCGACGAGGAATTTGACAAAAAATATACAAATATAATGAATATAATACTTAGTTGATTATATCAGTATAGATTTGGTTTTAATTTTTATATTAACAACAACTACGACTTCTGATTATTATTCGTATCTTCGTTTGTTCTTTGTTGTAATTTTGATACGTAGTTTGTATATCTATTGCTCTTATAAATATAATAATAATAAATCTTTTTTTTTATTATAAATGAATACAGGCCAGGTTTCCATGTTATCAACTTTCAGAAACGATACATGATCATTATAAGTGGCAAATAAATTGTATGGATGCTCATAAGAAAGATGAGACACCAGACTTTGCTGTTCCATTCTGGCTCGTTCTGTTTTTATCAAATACATTGTCAAAATTTCCTATCAGCTCTTGGATAATAATAATTTTACTATCTATATTTTATGGAATCATAGATTGTAATCGTTACACTTTACAAGAGTACAATCATAGTCGTCTTATAAAAGATGCAAAAACATGAACAGCCAAAACCATAGAATAACAAGCATAATTAGGTAACAAATTTAAAAAAAAAAGAATCTGACCACTATATTGTGAAAATTAATATAGGACAGACACGGAAGGAAATAATTAAAAAGAAATCTATTAAAAAACAATTATTTAAATCAATTCAAAACTGACATCCAATTTTTTTTTGCTTACATTAGTCATTATACTAGGATTATTGTATTTGATTCCGCCATTACATGCATACTTAACCAAACATTCTTGAAAAAATCTACCCTCATCAGTAGAATCCCAATGTGTTCGCTTAATACATACTCTGTAAATAGCTTTATAGCGACTAGTATTATTCAAGTAAGTATGTACACATTCCCTTTTACTATAAACAAGTCATCATCAGTCACATATTAAGTGGTCAGATCAATAAACAATACACTACTTTATTCATTAAAACTATAATAATCCATAAAGGTTTTAACTAAGGTTTTAATTTTAACTGTCAACGTGTTTCATTACTGGTCTTACATTATTTTAAAAAAAAATTAATAATGTAAAATGTATTATAATACGAAACTCATTTAAAAACCCTAAGATACTATTAAATTTAATGTTTTATTTAGTTTAGATAAACTACTCGTATGTACAAAAGACTAGCCACTATAAATGACTATTAACCTCAAATATTTGTAATGTAAATAAAGATATTGCCCCACAGAAAACACCTACTTTATTCGAGACTTAGTGATAAAATTAATATTGAATGGACACGAGTGACAGTATCGATTGAAAAAAGAAATATCAATATAAATTTAGAGTTTTCCAAAGATATCGCGTAACATACTCATATAAAATAAAAAACAAGAGAACCTCCTTCATTTTGAAGTAGCTTAAAAATTACATTCCTTAGGTAAACATATTTCCACACTGCAATGTTACATCTTAAAATATTTACAGAATACTTCTGAACATTTATGCACTTGGTAGAATACTCGCCCTAAGAGAACACGATGGGTTTAACTCAAAATGTTGGTTTCGATTTTTACTAATGATAGCAAGTCGTCATAACGAAATAAATATTTCGTAGTGATAACTCACTATCATCGAAATATTTATAGTCGAAAGTACTTGCATCAATAGAAGTTTGAAAAAACATCCAATAATAAGTATGGATTTATGCAATATAACAGCTACAATCAAATATATTATTGCTAACAATTATAATTGTATAGTCCTTGAAGGAGTTTCCTAGAGCGTACTACATTAAAATGCTTCAAATTTACGACTCATGCGAAATATATATTAGTAATGAAGTAATTATATTAATCCTATTAATATTTTGAATGTTTTAGTTTGCAAAGATGTTTGGATGTATTGATCAATCAATCATGTTTAAACAGCTGGATAGATTTTAAATGAAATTTATTACTTAGGTAAGTTATATCCTAACACTTCGGGTACTTTATATACTGATGCAAGCGGGCAATGCCGCGGTATAAGATAGTATTATATTTTGTAAGATTATTATTGAATTAAATAATATTGTAATATTATGCTTGCTATTCTACGATTTATAAAACAAGGTTACGATAATAATATGTAAGTACTAGCAATTTTAACCGACACAGGACTTCCACGCCAGGCCGCCACATGCCATTGCGCCAATTAAATAGACGGCGAGAGCTGCTACGACTGCTATAATCACGTACATTTTCACGTTTTTCCAAAATAGAGAGCGTTGGAGGGTTCTCGATGTGCATTGATAAGTAACAGACTGTAAGTAAAAAAAAATAAAACAATGTTATAATAAAATTTAAAAATCAATATCTAATCACAAATATCTTACAATTTGCAGTATTTATATATTTCCTTAATTTCTGCTCGAATAATTATATTCAAAAATTAAAAATTACTCACAGTAAACTCTAATAATATCTTTTTAAAAAGCCGATCGATATATCGATCGGTATTGTTGATGGTCGAAACCAATAACACTTGGTAAAATTTTGAATAAGTATAACTTTATGTTCGTTTAATATATTTAATGTATTCCACAATTTCATGTTTATATTATATAAGTACTTGACAGTTTCATTTTATTGCATTCTAAAAGTCATTCCCTTAAGACAAACCCCATAAAATATAGAAATAAAATACACTGTCCCACTCCAGAACCCTAAAAAGGACTCTCACGAAACCTACCCTATGTATATAGAACCTTTTTGAATGGCTACCTGCCACTAAAACCGAATCCTTAAAGGGCAGAGTCAATAGAAAACTGTTATGAAATCAATTCAACTAGTCTGCTTACAAATAAACCATTATTAAACCATTATTAACTTACATTAGTTGCCAAATTATCTGCTTTGTCTACCAGCAACTCCAGTTTTTCACCACGCATTGCCATACTCTCTACAAACAGAAAATCAAACAAAATCTTTAAGCATATGATATATGTATGTGTATAAGAACTTACTAATAACTGTGAGTACAGAATTATAAGTTTTCAATAGTAATAATAACTACATAATCAATCTACACTAATATTATAAAGAGGAAAGATTTGTATTTTTGTGTGTATGTATGTTTGTAATGAATAAACTCAAAAACTATTTTGCTGATTTTAAAAATTCTTTCATCATTAGAAAGCTACATTCACCCTGAGTAACATAGGCTATATTTATTGCTAGAAAAGATTAGGGATCCTTACTAAAACTTTAGTAATGTAACTCAAGGTGTAAAAAAATGCCTTAAAATATCTTTCATTGTGTGCGCTGAAGAAACTATTGATGATAGAACAAAACTATGTTCTACAATATTGAAGAAAATATCAATAACTACAAAAAACTTGTGATATTAAATCTCTAACTATTATCGTTGTCACAATAAACATTTTTTAAAATGGTGTAAAATTATCCACCCATTCAAAGCAGGGACAGGTCGATAGTGTTAAATATAGTTATATAACAACAATTTTAAATTTATGTAAGCTATAAATAGCTACATTTAAGATAAGGCAGCTTTACTATCAATTAAAATTTACTGTTATTTTTTTAGATAAAATTAATTATTAATAAATATTTATTGTTAATTTTTACCCACAACTTCAGCATAATAGCCAAGGTATGCCAATTGACTGGGATAAAAAGTAGCCTGTCCTTTTCAAATACTAAGTGTATATCAAATTTCAGGATCATAATTAAAATGTTAAGATACCAAGAGGTAACAAACAAACTCACTTATATTTGTAATATAATTATGGATTAATTTTTAGCTGCATCTTTGTCCACATAAAAAGAGATATTAATTGACTGGCAGAAAAAATGAAGTGTTTTTCTCTGTTCCAAATAGCTACTGTGTGTATATAAAATTTTATGGCAATTGGTTAAGCTATTAAGATGCCAAGAAATAACAAACAAACTCATTCATATTAACAATAGTAATATATATATATATATATATAATAAACATATTCTTCCTTCGTAAGTACAGTGACCATGTTATTTACCATTAATAAAAATAAAAACTATAGTGAATGTAATATGTATATAATGTCGAGCAATGACATATATGAAAGCATGCAACTTCAACAAAACAGGAAGATAAGGCAAAGATAAGCCAATGGTTGACACATAAATTAGTTATCAATACCAGATGTTTATTTATTAATTATTAATATTATGATAAATTCAGAAGTTATATAAAGCTATACAAGTTTTAATAAATAATACTAAATTAATATTATATATATATATATATATATATAAGACTACCAACCTACCTGCTAAATGTGGCAACCACTACAAAATCATTTCAGTTTTTAAACAATTCATCAATGGCCAGTTAATAACTAATACAGTATATATAAAAATAATAGCTCTTTTAAACATATTGTGTAAAAGTTACACTTAATAAGAACTTAAAAAAATGTTTTTGTTATGGAAGATGTTTGTTATATATTTGTAATAATCATATTTAAATGGCTGAATAGATTTAAAAAAAATTAGTACATAGAAAGATCATATTAAGGTATAATAACGCATTGGCTATGTTATATACTGATTTATGTGGGTAGAATCAAGGGAAACAGTAATACATAATGAAACCAAACTTGGTTAATAGTAAAAAATAATATCCAAAAAATATACCTATATATTATTTTACATGTTTACCCTGAGAAAAGCAACATTATAAGCTGAATAATTATATTTATTTAGAATATCTTTACAGTAATTTACTAACCAACATTTTTAACCATAATATCCTTCAACTCATCCAATTCTCCGTGCACTTTTGATATGGCATCTAAGTCCCTCGACTCAGTGTAATGTTTCATTTCAGTAGCTAGGACTCTGGCAAACTCTCCATTCATAGCATATGGAATTGCAGTCTGTGCAGTATCTCCAAAGGCTGCGATAAACCGCCGCTTAATCTCATTAAGGAAAAGGAATGCTCTAGACCGTTGAAATTTCTGCAAACATACAATAAAAATGAGAAGTCATTCTAAAAGCCAAAAATAATGAAACAGTTTTGTAGTCAATATAGGTACTCACATCATCCGTAATACAAAAATATACCAATTTATTTTCAGCGATGTAGTGAAATAGATAATTTCCATGGGAATAAGTCAATTTATCATCATGGGGTGCGATCTTCGATAATATTTGTTCGGTAACTACAGTAAAATTGCCTTCACATGTAGCATATTTAGCTAGAACAATAGTACCTCGCGCTACCACGCTAAATAATATAGGCATTTTGGTAAATGAAAATAAAAACAAAGGAGAGGAATTAAGTTAAAACAACACTGTCACAATAACAGTTTCGAATCACAATATTAATATGAATAATAGGAAATCACAATATGGTTAGAATACTGAACATGCAAATTTAATTTGTATTCTACTTGTACTAAATTATAAATCAGAAGTTTAATGAAAACGAAGCAGAATCGACAGTCACTATAAAATTACTGATAAAAACAAGGGTGGTCGTCTGAGGGGCGAAGGGGAGGTTGATCAGTGTCAGTCTGTCAGTCATTTGTATTTATTTAAAATATTGGTTTAGTTACTTGACCTTTAATTAGACAAGAATGTTGGTACCAAAGAAGAATTGAAGAATAATTTTATGAGTAAAATCAAAATCAGCAGCTTTATTGGCACGATAATTGTGCCTTGGGTAATATAATAATTTAATCGGGTATTACTAGAAAAATAACTAGCTATATAAATAGATGCTATTAAATATTATTATTTTGGTGAAATGAAATTTTTGGAATTTTTTTTTGAAGAAAAGTATAGTAGGTTTGGAAATATTTAGATAATTTTTGGACAGTTTTGGTACTTATAAATTGTGTAAATATTGAAACAGTAAAACTTGAATGTAGGTAGCAAATCAGAGAATAGAATAATAAAGAAGAGGGTAAAATAAGCTAAAATTAGAAATAAGAAGGAATAGATTTTATTGTTTCGTTATTCACTTTATGGCAAATGGCAAAATGTAATAAAAAATGGTAAAAAACTTTGTGATGATTTTCAAATTATATCAATTTGGAGAAAAATATTTGACATTGAGTTAAAAACCAAAATTCGTATCTGGTAACCCCGCGAGATTATTCAAAGATTTTGGAATAAACCTAAGCACAAGAATTACATAGAATGATAAAATAAAAACTGCAAATCATATGATTGCCTCCTTTCTTCTTTTTTTTTCGTACCGATATTGCTGTTGGCCGCAGATGGCCTTCACAGCTTCACCGAGCGCATATGCACCGGTGAGTGCAGAAGGCACTCCAAGCCCGCGAGAAGAGAGCCACGTTAGGCGTCAGCTCTTTCAGATGGACTGCGGTGTTTGCGCCCGAGGGTACCCTAGTGGCTCGAACCTCGACTCAGGCCACCGCACTTCGGCCCCCATCAGGAAAGATACATTATTTTTGCCAATTCATAGCAGACTAGTGTATGAAAACGTTATACAGCCCTATAACCCTACCAAATTCAGATACAACCTGCTTGCATACTTTCTACATAAACTGTGTCGAATATATAATCTAGTATCACTGGCGTGACATGACGCTGGCAGATATGGTCGTAAAAATAGCGACCGATTGCCATCAACGAAAAGAAGAAGAAGATCACTAGCGTGTTATGAATTGACAATTTTGTCACTCCTATATAATTCCGTGTTCTTAGGTTTCTTACCAAATTCAGATACAACCTGTTTGTATACTTTCTACACAAACTGTTGAATATACATATAATCTATTAATGTAAATGAACAAAAACACACACATTTTCTTTATTCTAAAGCTGAATGAATGAAACGTTGTACATAAAGATTTAAATCTGAAGAAGAAGTAATTAATCACATATTGGCGGTATTAATTTATTCAATGAAATCATTGCATTAAAATTGTATTTTGCAGAAAACTAGTCTAATGATATATAAACCCTATTATAATATCTTTTTACCAATGACTTAATCTTTTTTACTCCCAATTCTTGATTATGCCGATCTTGTTATCTGGATCTTACGGAAGACCAGCTTAACAAACTTCAACGTTTTCAAAATGTGTTTATCAGGTTTATTTTCGGTCTTAGAAAATATGATCACATTACCCAGTTGGCTTCCTATTCGTTTTCGCCGGAGTTCTCACATTCTTTCACTGCTCAACAACCTTCCTTTTTAACTCTTCTTCCCTTCGCTATCTGAAGGAGCAGTTTGATTTTCTACATTCCGTCAATTCTTTTAATCTAAAGTCTTTTGAGGGCTCCAGCTGAAGACTCCAGTACATATTTCTAGTTTTTATGACAAATCATTCACGGTGCAAGCTGTACGGCTATGAAATAGTTTACCAGTTTCTATACGAAATATAAAATGTCTCCAGTTTTAAAATAAAACATAAGGATGATTATTTGAGCAAGTTGTTACCTTCTTAATTTGTTTATTTGTCGGGTTAGCATACTCATTTCTTCAGATATCTAAAAATTTCATAACTTTGTGTTTTACATATAAATGTGAGCAGTATTTATATATTTTCACGTATTTGTGTAGATGTTTATATGCATGTATGTATTTATATATGTTTATAATTACTCCTTTCTATCCAAAGGTTGCCTGAAAGAGATCGCTTTTAGTGATAAAGTCGCCCATTGTTTTCTCATTGTGATTATTTCTTGTAATTGTTTATATCCAGTAAAAGTTTATTGTTGTAATCTTTTGGAGGAAACAATAATGAGTATCTATTACTACTACTTAATTTCAACATTTCTGAACACATAATAGCATTAAGAATATTATCTAAGTACACTATCCGTTTCAGTTACATTCGGTGTTTTCGAAATTAAAAATTATCAGAAGCTATTTAAAATCAACAATGCTTCAGAGAAGACTAAGTTAATTAGTTATAGTTGATTTGAACATGAAATTTTAAACTGGATACAAAAATGTTTATAGATTTCGCAAATGGAAAGGCAAGAGTTAAATTTTTGTAGATAAATATTTAGGTATATAGTTTTAAACATCAGTAAACAAAAATAATTAATGAAAGTAAATGTTTTATCTTTGTTATTTTTTTTTTCCACCATAATGAGAAAATATTAATTAATCATTCTCTTGACAAAACTCATAGTAAGTAGTCGTAGAGTGGCATAACTGGTATTGCACGCGAGTGACGAAACAACTAACGGCGGCCCTGTATTAACTGAATAAATAAATAAATAGTGATATGATAATTTATTAAATCACTATTTAGATTACTTCATCTGGCCATCACCTGCCCATTACTGAACATAGACCTCCTCCGTAGACTGCCCTAAAGAACGGTCCTGCGCCATCTGCATCCATTGACTCCCTGCAATACATTCGAGATTGTCACTCGATCTAGTAGGGGGTCGTTCTACACTACATCAGTTGTCAGTTCTTTAACAGTAAAATAAGTAGATATGACATAATACATTATTACCCAGTATTTCACTTACTCTTAGTAAATCACTACTTACAATACATATACTTAAAAAGGCTTTAAATTACTATAATACCTTAGTTTTCAGTAAAAGCAATGTATGAGTAGGTACCATGAGCGTCATAGTATATTTCGGGAGACATTTTTTAATCACACGCTAACATATATTCTTATTAGTTGTCTAAATAGTCATTTAAAAAAAAATATTAGTGTGATGCAACTATAGCCGATTTGAATTTTAAATAACTCTGGAATTCGATAAAAATTAAGACTAGTCAGTTATCCTCTTCTTGCCTCGTAAATATTGTATCCTCTATCCTTATCTAACATGAGCGGCAACATATACTGAAACATAGACTAGAGACATCCATTAGACTTTTATTAAGAGGGGTGAGCTCAGTTCATAAAAGGCGGCAGGGAATGTCCATACTGTACCTTAGTATTATTGTTTATTTTGTCATAATACATAAAACAGACACTTAGAAAAAAAGATATGCCAAACAACACTACATTGTCCTTCATTTTCTTAGTTTTATTTTCTATTTTTAACAACATACCACACTCACACTGCATTTAATAAAAATAATAATAAATCTATTATTTTTAGGTATATACCCATAGTTTACAGTTATTATTAATTTAAACAAATGATTATGTGACTTTAAGTATATTAATTATGCAATGCACAACAAAATATTGGTAATAAAAATCAGGTATAAAAGTACCTACTATTTACATGCAATTGTGTTGCCTTCATATATTTAAAATAAATTATTTATATTATAAAATATCAGTATTATACAATAATAATATTCAAACAGGATATATTGCATAATAGATAGCTCATTATAGGCCAGAAGCTAGACATAAATAGCATGGCTAAAGTCAGATATGTAAACAAACAAATAGTTGATTTTATCATAAGGCATTCTGCCAATGTCCAACAGTTGTACAAATAAAAAATGAATTAACTATTATACTTTATTAAAAATGGATTAATAATTAAATATTTCCAATTGTTACAAATTTCTGAAAGATTTTCAGAAAGTGTTATTGTGATAATTTTAACAAAAAAATACCCAATTTTCTATTCAACTGAAACCCCATTTTCTTTTAAACAGGCAAATTACCATTATTTACAATTGTGTAGCTTTTAGTTAATTAAGATGATTTAATCAGGTTTTTACAAATTTTAATATATGAACAATGATAATGTAATGACGAATAATTTAGAAGAAAAACAAAAATATATAATAGGTATATACATACATAATGGTGTCTGCCTAAAATGACATATCACAAATGTTCATTATGCAATAAAACAAAAATAATAGTAACAGGCACATAGGCTTTAACAACAATGATAAAATAATAAGAACCGTACATATATATCTTAGAGAACTAATAACAAATTCAAAATAAGTGTATTATACTTAATCAAAATAATCATCAATATCAATATCAGGATTTAATATGTCATCACCAAATGGTGACAAATCAATTTGATCAAGAATAAGGTTTTCACACATTTCTTCTAAATCAGTCTCACCAATTAGTATTGCACCTTGTAATCTACCATCCTGTAATACAAACTTTATATATTCAAGTTGAGGTGTAGTTCTTAAAAGAATTTCATATTTGTTCCCTAATCCTTGACCATTATATTTTCCTAACAAAACTACTCTATATCCAAAAAGAGTAGTACAATGTGTGAATAATTCAAAACAAAAATCTTGCAAAACTTCTTGATGTGTAATTCTAGCATGCATGGCTTTTGCAGCCATGCTAGCCATTTGTCGTGCCTGAGTCCACAATCTTAATTGAAACCAATGAGCAGCATGTTTCCAAGCTGCATGTGCCACATCCCCAGCAGCAAAAACATCTCTTATTGTTGTCTCTTGAAATTCATTTACAGAAAGACCTCCATCCAAATCTATCGCAGGTTTACTGTCCCAACTGTAATTAATTGCTGGAATGACTCCAGTTGCAGATATCACAAAATCACAATGGACTTTGCGTCCATTTGTAAGTTCCACTTCCAATGGATATTCTGCATCTATTTCTATTACAGATACCACTTCAACTTTGTATATAATTTCAAGTTCTTGTTCACCAGTCTCATTTCTTATATTTTCTAGTTTACGATACCAATCAGGCCCTAATGCCGCCGATTTTAAATCTTTATTTAAGGAAACTAAAGTATCTTCTTCTGTAAAAATATGTCTTTTTAATACAGTATTTGCAGGACTTGCTTTTGTAGATTTGTTTTTTATTGCATCTTGAAAAAACTCAGCAGCTCCAGGGTCTATAAATGTTGCTGATATATAATCATCTCTTATAACCCAAACTTTTTGTATTCCTCTTGTTGCATGCACAATTTCTGAGGCAATACCACCATTGCCAACTATGAGCATTCTGCGGCCCAATTTAAGTTTATTTTGAAATTCTTGTACAGACTCTGTGTCTCTAATACCAAGAATCCTTTTACATTTATTCGCGTTTGAAATAAGCTTTGGTATTCCGCCAGTACAAATGCATATGACATTATACTGAACTATTGTGCCCTGATCGGTAGTCACCAGTTTATTAACTGTATCAATGTGTTTTAGGGAATCATATATAATAGTAAGATTTGGGTGTATTCTCTGCAAAGAGGTTGCTTCAGTTTCATTGACATCAAATTTCACTATAGTTTTTCCAAAAAAACTTACGTTGCTTACATTTTTAACTAACGATGATGCTGTGATTAAAATCACACTTTCTTCAGGATGAAGTATAGCTAAGGTTTCAACACAAGTTACACCGGCAATGCCTCCACCTACCACCAGGTAAGTAGTTTTGAAATTCGACATAATATTTAAATAATAGTAATATTGAGACAAATTACAACATGTATTATTTATTTTCTTCTCTTGTTATGACAGTATGAACCATTTCACTAACTGACATATAATAAATTATCTATTGACGTTTGACGGCTGCTCTCAATTCCATTATCCTCCATAAAAAAAAAAAAAACTAATCTATGTTGACAATACTGTCAAATTGTCACTGTCATACTCCCTTATATTTGTTAGAGACGGTCAGACGGCTTAGTTCGTCTTGTTCTTGTCTACTTATTTGGATTTGATGTGATCAAAAATGTAAATAAAATAATTACACAAAGTGGTTAAAAACATCTAACTAGAGTTATCCATTGACTAAGAAATGTTTTACAGTATTAAATAACGAGTCGTAGTAAGACTATATGTATAATAGAAAATGATACCTAATTAAGATTAGTATTAATAAGAATCATGTTTTATTGGATTATAACAAGTGGAGTGGCATTATTGCTAGCTTTGTCATGGTATTTCCCTGTAATGTTTTCTCTTTTCTATTTAGGTTTGTTAACTATATTCTTAATTATGGGTATTTTTGTGTTAACGCTATGGGGTCATGTTTCTCTTTCTTCACCCCATCAAACCTCTTTGTTTTTACTGGACAGAGCAGAGAAAGAAGTCCAACAATTGGAAGAAATACTAAAGGTCTGTATTACTCTTAAAAATATATGATATTCTTTTGCTACAGGCTAAAACTAATTTTATTTATAAATTTTATTAGTTTACTACATGCCAATATTAATAACTTTCCATAATTTGCAAGTTTTTAATTCCACTTTAGATATTATATATATGAGTTTACTATTAGATTACATTGTTTAATGGATAAAAATGAGGACTTGACCATACCCATTCCTGCACTATTGGTTTATATTAGTGCTTGATACTAGTGAACCGTGATAAGTGAGAATGAAGTCCGTTAATTTGGTTAATCACAATAAACTCAACTAAATGTTAACTGTACTGGTACTTAGGATGATGGTATGTAGATTTACTTAAGAGGATATATCATTAGCAATGTGGCCAGTCATCCTTATTATTGACTCCCCCCAAACCCTCAAATATATTTAGTTAAATGCATAACTGGACTGGATCATATTGACTACAATGATTTAAAAGATATACTTCAGATCCAACTATTGTATCTTCATAATATGCTAAATCCAAAAATGAATAGTGAAATTTTTATTAAAGTATATGAATCAGGTATATTCACAACACTGAAGTGAAATTTATTTGTTATAATTATTTTGTATAGATAAAAATATATTTTTATTTTATTATCTCTTCTGCTCTTCAGGAAGACCAGACTAACTGGCCTCTCACATCTAAAAGAACACACCTACCAATAATATTTAGCCGCACTGTTGATAGTCAGTTGCAGCAACTAATTGACTATGTGCTAAGAGACTTTGTTACCTGTTGGTTAAAGGAGTTATCACATAAACCTGAGCCTGTAATAGATAAATTAAAAGAACATGTTTGGGGTGCCGTACAGAACCTTTATGAAAGGTTACTGAAAGTTGATGCAGAAAAACTGCTAGCTAGTGATATGGTTATTAGGGTCACTCAACATTTTGAACGTATACGAATTGCTAGGAGTTGTGGGTGAGTATTAAAATATTTTTATCTCATGTACAAAATAAGAAAAATTAAAGAACTGATATTGTTAACTGACATAAAAAATCGCTTTTACCTTAAATCATGTTTAAATTGCCTATAAATAAATATATATAATAATAAATATGTTCACAATTATAATCCCTAATAGAGTGGTCTAAGGTTCTTGTCTTTTAACTGTTTTTAATATATTCTGTTTCATTATATAATTATTCATTTATTTATCCTATTGATCACTATATTTATTGTTCCATGATTATCAAAATTTTAATAAGTAGTATATATATGTGGTCCCGGCGTAGAATAGGCCACCCCTTACTTTCCCGTGGGTGTCATAAGTGGTATCTAAGGGAAAGTGAGAGAGAGGCTTATATTCTACAATGGATGGTTAATGGGATGATGATGATATGTATATTTGTTTTGTTTAAATGTTATCTTAACAATAGTAATATTGAAATGATTTGTTTAGATTGGAGTTAAATCAACCTCCTGTGTTTGCTCTGGCACCATATTTGATGTCTCTTGAAACTGAACTGCACTACTTACGACAAATTAGTGAACTTATTGTAATGTTCTTGATGCCACGCTGTTACTCCCTATCACCCGCTTCATACCTAGTAACAGAGATATTGGCATGCAAAGGTAATGTGATTGTATATACTGAAAAAGAAATTGCTTTGCAAAGAATGTTACTCATATAGAGTTCATTTATTATTGTAGTAAAATATGGATAATAAATGTAAAAATCTTATTTTTATCAACCTTATTACACATAGTAAATGATAATTTATTTGTAATGAAATTTCAGATGAATTAATTTCAATAAAAATTGTTGAATTTCACATAATAATACTTCAACATCTAATTCATTATTTTATACATAATTTTGCAGTACTACGTCCAGTGATAGATCTCATAACAGAACCAGATTATATAAATCAGAAGATATTACAGTATTTGGAAGCTCAAAAAGAAGTAAATGCAATGCATGTCAGAACTCATGAGTATGCCAAGACATTTGAGGACTACATAAGGCTAATTAACAACTGCAATAATGTTGACACACTGAAACGGTTACGGTAAGTGAGCAAATGCATTTTGTTTCTGTTGAAATTCTGAGTGTTGCATACTTGACTGGGTTAGTGTTATTTTTTAACATGATATTCATTAATTATAAATATTAGTAAGAATTAGTCATACTGGTTAAAGACTTACAAGCAGAACACTTGTCGAAAATTGATAAATTTGACATACATACATGCATACATATCTGTCACGCCTGTCTCCCATTAGGGTAGGCAGAAACAATGGAACGCCAAATGCTTTGATTCAAAGAAACCTCTTTCGCTTCTTCCACATTCATCAATCTTTTCATACACGCTCGCCGGTTACGGGTACTTTTAATTTGACCCTTCTTCAGCACTTTGCCTATTTGATCAACATACGTCCGTCTAGGGCGGCACTACCGACATCTCCATTCATTCTTGCTCGATAAATCTCTTAAATTTGAGTTATTAAATATTAAATCATAATGTATTATTATATTTATATATAAATTTCAATAATGCCATTCACTTTGTTAATCTCTATATCAGTTATTTTTAAATAATTTTAACAAATCGAGCCCTATCTTGTAACTCTCATTAACAATAATATAATAAAATTGTATATACTCTGGCAACACACAAAAACTTCTGCACCAAATTGCAGGCAGTTTTCACAGCTGTGTCCCAATAACGAGCAAAAAGCTAGTTATTGATATCCCATGTGTATTAAAATCTTAATTTTAATATTCACTCCTTTTGTGTACAATTTCAGATATGACATTGTAACCCAGATAATGCAAGCCACTACCTTACAAAATGTAAAACGTGCAAAAGGCATTGATGTAGAGGCTATAGAGAAGACTAACACTCAGCATAATATTAGCAGACAACAGATAGCAGATGCTAAGAAGCTCAAGCGATATATAAATCAATTGACAATAGCTAAAGCCGAGTGTGAAGCAGCATTGAGGAAGGTTGGGTGGGATGGAGCCTTCCCCACTGTAGAGTCTGGCAACAACAAGGTATTATTAATAAATATAATTATCTATATATATATATGTGCGTTTAATATGAATAATTTTATTTTTAATTGTATACAAGGAAACAATTTAGAAATAAATCAATTTAATTTATTTTAATTTTTTTAATTGACACTTATGTTTTGCTGTGTGCAACAGGAAAACGTAACTTTATAAAATACAATATATTATACAATAAATAAAAATGAAATAAAAACAACACATTCGGTGATCAAGCTTCACTGTAACTCCAAGCTTGGTCAAGTACTGTTGTTTTTTTATACCAAATAAACAAATTACTCTTTTCTTGCTCCCACTCTATTACAGTAATAAATGTTTATTTTTTTTTATTTTCCTCCCTATTTCTCCATTCTACCAGCTGAAAATGTGTTTAAATATGTCTATTAGAGGATGAAGCGAACAAGGAAAAAATATGTATATCAGCTGATAATACAGTTGTTTGTTTCAGAATATACCATTACACAAAGTGATGGAAAGTGTGACAGGACGAAGGTATTTATCAATGTTCTTAGAGACAATGTGTTCTCAAGGACTAGTTGGTTTCTGGACGGCAGTGGAGGAATTGAGGCACAGTCCCAGAAGTAGTTGGCATCAACTCGGTGCTGAAATTTTTTATACTTACATTAGATCGCCCAGTGCTGAAATCAAGGTTGATAAGGTATGATACCTTATCAAGTTACAAATATTTCATATTGGGCCAGAGTAGGAAAAAAATTTTAAAGACCAAACGAAACTTTTTTAACCCTACAAAAAACCTTTTACGTCAACTTTTGTTTACGTAATAAAATATCAACATTTCAATCATTTTTTGTCTGCTACTGAACATAGGCGTCGCTCATAGACTATCTCACAATAGTTATTCACTTTCTACAAATTTGAGGTTCTGTTTATCTTCTTTTTAACTCTGTTTAATGGTGAATGTCCAATAATTCGTTACTTGTATTGTGTCACCACTTCAACACCTCTATTGCTTGCTTATGTCATATTAAAAATAAATTCTTAAATTTTTAAAATTTCACTATTTTTCACCAGAGGGAGACTTTGTATAAAATTTGTTTGCTTAGCAGTTGTTTGCATGGCTGTGTTTCAGTTTGAAGGGTGGGATATGGCAGTGAATTTACAGGGTACAGAGGAATAACATCTGAGTCCTCAGGAAAGGAAACGCAGGGAGGGTATCATGGGCGAAACAGTATACTCTGTTACGTCCATGGTACTACTCATGTCTATAGGCGACGGTTACCACTTTCGATCAAGTGGTCCGTCAGCTTGTTTGCCGGTCTAAGTTGTATAAAAAAAAATATTCCAGGATACTAGAAAAAGGATGGAAGCTTTTCTACTCGGCGATAAAGGGCCAGAAGTGTTTTATGAAGTACAAGACACAGTTGTAGATACTATTCAAGAAAAATATTACTCTTCCTTTCTTTTAAGTGACCAGTATACTGCATTGATGGCTGAACTCGCAACTGAAGAAGCTAACAAAGGTAAACATATTACACCAAATTTATATATATTCTGATATAGCTATAGAAATAGTCTTTCTATTATTACTATAGTTAGTATGCTTTTAAAATAATGTCTCGTCAGTGAATCTGGAGAATTTTCCCCGTAGGGAAACGGAAAACCTCAAAAAAATTTGAGTTTCACATTGGTGACTCCAAATTTTTTGTTGTTTAGAATTATTAATTCACATTTCTGTCCTAGATTATATTTTACTATGATTTACCCGCAACTTCGTTTTTGGAATTACAGTATGCTCACTGACAGCAATAAAAAGTAGTGTATATCCTTTTCTATTCCATAAACAAATTGTATGGATATGCCAAATTTCATATTGATTGGTTTATCCGGTGTTTTTTTTTTTAATGAACGACAATGGAATGGTAACCCCGCCTGCGGAAATGGTAATCCCTCCCTGGTTCACTCGTTAAGGCGCTAAGATGTAACAAAATCATTTTCACATTTGTAACATTAGTAAGAATAGCATGAGTAGGTTCTTAGTTCGATTTCCCCTGTATGTAGTTATCAACTACAAATAGCTCTTATTATATAAAAACAATACAACAATAAATTAAAGTTAATATAAAATTCCTTAAATACTAATACTAATTATAAGTAATTCCCCAACGCACCACACCGAGGCAGCGTACCCAAGATACTGGCAGCATTACCTCTTTGGATGCCAAACTTATCTTTTGGGCAAAGTAGCTACCAGCTCTTGGGTCACCAGTAACCTCGATGAGGCGCGCTGCGATCGTCGTTATCAACTATTACTTGGTTTTAGATTTGAATTGTGAAAGATCGCCTATAGAGGACCGTCAGCTGTCGAACGAGTCGGCGTCGTCAGCGGAGAGCGTGGGCGGCACGTTGCACCTCACGGAGCACTCCACCTACGCGAGGAGGAAGCTCGATCAGCTACAAGAGCGGCATAACAACAAAATTCAGGTATTGTATTGAGATAAAATATAAAGCTAGTATGAGTATTAGCTTTTGCCCGCTACTTTGTACTCGTGGTTTTGGAAGTAGGCACTTACATCTAGATGGTATATAGAAATAAAACGTATTTTAGATTTTAATTTAGACCTTCAGCAATGCAGTTGTGGAAACCGCATTCAATTTAATCAAGTAGTTTTTGCGTGATGCCGGAAAAACGAATATGCTAACTAAAAACTAATAACAAATATACAAACTGACAAATTTAAAAAAAAATTGTTTTGACTCTTATTGCTTTTATTAATACCCTTCATATTAATTATTCTTAGACACCTTCTAGTTCTAATTTAATATACTGGTATTAGTAAAATTTCCAATATAACAAGGTTATATTAACCTATTTCGAAAACTGACAAAGACCAGGAAGAAAAGAAAATTAAAACAAAAGTTATTTACATAGATGCCTTTGTGCTACTCACGTTTCATTCAGGCAGCTTTAATTATTAAGCAGACATTAATAATTATCATATCCACTCGTGGTTCTATGCAGGCATTAGCTGCGCTCCGAGCCTCACTAAAACCAGAATCACCAGCGCTGGCGATGTTGGCCAACGAGGTGGAGAAACTGGCTGGAGAGCAGATGAGGTTGGAAGCTCACCTCGCGCGGACCGACACGTGGGCGGAGCACTTGGGCCGCTGGAGGGCCACTGTTAATAGTGCTGAGGTAATTTGATTAATTTCATATTATTAAATTCTCAATATTGAATATCCTTTTACCAGAGGGAGACTTTGTACAAAAGTCGATTGCTTGGGTACCTCTGTCCCATTCGTGTTTCAACCGTGAAGCAGTTGTGTTTGCATGGCTGTGTTTCGGTTTGAAGGGTGGGGTATGGCGTGAATTTACTGGGTACAGAGGAATAACACCTGAGTCCTCAGGAATGGCATCGCATGGGGGGTATCATGGGCGAAACAGTATACTCTGTTATGTCCATGGTACTGCTCATGTCTATAGGCGACGGTTACCACTTTCCATCAGGTGGGCCGTCAGCTTGTTTGCCATTCTAAGTTGTATAAAAAAATCCTACATTTTTGTAGCTTTTACATAAAATAAGTTCATATGACATTCATGTAACTGTAATTCTAATGCAACCTACATTAATTCATTCCGAAACATTGTTGACGCTTACTATTATTAATAATAGATTGCCGCTAAAAATATTAAAATATAAAGAACTGGTCGCGATTCAACTGCTGTTTATTGAAATTAATAACAGTTGTTAACGGTGTTTACTACTACCGGAGGAGGAGGGATATCGCAGAGGGGTGAAGGGAGGGATAGCACATTTAAAGTAACGATTTTTAAGGTTGTTTTGAGTTAGAGAATGAAACAACTAAGCATCAACTTTTTTATTAGAATATATGCGTATGATAAAAACGGTAATATTATTACAATTTTAAATTGAAATTTAGGTTTTGTCTTGTACCCATACCTAATGCTCAATAAGTGTCATTTATCGATAGAAAGATATATAATTGAATAAATATTTTTAACAGGTCTTAGATGAATCCAAACCCCCACAATTCGTAATAGTCGTGCACATGGCTGAACAAGAGCCTACAAACGGCGAAGATAATAGGCCGGAACAAATATCAACAGGATGGGTGCTTTTAAGGACCCTTAACGAATTTCAGGTATGAAAAATTGTAATGTAAAATCGAGATAATTGATTTCGTTCTTTGCACTACTAAACCCGCAACAAGTAGGATTGTGTATTCCTATTACACGAGTTACAGTAGCATTTGATTTTTTTATAACTTTGCTAAATGAAGTTCTTGTATTACGATATATCAAAATGTCCGCTATGATTTTTTATAATTATTTTTTATTTCAGGAACTACATCGAAAACTTAGGCCCATGTGTTCGGAACTTAAAAACTTGGAGTTGCCGTCGAATTCATTTAAATTTTTATTTGGGAAGAATGATAGAAATTCATTAGAAAAGGCTAAGACACTAATTCAGAAGTATTTAGAAGTAAGTCACGTAAATTTTTCAAATATTTCTGTACCGTATAATCAACATTCATGATACCTTTTTTATAATTAAAAAAGTACTGTTCGTAATATATGCCTGTAGTAGATTTTAAGTCGAGCTAATACCTACTCCATTATAAAGTTAAAGTTTGAATATGGAAACGATGACCTGCTCGTATTTTTCCCCTCCATCACCGTGCGTTTCTGTAGACACTTTCTTCCACGCACAACTAAACTGTGGAACCTACTCCCAGCAGCAGTATTTCCGAACAGATACTACATTAAATCCCTTAATAAAAGAACATATTCCTTCCTAAAAATCCGGCAATACACCTACAAAACCCCTGATGTTGCGGATGTCTATGGGCGGCAGTAATTGCTTACTTACTTAGGTGAGCCGCGTGCTCGTTTTTATATAAAAAAAAAAAAAACTGCACTGGATTAGTTAATGAGTTACAAATTTGGTGTCGCATGAAAGATATTTCATAATTTCATTCCCTTCCTTGTTACTGTGTTAACATGCTACATTTTCATATAAAGGTAAAAAATAAACCGATTTTGTGTGTATACATCTACGTCGTTTTACTATTTAAAAAAAAAGTGATTCTACCTTGAGAGTACGATTATAATAAATAACCAATAAATGGATAAACTGAAAAGTAATCTTATTAGAGTGAGTTGACTTGCAAAGGGCCTACCATGAAATGAAATTCCGAAGTTTCGGACTCAATTTCGTATTTTTCTTCACACCTAAATGGGGCCAGTAAATGAAGCTTAACATTTTGTTCGTCATGAATCCTACCATAAAAGTCGCAAAGAATAATATTTTCATATTTTTTATGTTTTTAAACGGTAAAGTATTATGTAATTTTAACATTAAATTTGTGTTTCATTCGGCTCCGAATTTTCGGAAAACTTTTCATGGTAGGCCCTCAGATCTTTAAAATTGAGACGATTTCGATTTAACTTAATATTATATTAAAATACTGTAGACATATTTTTTTTATAATGAATGATAATGAAATGGTAACCCCACCTGCGCTATTGGTATACACTGTCGGGGCACCAGTGAGCGTTGATGGTTGAAGATGAAAGCAGGTCAGCCCATAATAACGAAAACAATAAATAATGATGGTTTCCAGGATGAACCGCGTGTGACCTGATAGAGTATATTGTGAGACCCCATTACTTACTATCCCCTTCCTCCTATGCACAATAGTGTTTTTCATTATAATAGTGCCGATTATATTATTTTCAGTTTGTTTTAGAGGACGATCGCTTAAATCAATGCGAAGCTTTATACACATTCCTAAATCCCAGCTCAGAATATTTAAAACAGGGTGATTTACCAAAGAAAAATAAGTTTTCCTTTTCTACGTTATTTAAGAGGTGAGTAAAGTCGGAGATGTTGTTGTAGTAAAATGAAAAGCTTTTATAATTAAAAATGTGATTAGAATATGAATGTCATACTCTAAAAATAATGGTATAACTGAAAAAAATTCAAAACGGACAGGGTTCTCGTCTCTACCCCATGCAGTGAGCTTGTAACATCAGGTGTGTCGATTACAATCAATCACGAAATTTTTAAATTATAGAAATTTTTTCCACAGTACAAGTAGTGAAGCAACAAATAGATCGTCACAAGAGAAAGAGTCATTCTCACACCTCTCCGCTGACGAGGACGAAATATCGTTGTACCTCGATGGCAATGGTGCTGATTCCACAAACAAAAGTATGTTTAAATATTTGCGTGGTATGGTTTAAGGTATAAGACTGGAAATTCACTCGGCTTTCATGCTTGAAACGAATGATTTGGTTTCTTTGTATTTAGATAATGAGAATACAGAAATGCTAATCGAATTATAACAACTCTTTATGGCGTCAATGTATTTAGAATTTAAATCTAATTTTGAACTTTCTTATAAAAAGGCATATCATGATAAAAATATTAGAGGATTTTCTTTTTTATTCATATAATATCATATCATAATAAACAATATTGATATGTCTCCTATTAAAAATTAATGAATAAATAGAATTAATAGCTGAAATAATATTAGTCTATGGTCATTGATTATGTATAATTGTTTTGTCTCATTTTTAAAAGACTAATTTCTATAAAAAAAAAGTACCAAGTTTATTATTGTTAACACTATGCTGACCGGGGACAAGTAGAATCGTCATTACACTAGCGTGTAGGTACGTCCTCCTACCATGACGGGCAACACTGTATGGAATACAAAGTTTTCATGACCATAAAATTACTTTTTTTTTATTTAGGTTTTTATAACAATATCAGTTTAATTCCAAAGATTTCAACCATGACGAAATTCCCGGTCAGCAGTGTTAATTATTTACTAAATACTCATGTGACAGGTATATAAAAGATTATCAATACCTACCTAGGTGTGGCGGTAATAGGTGAAGAGAGAGACAGCATAGCGGAACCGCTGTACGCGCTGCTCAGTGAAGTGTTTGACATGCGAGGTGTGTTCCGCTGGCTCCGAAAAACCTTGGTCACTTTTGTTCAGATCACGTATGGCCGAACTATTAATAGGTAAACCTACTCACTAGCGATATCACAGTTTTAGAATAATCTTTATAGATCTACAGATGTTTTCCCGAAGATATGTCATTTGACTGAAAGAAAGAGGAGACTTCACCAAAGGGAGACTTTGTACAAAAGTCGATTGCTTGAGTACCTCTGTCCTATTCGTGTTTCAACCGTGAAGCAGTTGTGTTTACATGCCTGTGTTTCGGTTTGAAGGGTGGGATATGGCGTGAATTTACTGGGTACAGAGGAATAACACCTGAGTCCTCAGGAATGGCAACGCATGGGGGTATCATGGGCGAAACAGTATACTCTGTTATGTCCATGGTACTGCTCATGTCTATAGCCGACGGTTACCACTTTCCATCAGGTGGGCCGTCAGCTTGTTTGCCATTCTAAGTAGTATAAAAAAAAAAGAAAGACACAGGCTACTTTTTATCCCAGTTAAATGATATATGTCGAGTTGTCCAGTAGATATAATAAGATATGTATATCTTTCCTAATGTCGTTTTCTATTATTTAATATTGTAAATAAATATATTTGTCTCTACTTATTTTAACTTATTTTTAAATGTCGAATGTCTTTAAAAAATATTTAATATATAAAATAAAAATAAAAATTAACGTTGCGGCGTCTGACCTCACACTGCACTCTGAATTAAACTTCTGAATGAAATTGGAACAATTGTTAGAAATGACAGACATTGTAAATTAGTTAAATTCCCGTTGTTCAATTAAATGTATATAAAATCTTTTATGAAATCAACATATATTTTAAAAACAATATGTCTATTTACTATTTTTTTTTCTTTAGGCAAATCAAGGAGACAATATCTTGGTTGTTCTCGGAACAAATGCTGCATTACTACATAAGTGTCGTGCTAAAGTCGTGGTGGCCCGGTGGGGTTCTTAGCGAGAATGTGTCTAATAGAAATTTCCAAGATAAAGGTAGGTCATATGTCGTAATATTGGCGTATCGCGGTTGTAACTATAGCGTGAAATTGATATCTTATATTAGAGTTTTAAAAGTTTACATAGGAATTGTTGGCTCACATTGTTTGTTAATGAATAGATCTTGTTATATAATGCTATGAAAATACATGTAATTAGTAATTCTATAAGTCTGAAATTAACATATTTATGTTATTGTTATGGGTAGCAGCGTCGCTCTTAAAACATCACTAAACCTTAACTCCCCCTTATGGGGGAAGCCTATATTCAGCACTGGACAGGTAACGGCTGATGTAAAGATGATATTTTATTCGAATTATATAATAATCGTAGTTGAAACTGTCCATTTATTCCATTTATGTAAAGATAGTTAAGTGTAGGATTATGTTACATTTAGTTTTCTTCTCTTTCACGCACAACATGCATTAGTATATAGAGAAAGTTGGTTCCTTCGCCTCCTGGCTCTTCTAGCTTGCTAATGATGTACGAATACATGAAATGAAAAACATTCATGAATGATTCAGTGTCCACGAGAATTTCATAATAACTTTGAAAGTTACTTTAAGCTTTACAGTCCCTACAGTTTATGTAGGTTATTTTATACGTTTTTTGAGGCGTAAGCGACATCTAGTGTAAATAAAAATGTTTGTCACTCAGAACATACGAGAACGCTAGCGCTGCAACAATTGAGTGAGAGCGTAGTGGAGGCGCTGTCATCGCTGGTCGGTGCACACACGGCTGCACGCGGTGCGCACAAACTGTTTCACACACTGCAGGATACAACGCACAACAAGCAGCTTTTCTATGTAAGTATCTGTCCCTCCAATACTGCTATTAATATACCACTGTCACTACCACAACTACCACTGTCACCACCACAACTACCACTGTCACTACCACAACTACCACTGTCACCACCACAACTACCACTGTCACCACCACAACTACCACTGTCACCACCACAACTACCACTGTCACCACCACAACTACCACTGTCACCACCACAACTACCACTGTTACTACCACAACTACCACTGTCACCACCACAACTACCACTGTCACCACCACAACTATCACTGTCACCACCACAACTACCACTGTCACCACCACAACTACCACTGTCACCACCACAACTACCACTGTCACCACCACAACTACCACTGTCACCACCACAACTACCACTGTCACTACCACAACTACCACTGTCACTACCACAACTACCAGTGTCACCACCACAACTACCACTGTCACCACCACAATACCACTGTCACCACCACAACTACCACTGTCACCACCACAACTACCACTGTCACTACCACTGTCACTACCACAACTACCACTACTGCTACCACCACTGCTACTTCTATTTTTTAATGGGTGATAATGGAACGTTACCTACCCGCGCTAACGGTATACACCGGCGGGGCACTAGTGAAGGATGATAGGTGAGGATGAAGCAGGTCAGTTGCCCATTGTGACGAATTCAACAAGAATTGTTCACGGTGGTTTTTAAGGGGAAACACGTGGTGGTCGACCTAATAGGGCATATTGCTAGCAATGGGGCTGTCAAACTTCATTGCTAACAATCCCTTTCCCCCCAAACCACTACTACTATTACTACTACGCACTTTTTAGGGAACATATATAATCTAAATCAGTGATTTCTAAAGTGAGTTCCACGGAACGTAACGGTTCCGTAAAAAAGTCACCAGGGTTTCCCGAGATTATTTATACAGTGAAACAATTTCATTCTTCAAATTATAAAGTGCTATACTTTTAAAACATTTGTTATAAAAGCTTTTGTTCTTATTTGAATTACAGTATTTTTGATTTGTAATTATTTAATATGGAGTCCCATAAAATAAAAGGTAATTGTTGGGCGTTCCGATATCTTAAAGGTTTTGGAGCCCCTGATCTAAATATACAAATGCACGTATTGCTTACAAATTAATATACATGTATTAATTAAAATGGCGGCCGTTTTCAATTATTTAAACAAAAAGTGTTCTTTTTATTTCTTTAATCTTACAATATATTTTCTCCTTTATACTTAGTAATAAATGTATATTATGGTAACCTTATTCACGTAGTGTGGATAAAAACATGAATTTTTAGCGAAATATTTTGTATAGAGACACTATATAATCTAAGCACTCACCATATTTATACTTACACATACAGATAGACAGTTATATCAATCGGTCGCACGGTCGGTGTTTCAACTTTACGTAATTAGATATTGTTCCTAATTGACTTATAGACTAGCTTTTGTATCCGCTTATTTGCTCTCGTGTAAAAAACAAAAGTTTTTGTCTATTAATTAATATTCCAATCATGTCATGCTTGGTAGGCGGGTTGGCAACGGCAGTTAGGCTTTGGTGTGTTTTAAGAGGCATGCTGCTGCCTTTCCCTCGGCAATTAAGGTCCTTTAGTCGCCTTTTATGACCCATATTAATTAATATATTATGCTATAAATAATCTATCAGTGTACCTTTCATTAAAATCCGTTCATAGCGTAAAGCGTGATTGAGTTAATCTACAATAATACGATACATGCCTCTGAATGTCTAATGAATTAAAAATGTATGAGTACCGCTAATGAAGATGTTTCCTTACAAATACAAATAGAAAACCACGTCTGTATATAGTCGCACACATTGAAATAAAAAGTTTATGGGGGGTGGTATGTTAACAAGGATAATCTATTGTATATATTCATACATCCAAATGTTTAAACATCCAAATAACTTTACACATTTATTAAGTTAGGGTAACAAATATCTTATGTTTTAATTTAGAAAGTTATTTATTTATATACCAATTGTCATTATTGTTTCAAGCGTGATTGAGTGAGTAATATTTAAATATTCAAAACAAACATTCTTATAAACTATCGCATTTGTATTTCATAGCTAATAATTTTAGTATGTAGAATAATATAAGTAGGCTTTTTTATAGTTAAGTGTTTTTCATTAAAAATGTGTTATTTTTACAAATGTTTTAATAGTTTTTATACATATGCCGCGTCTGCACACACATTTATTTTTATCGACCCAAAATCATTAACACTTCACCATACACTACAAAAATCGCGTACAATATTTATTTTATGGCGACTGGAGGACGTGGGAAGGTTGCCGACGTCATATACAGATTTTATTTTTGTATCCAATACATATAAGATTATATTAACTATGTTATGGAGCGGAAGAAAAAAAATAACAACCCGCCAATCAATATAGCAGACGATGTGGGACCGAATATATATATAGCTAAGCCTAAAATTAAAATAATTATCACAGCGACCGTTAGATACAATTTTGTGTTCGTATTCTTGACTAATAGCAATACCCGCTCCGGCGTTTTTCTCACGTATGATATAGTCTGAAATAAAAATAAAAAGTTAAATAAAAATACTGTACTATTGCTAAAAGTCCTATTGCTAGCGATATACCTAATAGGGTATATTTCAGATAGTTGCCAGAGGGATTACTAAGTAATCCCTCTGGAAATCGTAGTGGTGAATTTCAGGTGTCTAATCACAATCACGATGAGCTAACTAACCTGCCCTTTCATTCTCACATCATCCCTCATTGGTGGTCCGCCAGCGTATACCGTCAGTGCAGGCAGGGTTACCATAGTTTTATACGCGCGAATCAGTTAACAAACTTAGTTCTCAAGAATGGCAAAGCATATGTCTACTATGTCGCCACCTATTCTTAAATAAATAACAGCCCTGGATGTATCACTCAGCGCCACCTAGTCTTAAACTAAACAGAGCTCACGATTTAGATATCTAGTCGTATCTAATATATACATATTATAATATACAATAAACACCCAGAGCAAAATGAAATAGAAACGATATTGATAAAGGGCGTTACTTACACTATAGTATGGTAAATTGTCTATGTTATTTACAAACAATATCTTTTCGCCGAGGATAGTTTCTGTAAATAAAAAAATAAGACGGATTATGTAATTATCGTCAAGCTATAAAACGAATATTTGAGTGTCGGAAGTCTTAGTTAATAATTGCACTTCAATCTTGCACACCTTAAAACGTTTTGTTGCTCATAGTTTGTTCATAATTAAAAAAAATGTATAAATGAATACACTATTCTCAATTATAGAAATACTAGCTTTTCCCCACGACTTTGTCCACGTGACCGGGGATATGTTTACTGACCAAGATAAAATGTAGTCTTTAACTTTCATTATCCCATACGAGTATAATACGTGTATACTAAATTTTATATAGTAATTAATAGTTAAGGTGTTTTAAGGTAACCAAACAAACATCTACATTTATAATATTAACAAGGATTGTACTCATTTATTATAATTTAGTAATAAGAAATAAATTGTTTTTAGATTGCTTACCACTGCTGCCGACTCCAATACTGTTCAGTTCATCCAAATCTCCCTTTCTTATCGTTATAGTATTGTGATCTTCACTGAAGCGGTACATTTCCGCAGACAGCACGTTTGCAAATTCATCACTCTTTTTCGACGTTTGAAATTTTCTTTGTATTTCATTTAAAAATAAGAATGCCCTCGATCGCTGGCAGCTCTGTAAAAACGTTGTGTTAACAATGATAATAAAACATGGTCGATGATTTCATTCGAAAAAATGTTTTATTTTTCATTATATAAACTATTTAGATTTTATTTTCAAAACTTATGTTCATTTTTGATATTTTTCGATCTCTATATACATATAACGGGAAATTAAAAGTACGAGGCGAGACGCTGTGACGTAAATCGCCAAATGTCCCATGAAGAAGGCTTTCAATGAAGTCGAAACAATTGTCGCAAATGACAAAACACAGCGAGCTTGTTCATTTTCTCTTATATATGTATATAGATATCTGTTTAAATTTATTGATAAACATATATACCATGTTTTATTTTATATATGTGTAAATATCTGTCTGTATTTTATATCTGTGTGATAATTCCGTCGATTTATAAATTAGAATTATTTGTATTTTAATTTATATTTAAAGTAACTCTTTATGAACATGAAACATTGACTTAAAAAAACACGTTCGTTATCTACTAATTAATCATACTTATAAAATTATCATAATAGAAATGTATTAAAATTCCCTTGAAATTAAAAAAAATGATAATTTATAGAAATACACAATTATGTTATTTGTATGAAAGGTGAATTGAAAAGTAACAATATGCTCTTGTACAAAACATGACTTGAAAACTCTAGATTTATTATTCATATATGAGATAGTAATAAACTATTTTAATTTATCTTGAAAATTGTTTGTTGTTTATTTTAATTCTAAATATGTACTCACTTTGTCTGTAATACAAAAGTAGAAATATTTCTCTTGTACAATATAGTGAAGCAAGTAATGACCGTGAGAATATGTCATTTTGTCATTCCGACATGGAATTTTAGATATCACTTCCTCAACTATTTCCATAAAGTTCCCATCGCAAGAAGCAAATTTTGTTAATAATCTTTTATTACACGCCACCGCACTAAACAGAATAGGCATTTCAATAGACAGTTTCGAACTCGTTATCAAATTAACAGATTGATTTAAAAAAAATTGTCACTGTTTAAAGTCGCGCGCACAGACACCGAGGAAACAATTTCAATGTCCAATAGTTGTCTAAATATATACACTATCACTATTCTCTTTTTTTAAATATTAATTAATTATTCTATTTTTTTATATTTGCTAGTATCTCCAGTCTTTACCACCTCTGTATGAAATACAAAGAGCAGGTAATTAAGTTTTTAAATTTCTTTATAACAAAACACGCGAACTTGTACTGATATAAATCCCGGTAGTACGGCGCCGCCTACGCCTCTCTCATAGTTGTTGAGTATAAACAGCCACTATCATACAAATCGTGCGATCGCATTCTAAAATTATTACTTTGTCCGCTCGGTGCTAAAAACACACTTGTAAGACTCAAGCTGTCATTGGGATAGCCGATCAATTCGAAATGACACGACAAGTGTTCGCAAAATACAAAGATTTTTTGGTCCATCGAGCCAGACACTGGGTTTCTGAATACCAATATATCTGTTTGTTTCCGACATCACAATATTATCTTATATTGTCTTACGTCTTACATTTAAACAATCGATGACTAAAAATTCGAAAGATAAAGAAATAAAAAAGGAGACAATAAATATATACATAGTTCTAATAGTTGCCAGTACATCAGCAACAATTTGAGTGCTTTTGCTATTTTTGACTTAATTTCCTTTGTCTCCTGGATTGGAATGCGGGCGTCTATAATGATCTTCCATTCTAATCGGCTTTGTACTTCGCATTTCAGGTTACTTCACATCTGCTTAGTGTTCATATCTACCAAAATAAATATGTATTTATGTGTAATAGAAATTATTAATTACATTAATATTAATTAATCATCTTCTGTATTGAGGTTTACTACCTCATAGACAAGAGCCATACAAATAATAATTTATTTATGTACTAATAATGTTTAATTATTCATTATTGTTATCATAAATTTTGATATCTAAAAATACATACATTAGACTAAAAAGTTGAACCTCCCGATAACACAATTCGTTTGAATTTGAACCATCTTGTTCTGTGGTGTATCCGAAACGCACTCGAACGGAATTGCTGGAAATACAAGGTGGATACCTATCGAGAGATTTATGTTTTATTATAGATTATTCTTAAATTATCAAAACAAATTCTCTTAAATAAATATATCGCTGTTCTATTTTTATATTTATAGTCGTTTAAGACGTTCACTTTTATTGGTTATGGCATTTTTATTTTTTTTAATTTTTATAATTATCTTACTGAATAGATTTATAGAACAGTCTGTGTTGGACATTGAGGATCCATCAAATAGAAAATACTACTATATTATTATATATGATATTGTATATAGTGGCAACGCATGGGGGGTATCATGGGCGAAACAGTATACTCTGTTGTGTCCATGGTACTGCTCATGTCTATGGGCGGCAGTTATCACTTTCCATCAGCTGGACCGTCAGCTTGTTTGCCATTCTAAGTTGTATAAAAAAAAATATACGAACTAGTTTTTGTCCTTGACTTCGCGAGACCCGAATCTGTTGACCAGGATAAATTTGTATACCAGTTTTATAATTAATTTAAATTTGAATGTTTTATTAGAAGAAAACTATTTGGTCGTAAAGCAAGTATTTATCTTTTTATTATCTTTTTTCAGGAACTATTCGAAGTAGTCCTACTGGAAGTGTTTCCTGAACTAAAACGTTATCATTGAAATACTGTGTGTATAGGTAAGGAAGAGGCCCATGACAATAGATTAAAATAACAAATATTTATATACTGTCTTACAGGGATTTTATCTGACATTTCTCTTATAATACGAGTACTCTTCGAGAAACATTCCCTTTTGTATATATTTTTAATACCTGACTAATAATATTTTTTTAAATTGTCATTTAATTTTAATATAAATTAATAAATGTATGAATAAATATTTTCCAAATGCTTGCCATAGATCTCATTGTGTTCTATTACTAAAAATATGTTTTAATTTAATATGTCTATATTGCTATTAATTTCGTATTTAAGTTTTATTAGATGTTTGTGCCAAAGAAAGCGTTCCATACAGGATTATTGAGATGTATTTCAGTAAGAGTCAAATGTCTCATTAAAACCACTGAAACGTAATACTATTGCCCATATAATTATAATTATTTTATTTGCAGTGTTTAAATTGATTGTAATCTGTTTTCTATATTAGTAAATAAATAAATTTGTCTACTACAACTAAACATTAACGCCCTTATTCATAAAAAACAAATCTTCTACATATCCATTTTAACTATTAGGTACATTTTCTGTCAAATTCTCTTCTCAACACACCTGCAGTGCCTAATCTGGTGGTGTGGGTGTTCATGGGCGGCGGTTGTCACTTACCATCAGGTGAGCCGCATTTTCGTTTGCCCCGTGTTATAAAAAAAATTGAGTTTTAATTCAAAGGAAAAAATAGCTAATATAGATTTATATTTATTATTTTTTATTTAGTTTTTAGTTTTTATGAATAAGGGCGTAACAATATATCTAGATTTTTGGTCTAAAATAATGTCAATTAATGGCAAAATTTGAAACGGTTTACCTATTAGGTATTCTATAATAATCGTTACATTCTGAACTTAACGTTGCCCGATATGTGATCGGTGGAATAACAAGCCACGCGATGACTTTCATCCAGAAATGCTCCGTAAGAAATGTGAAAACAAATGAGATTAACACGCGACTTTTATTTTTAAATATCGCGTTTAAAATCCCTAGTGTGAACTGACAAGGTACCTGATATTTTTAATCTATAATTCATATGCAATTGTTGTGAAATTTTATTTTCATGATTATTATTTTTTGCGTAATTTGATATTTTTATATTTTATTTTATTGATTTAATTCTACTATGACATGTAACCTAGATATATTAAATAAGTCAATTCATTTCGGTTTGTAAATATCTTGTAATTTATTTCTTACTACAGTAAAAATATAAAAAATTGTATGTTGAAAGAGAGGTCTTTATTGAAATGAATAAAACCTGGAAAGTTTAAAAAAAAAAATTATATCTTTGTATACTTCAACTGAACTGACGTAATAAATTGGTATTTCCCTGGTACAAACTCTAAATTGATACAGAGAAATAGTGCCATGCGAACTCACAATTTTATATTGGTTTTTCTACAACTTTTCCCACGTGTTTGTATTTATTGCTGGTATAGCTTTGTAACTTGTTTTATTAAGCCTAAAATTGGAACCAATTAGCCCAAAATTGGCACCCATGTGTTCTCTAAAATTTGCTGGAGCTTTTAAACTATCTCTAGACCCAATAATGGTGCACGGGTGTTGCAATTTCGGAGACACAAAATTTAAAACGGTAGTTATTAGACAAGCAATGTATATTAGGTACATTGCATATGTGTTCATAATACTGTTCATGTCTATATGTGATTGTTACTACTTATTTTAATTCGGCTTTCAATTTTTGGCTTTCCCAGTGTAGCTATAAGAAATACAAGCCACATCAGAAACCTTTGTGAACATCGAAATATAAAAAGGTGCTCTAGAAATTTAACACTAGAGGGCATTCTACTTACGCGATTTCCAGTGTAATAACACTACTGATAGGTAATTTAAAAAAAATATTTTTAATAATATTTTACTTTGATTTAGTTATTTCTTTTTTTATTAAATAAATAATCGAAAATATTGTCTTCAATATTTGAAGAAATTTCTCTTCGTGTTACACTCAAATGTGCATGAAGAACATGTATACTTGATATTAATCGTGAATCAAACAAAAGCTTTATTCGACTTATAAAGTACCTATTTATGTGTACGTATATTACTTTTCTTTGTATCTCATTATTTAAATAACATAGTGTTAAGTGTTAACATGTATTGAAAATACTTGTTTATTTTATCTTATAAAATGCTTAACAGTGTCTATTTTTATTGATGGAAATTATTAACTTTTTTTTTTTCCCACCAAAGTTATTAATAGAATTAAGCACAAACAAGTAAACATTACTTGTATTCTATAATAAAATATTGTTTTTATTTTATACTCTTTTACTGAAACCGTATATTCATATAGGAGACTACATTGTAGGTACTAAATTGAATGTTGTTCTAAAAACGTTTTGTATCTGATGTCTTTGACTACGTACTAAGAGTTATATTTGTGGTTGTTGATGAAAATTAATTGACCTGCATGTAAAGGTAACTATCTGTATTGTATGTTGAACAAAATAAACTATTATGTATTTTACACAGTATTATAATTAATCAAAATTCCTTTAAATAAGTGTGTATGTTTAGACATAATTGTTTTAAGCGACATTGAAAGGCAAATAAACTGACGGCCCACCTGATGAACGGCACTGTATATGTCACAAAATACACTGTGATACAAAAGGTACCATTCATGTGTTGGCAAGCGGATTGACAACCGTAGATAGGCTTTGGTGATGTTGTAAGAAGGATGCTGCTGCCCATCTCTTGACCATGAAATGTCCTTAGTAGCCTCTTACGACATCCACGGGAAAGGAAGGAGTAGCCCATTCTGTGCCGAGACCACACGGCGTAGCTTTCTATAGGCAAAAGGAGTTTAAAATCGGCTAAGCAGTTTTTGAGTTTATTATAATCAAACTAGAACTATTGAGGACAGAAGGGGAAAAATGTTGGAACACTTGATACGACACGACGAACTTTTAAACATTATAATAGAAGGAAGGAGGGGAAGAGGGAGACCGAGACATAGTTACATCAGGCAGACCAAGGAAGGAGTTGGTGTTGTGTCGTATCAAGAGGTAAAGAGACTCGCTAAAAATCGTAGTGAAGGGCAAAAGCTCCACCGACAAGAGCGCAGCTCTTAAATAGGATAGATAGATAATCAAATATACAAAAAATCAAATCCTTCCCCTTTATAATATTAGTATAGGTAACTAACATTTCAGAAATGAAACAACAATTATTCGAATAATTTCTATTTTTAAATTCTCAGTACAATAATAAATCAGACAACAGTTTCAACACCTCGCTAAGGAGGCCCTCAAAGGTGTAAAAGCTGTTTAATTCGTTACCTAATTACTTCACTATACATAGTTTTATATCCAAAGTAATAAAAAATAATAATAAATAATTTGGCACATATCGCACAATACTTTGTATTTATTTTAGAATTTATTAATTAAAAAATTATAAATTAATAGTTGTAATATTTTAAGAATATAATGAATGAATACGCATTGTGCGTTGAGTATGTGCGTGCATCTTTGTGCATTTCGCAGATTAATTCGACTTCGTTACAACGGTTTGGACATCAACGAAATAAATATAGTATATATACTATATGTATATCTATAAACAAATAACCGTCATCGTTGATTACCCATTCTATATCTCACAAAGCATCTGGTATCACAGCACTCACATATTTTAACTGTCTCTTTCCTTATAAGCTATATAACAAAACGGATTTACATAAAATATATCCTTAGAACTAATATGAAACACTTCGCTATCTGTTGATCTTCCAAACCTCTTTAATTCGTATTATTCATGGGGTATATTAAGGTGGATTTAGACCAAGCAAGCGAAACCACTTTTTCCCCAACTCCAATTTTCGTTTAAACATGAGACAGCATAGTTTCTTTGCTCAATTGCTCAACTTTAACAACAATCTTGCAAACAATCATCTAAGTTGTTCTTTTAGTCTAAATCCGCCTTTAGACGAACCATTACGTAGTTAAACGAAAGAGGGTTGAAATATCTCTTCTTTTTTATTGAAATAGTCTCGATAGACATAAATGATGTATTAGTAACTTTAAATCGGGGGCGGATTTAGTGATTTTCTGTCCTCACAGTCATAATAACATAATATATATAATTTTTTACAAAATCAAATTGGACACGTATTAAATGCTATGAAAATGATATTGTTCAATTACTTGCTAAGTGTAAACTGGATTTGTGTAACTTTTCAAGAATATCATAAGGCTATCCACACATTTATACAGTTATTCTTTTAAAGAACATAAATATGGTGTGGACGTTTTACATTTACTTTGCTTTTACGAATGTTAAAAAGGAACTTTATTTACGATTTAGATATTTATTTTGTTTGCATGCTTAGGTTCTGTGCATTATTTAATAAAACGTCATCTAATCAATTATAAACTTGAGAACTAATAAAAATATATTTCGTCGTCGGAGTTGTCTCCCATCCTAACTCTACCTTAGATTAAAACACCCTGTGAAACATTATTTACGTCCTCTTGTTTCCAAGACGCAATTAATCCAGAAATGAACAAAAAATATGGTAACACTATACACTTGTACAAATAAAAGTACAAGTAGGTGTCCTCGTGTTTTTTCTTTGTACTCAGTTATGGTGTCGTAACATAGAGAACAGTTCCAAACTAACCATACAAGAGCGTAGCCAATGTTATATTCTAGATAAAGGCTAAAGAATTGCTCTGATATGAAAGGTGCATGCTTATGTGGCAACCCTAACAACGACATTGGTGGGCGCATTAGTTGAAATGAAATATTGTTTCGATTTAGGACACTGGTGCCTCTGTATAGCATACCGAGTATAATTAAACTATTATTTACAATGCAATATCATTATCGATTTGTCTGACAAAAAACGTCGTAATTAAAACTAACTATTTACATTGATATTTTATTGTCACCATATTTATCTTGGTGAATTAATTCTAAGAGTGAATTCTTTATTAAGGAAATCGGCAAAATAAATATAAAAAATCTACAAACACTGCCATCATATGCTATCTCAAATGTTTAGGAAACTGTAAATTTTGTGGTATTGTTTTTCATATTAAACATTTTCCACCCACCAGTCCGAGGAGGTCGGTAGATGTACGAGGAGATTTGTCCCACTGTCTATTCCTCATATACAATACATCCATGTGATCCCATACCTCTATACATCTATTATTATATAATCGTAATTGTAAGTTTATATATAAATATATAGTAGCAGTCCTCACTTATACCCCCTTGAGCCTAAGGGTATTGAAAGGGAGGAGGCTTGTATAAAAATAATAATAGTAATTAATTTCTTTCACTCCATTCCCATATAAAATATATTAAATCCACTCATTATGTATGTATACTTGATAATTTTATACTTCAGTTCTTTTACCCCGGTATCACGCAAAAATATTTTAATAGAGTAAATCCACATTCCGGTATCATAGCGTTCAAAACTCTAACTCCAACACAAATGACATCTGGTGGAATTCTGAATGTATTGGCGTGCTACCGTGGTAAATTTATTTAGAATTTATTCCTATGGTTTCATTTAATTTTATTGAAAATTTATGTCGAATATAGAGAGTAGGTATTCTTCTTTAAATAATGTAAGTAAACACGTCTATTTACATGGCAAATTGTCGCCTTCATTTTCTATTTATCTAATATCTGCCTATATCTATAAACTATAACATTAACCATATTTCATATGACTGTATTACATTTTCTAAATATGACAAAACACATACCCACATATCTGACGGCATTCAGTATCTTAGGAAGTTTATCAACTTATATTAGCTCAATATAAGCTAATTGCTAATCCATTCTACGTTTTGACATTTCAAATGAAACCATGTTTCAAATTAACATTGCACTTGGTATCAGTATATTATTAACTAACAACGTGATCTTAACGTAGGTACCTACAATATTATATCCTTTCAGATATTCTTCAAATCTGCAATTGACAATTATTAGAATAGATATATAAATCGGAATGAGCAAACTTATTCAACAATAGACTGATAGCAATCAATTAAACTTAATAGTGATAATGCTACCTATCAACTAAAGGTTAAAACCATCAGAATTGCAACGCATGGTTACAAAATATAAAATATAGGCCGACCGTATGCATATTATGTGCAACAAATCGTTCAGCATTTGACATGAAATTTCATTAAATATACACATGAACTTACTTATTTATGTAACAAACACATCAAGATTTTAACACGATGTAGAATCTATAACGTTCATTATTATTGTTGTCAGATATAGTAAGTACATATGGAACATACATATGTACTAATATTCACTATAGTTAGATATAGAGGGGCATCTAATTGAGTGCATTGTCTACCGTCCGCAGGAACGGAGGCTCACAGATACAAACGCAACTGACTACGTCCCAGTCGTAAACTGTACATTTTGTATTTCACACTTGGTTACTGTTCATTTTATTTGTACACTTCCGTCGCGCGTTCGTATTAAATGCAAATAAGGTGTGTAGCTTTCTTTATTGTATCAAATTGACTCTATTAAAGGGCGAGTCGAACTGAGATCGATATGCAAAAAAGCGTCACAATTGAATCCTCGAATCCGTAGCTGCCTCCGTTCTAATTCCATTAGTTGTAGACGCAACTATCCTACATTGATTATCATGTTATCATCGCTACTACTAGCTACTCGATTTTATCCGTAAGCTTTATCCGTATCATTTCGCTCATCTCGCTTTATTGGTGAATTCAAGCGAATGGGTGTAACGTGACCGGCTCGAAGTCGTCGTGCGTGGCGGGACGCGACGGTGGCTGCCGGTGCGGCGGCGGGGGCGGTGGAGGCAGTAAACTCGTCCCTTCCGGGATGTAAACGTTCGTCACGCGTTCCTAAATATTTTATATATTATTAATTTTACATGTCATTTATTCAATGAGAATAATATTAGGGGCCATCTATAAATTATGTTACAAACATCACATCCATGTGTGAAGCCTCTACTGTAGTGTGACGTTACAAATGTTGTAGTTTTCGAATTTACTACATTAAATTGGCGCTTCGGAAATCATTAGTACTTTGACCTCTGCTTCATCCTATTATATAAATGGCCTCTAATGGAAATAGGCATATTAAAATATGAAAATCTTTTCAAATATTTATAATGTATGTATGATCAAAATATGACGAGCTACCGCTTTATTTTCTTTGGACAAAATATTAACAGCACAACACATTAGAATATAATTTTCATATTTTAACAATATTTTTACTAATATTGATATATATTTTCTCATAGTAAACAAATTGTATCCTCCGGCTTTGCCAGTGGTCATATGGTGATATTGAATAGCTTATAATCTTCCTGAAGGAATGAACTATCAAATTTAAAGAAATAGACAATCTGATGGATAGTTCCAGAGATTAACACGTTAAAACAAATAAACTCTTTCACTTTATTATATTAGTGTAGTATAGGTATGAAAAAGCATACCTGATTTTTATCATATTTGAAAATGCCTTGGAAACGGTTGGGCCGACGTTCCAGGGCTTCGACTCCAGTGCCCGCCGTGCAACTGTAGTTAGGATTGTGGAAAGAAATGTGACCGCTCGATTCGCTGTAGTTCTCCTTCAAATCGCCTCCGCGTTCCCGGTTGATCCTCACTGAAAATTAAATCGAATTAATTATTAATTCTATAATTTTATAATAATACAACAGACATGACATTACAATCATGATAAACATATGTATTTATATGATATATCCTATCCTATATTCGTCTATTTTTTTATCATTACGATGCACCATCAATTATATTTTTTGTTAATGTCTACGGTTGGCTGGTAGACAACGCCATATGATGTTAAGTCCGCCTTTTACACTTTCTAAGTTCAATAAACAAATCTCTCTTTTCGTGTAAGAATTTCCTCTTGTCGGTGCAACTAATTCATGCATTTTCTTCCAGCCAACTCTATCCCAGATCATATCTTTGACCTTTCTATACGATATGACACCTAGTGTTTCCTAAATAAACAAATAAACGATCTAAAAGAAAAATTACAAGCCTCGAGCTAGGTATTCTTGTGATTCGAGATCTAGTTAGGTACTTCTAATTTATTTATCAGAATATAGTTTTGATTACAATTGGAAAAGAAAAAAACTTAATAAAAGAAAAAAAAAGATATTGTATTTTTATTGAAGAAAAACTGCATGTAAATAGGTGTATTTAGTTATTTATATATGTGTGAAAATGATAGAAGTATCATCATCATTTCAACCTTCAATTGTTCATTGCTAAACTTCGGATTCTCATAAATCACTATAAAATCCTAAACCACATAAATATATTCAATTCCTTTAGTATCCACCGTTTACATGTTGTTAGAGACCAGGAAAACCACTGTTTGATAAAATCCACTAACTCCTTCCAACATATTTAAGCTCATCACATAATCTAGAAAAATAATAATTTAGAAGTATGTTAAAACATAATTTACTTACCACAAACGAATGCTATCACGAGTATACCGATGATGAGAGTTATCATTATGCCCACCACAATTACGATCGCGCCGACGCTTGATTCTGGCACCGCTGTCGGTAATGGCACCAGCTTATCGCCAACTTCATTATCAGCGTAGTCATAATTGGATGGATACAGTGATGGCATCTTGGAGTCGACGCGAGTTTTTGGTACTGTTAACAAGCAGAACATTTGGTAAAAGTCTGTTCAGAGAAGTCTTGCCCCTCCTAATTAAATTATATTCAAAATCTAAATATGTACTGATTTAACTTAACTACAGCTAACTTACCTGTTGCACACGGTCTAGAGTCGGCTTCATCTGGACAAGCACAAATATAATCGTGTGCCCTAAACAGACAGAGATGAGAACAGCCTCCGTTCTCTTCTTTGCACGGATTCCACCCGTGTTGCTTCTCAGATGATACAGCTTTTATTTCCATCGGCATTTCTAGATCTGTTCTTATAGCAGTAATATTTTTTCCAGTTCTTTTGTCTGCTCTCATTATCGATTTCTTGTACCAGTCCGTCCAGTAAATATAATCGTTGAACTGAAAATATACCACTGTATTTAGTAGAATGAAAAATATGTACCTACACTACAAAACTTTATGCATATATCACAGTATAAAGAATTCTTTTCTACCAGTCGTTTGACGACAACAATAGCCACAGACTAAACAGACCAATTCATGAATCATATAATCGTTTGTGATGTTCTAAAGGCATTGTACCACTGGTCGTTTCTTACACAAAACAATATTACAAAAGCTTCTATAATAGTTTATAATCTCAACAAAACTTAAATTCACGGCCAAATTTTATGTATCATGTCCAATTTTCGACTAATACTCCAATAATTGCAAACCCGTAGATGACGTTGAACCTGTCATAACCTCCAGATTGAATTCAAACATACTTAACAAAATATGTATTAATGAATAATAAAAATAGTTATAAAATCACATACCTGTGTCATACCGAATGGATTTTTAGCTTCTGGCACCAACTGAACCCTATGATGTCCATTCAAGTCTGACGTATCAATTCTGTCTTTCAATGCATCTGTCCAGTATAATCTTCTCTCCCTATAATCGATGGTTATACCATTGGGGAATCCTAAATCTTGAGCCACAATTGTTTTTCTTTGACTTCCATCTAGATAAGACCTTTCTATGCAAGGGTTTTCACCCCAGTCGCTCCAATAAAGGTATCTGTAATAATTACTTTTCTTAGTACCTTATTGGCACTTTACTTATATCCAACGAAGTACTATTTGTATTACACAAATATTACATTGAATATAAATATACACATACATATTGCTAGGAATAGCGAACTAGCTGTAACCATCGTAACAAAATTTTATAGATATGGTTCTACAAAACGATAAATATTACTATACACTTATAGACTGTGCAGTTCATGGAAGCAAGCATTGTTATTTCTGATAACCAAATAAAGTAGAATGCTTCTAGTTCATGTCCTCTACATAATTAAAAACTGACTACTTGAATATGGTATCTTTCCGCTATCTATAAAATAGAATGAGACGCAGACATACTGTCTCGTTCTTTTTGAACGATGGGAAAATGGATCGTTACATCATTTACCACTTGTATAGAGGTGTGAGTGACAGAAAAGCACTATTATTAAAATGTTCAAAATAACTACTTACCCTTTAGCAGGAAATAGAGCAATAGCTCTAGGTTCAGTGAGATCACTAATTAAAGTCTTCCTTGATGAACCATCCAATCTTGCCACCTCGATTACCTGAAATTATTTGATGTTTTATAAACAAAGTACTATCAATTTAATTCTTTCTTAAAATTTATTTATTTAATTTAATTATTTCTTAATTTTTTATTGATCTTTAAAAAAGTGTGTTTGCATTTATGCAAAAGCTATATCTATCGTACTTTAAATTCGTTATCCGTCCAATAAATGTTATTGGCGATCCAGTCTATTCCAACACCGTTTGGATTGTCCAATCGGCCTTTTATTACAACTCTCGTTTCACTCATATTTAACATGTTGATTGACCTGAAAAAAAAAATTAAGTATAGTGCACTCCTAAACATAGGAATTTTGCCAGTAGTAGCCATAGTTGGCAGGCGGTTTGGCGACCACAGTTAGGCTTTGGCGATGTTTTTAAAGGGACGCTGCTGCCCATGTCTCGACCATTAAGTTCCCTTAATCGCTTCTTACGACACCCACGGAAAAGGAAAGGAAAAAAGTCTTCTTAATGATTGTTAATGTTATACTAATAAAAATGAACATTTTTCCCAAATGGATATAATATTAATAGAAAACGACAAATAATTTGAACTTAAAACAGTGCGTCCAACTAACAAGTTACACAGTATGAGCATCTCAAAATCGTTTATAGTTTTCCGACCTGTTTCTTTGGGAAAAATGTATTGCATTCTGGCATAAAATATATCCTATGTCCTTCCCCATCCCATATTTTTTATTTATACAACTTAGAACGGCAAATAATCCGACTTATCATATAGAAAGTGGTAACCGTCGCATATAGACATGGGCAATACCATGGACATAACATATAGGAAGTGTATAGCAGATTTCACAGTAATTGGTTAAGCCAATAAAGCACTAAGAGATAACAAATTTACACTTATAATATTAGTGAGAATTATGTAGATACCTTATAATATCACTGTTGACGTCAGTATAAAATAGCAATTTACGTTCCCAGTGGAAATCAACAGCAATAGAATTTAGTACATCTGTCAGAGGTAAAGTGACGTCCCACTGTTCCGGGGTGTCGAGCGATAATATTGCTACGCTCGTTCTTGTCGCAAACAAGAGGAAGCTATCGGGATGCTTTTTGCAGATCTTAGGATTTGGTTCCGTTTGGTTTTCAAACAGTATTCCTGTGGGACACGAACACGAGTAGCCGTGAGGCGATCTTAGGCAAAGGTGCGAACAGCCACCGTTGTTTGTACCGCAGGCGTTTTCTAATATTTTTTCTCCCTGAAAAAATTATAAGGTGTATTAGGTACATTTATTATCGTCTGATAGTTAGATATGGTTTATACACGGGTTTTAACGCAATCATCAAACCCTGAGTATTATGACACAATTTGTGTAATGTGAGAAAATGAGTGGGTAAAATTAACAATTTCTGCCTTGGAAGCAGCGACATGACAGCGCTACATCAGTCTACTCGTGACCACAGCCAGTGTATCTAGTCAAAACGTCGAAATAATTTAGTTAAATTATCATAGTTTACTTAAATGATCGCGTTAATTCCCGTTCCTTATAAACCATATAACCTCTATTCCTACAACCTATCTTGAAAGGAAAAAAATCTTAAAAGTTACGTGTATATGTGATTATCTAATATTATTATTTCTAATGTAATTAATTTCTAAATTTACGATAAATTCAATTACAAAATAAATTACTTAGTTTACAAAGTAAATGCAAAATCAAAATTGTAGGTACTTGTTTAATTTAACGTGCTGGACCCATAACTCATAGACTTACCTGAACAGCTCGAATATCCATAAGACCTTCCAATTTTTCTCTAATAACTAACGGATCTTTTCCATTAGTCTTATTAGCTCTGTGCAGTGCTTTTGTTTTCCAATCTGTCCAATAGATGTGTGGGCCCACGATCACAATGCCATACGGATACGAGACCTTGCTGAGTACCGTGCGACGGTCGTTGCCGTTGAAGTCAGAGCTTTCAATCGTTAAAATCTTCGCATCGTTCCAGTACAGCCGACCCTCTACATTATCGATAGCAAGACCGTTCGGCCATTTGATATTGTTATCCACAATAACACGCCTAGACGTAATAAAATTATAGAATTAGTTCAAGTATTTATTATACCAATTTTATAGTGGAAAAGTACAAGTGTTTTTTTATATCATTTATAACCTAAATTTTGTAATGTAAGTGATTAAAACAAATGGAAGTTACAAAAAAAATTTTTTTTAACTTTATTTTCTAGAGTAAAAAAGAAAGCTTTTATATAACCTATTAGTGACTAAAAACTGAAATAAATACGCCTACCTACTACCTACAAAAACAAAATATTACAACACTTTATGTATGTAAATATACTTAACATAAGTGTACATTACAATATCTTGTCTATCATATTTTTATATATTATTTTACCTATTATTGCCATCCATGTCTGCTCTTTCGATTTTAGCTGCATGCCCCCAATCAGACCAGAACATGTAGCCATGTTCATAATGTAACGCTATTGCTCGAGGAGAATCTATGAGAATAAAAAATAAATAATAATTAAAAAAATATAACACTTTTATAACAAATGCGAAAATAATAATTTTTGTCACTATCTGTTTGCAAGTAAGAATTTTGACTATATCTTTTTCGTAAATATTATAAGTAATTCATAGAATTTCACGAAAAATTAAAAAAGTAAAACATGAAAGGGTATATATTATATACATACCTAAACTAGTCCACACAAGAACTTTTCTATTACTTCCATCTAATTCAGCGACCTCAATACTGTTACGTCCACCGTCGGTCCAATATATCTGTAAATTGTAAAATGAATATAATGAAATTATGATTTTATGTCAATGTGTTGATTAATAGTGACGGAGAATGTACTATACCTTTCGACCGGATGAATCTATCACAATCCCGTCTGCAGTATTGAGCCCTTTACCAATTATTGTTTCTATATTCTCACCGGCTTTAGTTGAACGTTGAATTTTTCTTTCACCAGTATCCGTCCAGTATATGTGCCCTGAAAATAACAACACATGTATTATACCTATGTACATAGCTGTGTAGTACCTACTGTTAGTCTGCGACAGTTTTAATACCACTAGCCGTATGAGGGACTCCAAGTTCTCCAACTCAAGAATACCATCGCTGTTGCAGTGTATGAAGCCCAAACTTATGAAATGAACGTTTTAAATTACTTTTAGGTTATTTGGAAATGTCATTTGCGTCGTAGTTTAGTTAGCACTTTGTACTTTTACAGAGTACGAAAACATAACATTGCAGTTCTTAGGATTGGCAACCTATGAACTGCATGACAATATACCATATATTCAGTCGTAGTATATTTTGTGATATCCATGGTGTTGTTTATGTCTATAGATGAAGGTTACCATTTTCCATCAGGTTAGTCACCAGCTTCTCTGGCATTGTACATTGCATAAAAGAAATCATCCCATGAAGTACACGTATAACATAGTTGACTTGAATAACTTTTAACATATAATATATATAATAAGCACAACTCAATTAGTAGCTGCTTAGTCGCTAGCTATTAACTGCTACGTGCTTATATTGAATATAATATTAAGAAGCTATTCCATGAGCATAGTTCCAAGAGCATAGTTCCGAGAGTTCCATGAACATAAAACGTTTGAAACATTTTGTTATGTTCATGGAATGTATCATTAATTACGTTACCATATCACATAGTATTCAGGAAAATATTTTAAAAATCTCACCTGTTCTTTGATCAACATCAACACCAAGTGCATTTTTGAGCGGTGGTAACGGTAAAACAACATCAATAAGGTAAGGTACATCTAAAGACACGATGCGAATGTCTAGACGGTGAGCGAATATTAAGAAATTGGTAGGACCATTTGCGCATGTTTTGCCATCCTTCTGCAAAAATAAATACAGATAATATAAGTATATTTTTTTATGTTTATATAGATTCATTTTTTATTTATTGTATCTATTCTCTTAATTGTAATTTAACCAACGTTATCTTTAATTATGACAAGTTGTTTAATTATTATTGTTTTATTGTTTAACTTTTTCACTTAGTTACTAGTTAGTTACTATTTATATTTTATATTTTAAAACAAGAAAAAACGCGCATATAAACAAGTGTATTGAAGTTTGTACCGTCCTAATTTTATAATTTCATTGTTTAAGTTGGAACTTACATTGAGTTTTATTCCAATTGGACATGCGCAGCTACGACCCCCAGGTTTCAAGAGGCACAAATGCGAGCAGCCACCGTTATTCTTGCCGCATCTGTAAGTCAATTATTATTAGTCACTATCTTGACTTATAAATACTTTAAAGTAGCTTTATAATACTCATATAACTGTTCAACGTACTGATTGACACCACTTATTCGTTCTTTGTGAAATACTCTCACATCCATGAGGCCCGCTACTCCGGCACCTAATGTTCGTCTGTTATCGCCTGTATATTTATTGGCAGCTTGTATCGATTGTGTTTCCCAGTCAGTCCAAATAACTTCATCACCATACAAATCCAAACCGAAAGGATGAGGAAGATGTTGACCTAAAAGAAAATCCATAAAATGTTATTACATTGTAATTTGTGGGTTAAGCAATCGCCCACTTTTATAAAAGGCAGCGGACTTGGCTTTTTTTTTAAAGTTTATTTATTAGCGTTACCAATTGATCATAATCTGCCCATATAATGATATGTTGCCAAATTCTTACTTCGACATTTCGAGCAGTACCTATATAGGCATATTTTATTTATTTATTTATAAACATATAACAATATAATTTTACATTAACCATGTAATAGTTATCAAGACAATAATCAAACAACATTCTATACTATTACTTACCAATCAAAGTGGTGCGTCCGGTACCATTAAGGAAGGCGTATTCGATTGTACGGTTACCCCCATCTGTCCAGTAAATACGGTCGTTAGCGAGATCAAGTGCCAAACCGTTAGGCCAAGTCATGTTCCCAAAGATCAATCGTTTGCGATTACCACCGTCCATATCTGCCCGTTCAATACAAGGAACTGCTCCCCAATCAGACCAATACATGACACCACCTGAAAAATAATTATTTTGATTAACAACATATTAATACAAAATTTTAAATCTGAATGTCACCAAATTAAACTTAGTAACTATAATGGATATAAAAATAATATAATGGATATAAATATAATATATGATATAATGGAAATAAATGAATTTCCAAATAACTTCCCAATGATGGAAAATATTGTTAAGAAATTAAATTAACCCGAAAGAAAGCAGTGCAGTCAACCTCTCGGTAAATGCACCACAACGTCAATTATCAAGTTATCATTTATCAAATTTCTCTGGCCAGCCAAACTAGTATTACAGTCGTAAGCACATAAGCTGACGTGAATAATAATAATAATAATAAGAGCATATGAGGAGCATACTAGAGGAGGTGCTTCTAGAGATCCGAAGAACTCCCCTCGAAGAGAGACCGAAGCTTCCCCGGATATATCCAAATGTGGCGACGCGGGATGCCATTAAGGCCACAAATGGACTGCTGCCTCAGTACCTTGAGGGCAGCGGTGATCTGGGAGAGACGAGTTCAATCCTGTTTGGCGCTGCGTTGGCAGTATGCCGATATACCGGCGCAAAAATGCCCCGGGCTGGACGTAATATCCAAAAGGATAATATGAAACCAGCCTGGAAAAGAAGGATTGAACGACGGATCGCCCAGGCCAGAGTCCTCATTGGTAGACTGCTCTGCTTCAGGGAGGGCAACACACGCCCGAGAATTATGCGCTCCGTAAAAGAGGCCTTTGCTGGGACAGGTGTACGTCTGTTCCAGCCGGACTTCGGGCACAAACTTACGGAGCGCATAGATGAACTGAAGCAGAAGATCGCTGCATGGGGGAAGCGACTCCGACGGTACTCTGAGAGGGTTGAGAGGTATCAACAGAATCGCCTCTTTATGAGTGATCAACGGAAGTTTTATAGGAACTTGGAGCGCCCAAAACTACAGCCCACAGGACAAAGACCCGAAACAGCCAATTTCGTCGCCTTCTGGAGACAGCTGTGGTCTGAACCTGTGGAACATGAGGAGGGCGCATGGATGCACGATGTTGAGGAAGCATGTGCTCGAATAACGCCGATGAACGCCATTGCCATTACGGAGGAAGACGTGGTTGCCGCGATCCGTCGGGCTCCGAACTGGAAAAGTCCGGGGATCGACGGATTGCAGCACTACTGGTTAAAGGCGTTCTCGGCCAGCCATGCGACCTTAGCCGTGCAATTCCAGAGTGCCCTCGAAAACAGGACGCTCCCGAACTTCCTTACAACCGGGATCACTCATTTAGCTCCTAAGACGGACGATACCGCGGATCCATCTAAATATCGCCCCATCACTTGTCTTACGACAATATATAAGACGTTAACATCCGTTCTGAGCGCTAAGATCTCTCGTCATGTGTACGAGAATAAGATCCTATCTAGCGCTCAGAACGGATGCAGGGGCGGTAGCCGCGGATCGAAGGAGCTGCTCCTCATTGATGCTGTCGCTGGCCACGTGGTCAAGCGGAACCGTCGGAATTTCTCCGCCGCCTGGATAGATTATAAAAAGGCGTTCGATTCCGTGCCCCATTCATGGCTCCGGAGGATACTCGAGCTGTACAAGATCGACGGTACAGTTCGAGTGTTCTTGGAGGCATGCATGGGGCAGTGGACGACGATCCTGACTATCCAGGGCGAGCGATTGACGGATACCGCTGACCGGATAGAGATAAAGAGGGGAATATTCCAGGGCGATTGTTTGAGTCCACTTTGGTTTTGCCTGTCCCTGAATCCACTCAGTACTTTACTGGAGAATTCAGGGACTGGATTTCAGTATCGGAGAGGAGGTACACGAGTGTCTCACCTTCTGTACATGGATGACTTGAAACTGCTAGCTCCGAGCGTCGAACGCCTGACGGAGCTGCTAAATATCGTAAACGATTATAGCAGCTCTATTAGGATGGCGTTCGGAATAGACAAGTGCGCGGTCCTCCATGTGCAGAGGGGACGGGTCACTCAAACTGAAGGGATCGCCTCAGATCCCTCTAATATTAAACCCCTCTCCGAGGCTGAAACATACCGGTATCTGGGCATGTCACAAAACATCGGTGTGAAGGAGACGGATATGAAACAGTCAGTCCGCGAGGAATTTTTTGCGCGCCTTACAAGAGTACTGAAAAGTTCTTTGTCGGGCGCCAATAAAATCCGAGCTTATAACGGCTGGGTCATACCCGTACTCCTTTACACTTTTGGCGTACTCAGATGGTCTCAAACCGATCTCGAAGCCCTGGATCGGAAAGTCCGCACAACTATGACCCTCCATAGAATGCATCACCCGAAATCGTCAGTCATGAGGCTGTATATCCCGCGGAAGGCTGGTGGTCGAGGCTTGTTAAGTGTTAAGACCATGCACAACCGCGAGGTTGACAGCCTCAGGACATATTTTCTGGAGAAAATAGACGAGGGTTTGCATAGAGAGGTCATAGAATGTGACAAAGGATTCACCCCTCTTTCTCTGGCTAAAGAGGACTGGCGAAAACCCGAAGTTTTGGGTACCTCTCAGCGGGAGGCCGTATGGAAAGAGAAGGAGTTGCACGGAAGGTTCTTCAAAGCCCTTCACGGGCCGTACGTAAACACGAAGACCTCCGTGCACTGGCTACAGTTCGGTGATCTCTTCGGAGAGACCGAGGGTTTTGTCTGTGCAATACAGGATCAGGTGGTTAAGACAAACAATTACCGAAAGCACATTCTGAAGGATGGCACTGAGGACATCTGTCGGGCATGTCGCCATCCCGGAGAGTCACTCAGACATGTGCTTTCGGGTTGTTCAGCTCTTGCCAACACTGAGTACTTGCACAGGCACAACCAGGTAGCCAAAATACTCCATCAAGAGCTAGCTCTGAAGTACGGCCTCGCGAATGAGAGGTTGCCGTACTATAAGTACGAGCCCCAGCCGGTCCTCGAAAGCGACAGCGTAAGGCTCTACTGGGACCGATCCATCATCACGGACAGGACCGTTCTTGCGAACAAACCTGATATCGTGGTGATGGATCGGGCACTCTCGAGGGTGTTTTTGGTGGATGTCACCATACCGCATGACGAGAACCTCGTGAAAGCCGAAACCGAGAAGAAGAGAAAATATCTCGACCTGGCTCACGAGGTGACCAAAATGTGGGGGGTGACATCTACCGAAATCATTCCAATCGTTATGTCGGTGAACGGTCTTATCCCAACCAGTCTGGAACAACATCTCAGACGGCTGGGATTCCGAGGCGGCTCACTCCCGGGAAAGATGCAGAAAGCGGTGCTCTTAGATTCTGCCCGCATTGTACGCCGGTTTCTCTCCCTGGGGCCCTGAACCCCGGCCGACTGTGCTTCTGCCGGGGGTTAGTTGCCATCTCCTCTCCTTAAGAGGGGAGATGAGAATTTAAGTGAAATTTAAAAAATAATAATAATAAGATTACATAAGACTATGAAATAGAATGATCTCAAGCAAATCACACTACACTCTATTACTAGTTCATTATTAGTTATTACATCTATAAATGTATTAATCTACACCTTAGTAACTTTACCTTTAGGGTCAACCACAATATCCCGTGGTTTATCGATTTTGTCCCAAGCCAATAAGGTCCTCATGCTACCGTTTGCGTTTGCCACTTCTATTCTGTTCGTACCCGCATCAGTCCAATACAGTTTATTGGTAATCCAGTCATATGCTAAACCAGCTGGGGATACTTTAATGGAAAACATAATATTAGTTAATTTATTGATATTAGAAATATGTATTTTAAAATCTAAACGCCATTTAATGAAATAGGTGTATCCAACAATAGTACGTTTTCATAAAACAAACCAATTCTCACAAAAATTCTTAACTTAAAATCCGATTTATATATCTTTCCTGTTTTCCTTAATATTATTTATTTTAAACATGTGATAAAACAGACATTTATTGTGAAAATGGAGAAATTTAGATAAAATAGGACACCTTGAATGGATATGAGGAAATCAGTCTAATTTATCATAATCACACAAACCTTATACGTATGTTTAACTTGAGGAAAAAAAAAAAATAATTGACACGCAAAGGATCAAAAAATTGAAACGAATTCCGTTATATCTGCTTACTTTGTAAGAGAACTGATAAGGAGATATAAAATTTCAACTTACTTAGATTTGATCCTACAATAATTGTTTGATGAGAACCATTCAAGTAAGCACGATTGATGGTATCTTTTTCTACATCAGTCCAGTATATTGAATTTGTATTATGATCCCAATCCAAAGCTACAGCTGACTTTATATTTTCCACTGGTATCACCTGATCGGAATTCAATAATTTAACATACTAATTAGTACATTTATTCTTTTATTAAAAGATAAATATGTGTAAATTAAAAATTTTAGATGTAATTGTAAATGTCTGATTACCATGTCTAATGAATCTGTTGGCTTTTTAGGGTTCAACTGCTTCAATCTGATGTCCTTGCGGCGTGCGTATAATAATAATTTTTCCGGGGTTTCTTCACAAGTTTGACTGAAATAAATAATAACATTAAAAATAAATATTGAAAAATTACAACATTTAAAATCAATATTAAATAATAAATAATAGTAATCACCCGTCAGAAATAAGGTTGAACCCAACAGGGCATCGACAAGTTCGGCCATTACTGTTTGGAAGACATAAATGTGAGCAGCCTCCATTGTTTCCATTGCACCGATTCTTGTAAGTCTTCACCTGACGCAAGGGATGGTAACTGCAATAACAAAAAGAGTGTTTATTACCAAAACTAATCACAAGGATTTACAGTGACGTATTCTAATCCTATAATCACAAAATTATTTTAGTACAGTTGTACAGATAGTTATCTGTATAAGTTTTTGTTGCTATCCAATTTTAAGATTCAGGTCTATATTTAGGGAAAACGAAGCATGGGTTTCTGATTAGTACAAATAGTTTTTTAACTCATATTAATGATATACATTAGTTAGATATTTATGATTATAATCAATTAAATTCTACTCTTGTTTACAAGTGATTCAAATAAAAAAATAAATCATTTAATATAAAGAATGTCTTTCCTAGTATCTTACGTAATTATACTTATTTATACTGAAAATTTATAACTTACCTATGAATGTCCATTGGAACGTTTATTCCAGCATGAACGGTTTGTATACCCATTCCGGTCTTCTTATTAACAGTTGATATGCTTTTAGTGTGCCAGTCGGTCCAGTAAATTGCGTCCTCGAATAAAGTCATTGCAAATGGATGCGGTAATCCTTTATTGGTGATCTATAAAAAAATTATATTAAAAATAACATTGTATTTAAATAAACATTCAAAGTAAGTAGTAATAACTATTTTTAAATTAAATGTACCCGTTTTCGTTCCCTGCCATCAAATGTAGCTTTTTCTATTACATGGTGCTTAGCATCAGCCCAATATATTTTTGATTCCATATAATCAATAGTAAGACCATTGGGCCATACTATGTTATCATAGATGACAGTCTTCCGTCTACTACCATCCATATCTGCTCGCTCTATTTTTGGGTTCGGACCTGAAATGTCGGAGAAAATATTTAATATCAAAATGAATTAAACTGCACATTGAAAATATTTTATTATTATTATATATTTAATATAAAAATTACCCCAATCAGTCCAAAACACTAAAGCATCCCCGGGATGTACAGCAATAGCTCTAGGTTTATCAAGATCATTCGCAGCAATTACAGCCCGCTGAGAACCGTCAAGTGTTGCCACTTCTATTCTTCTGGTGCCTGAATCTGTCCAGAATAATAGATTGTGTATCCAATCAACGGCTAAACCACCTGGTGTCTCCAAACCCCATCTTATAACATCTGTAAGAAAAATTTATTTTTATCTACCAAATCTTTTACCGTCTAAATAGCTTATATATTTATGAATACAGATTTGCCCCCTTATTCATAAAACATCAAATCTCTTATAAACCTATTTTAGCTATTAAACCGTTTTATCTCTTTTACTCTGAATTCCCAATTTAAAAGAAAGTGATAAAATAATGTAACAATTAAAATAGATTTATAGAAGGATTTAGTTTTTTTTTTTTTATAAATGAGGGGGGTTAGGCTTTCACTTCAATTTTAGTGAGAACATTAAAATATTTACCTGACATGTTATTGTTATTCATTTGAGCAACACGTATTACTCTCAAATTATTTTCTGCCCAAAATACAAGCTTCTTTTCGTAATGGAAATCTAAAGCAACAGCGTTATGAAGTCCTTTCACCACCGACATATAATTATCTCCAGTTAACCAAACCTGAAAAAAATAATAAGCATTTCTGAATTTGAAATAGGTGCCTTTGCTATTACTTTGGTCTATGTGGTACGTAAATTTAGCTCCTTATTTCACATAATTATAAATTATGTGTGTTGAAATGTAATATATTACATGCATATTTATTAAAAATTATTTTGTTTACCTGTCGTATTCCGACGCGATTCGAAAAGAGTAATGTGGGAGATTCGCCAGTGGGTTTACATGATCTACCGTCTGGTCTCAATACATAACCAGTCATGCAGCCGCATCGAAAGCTTCCTACAGTATTCGAGCAAGTCTGAGAGCATACTGGGTCTTGTTCATACATACACTCGTCGATGTCACGGCAACTGTATATAAAATAATTAATTATATTTTAGTGAATTTCGTACAACTACATAAAAATGTTAATTTACAAAGAGAAATATTTAAAAACTAAAGCATATTCTGTACAATAAAAATAGCTAACCTGTATCCATCATCGGCTAACAGGAATCCCAAAGGACAATCACAAGCAGGTAAACCATCGTAGGTAGTGATACATATCAGCTCACATTTATCTTCGGAACCACAACTCCTTCTAACTGGACATTTCTCTTCATCATCGCCACGAGGACAATCGTTCATACCATCGCACACGTGTTTTCTATTCACACAATTTCTGAATGCATTACTGATAAGATTCTCTTGGGATTTGCACATGTACTGATCTTCTTCGCAAAAAACTTTACAATTCGTTTCATCCTCGCCATCCATACAATCACGAACTCCGTCACATATCCAAGTTTTCTGTTAGATATATTTGCATTAATTAATGTAACTTTGTCTATATTAAAGGTTTTCAAAATAATATGTATTGAAATTAAATACGTAACAGTAGGTGCTCCAGTATGTATTAATTATGTAAAATAACAACAAGGTAGCTTTATGTTAAATTTAAATTTTTTGTTTTATATTTCCCAAAAAATATTGTTGTTTATATATACACTTACCAAAATACATCGTCCTTCTGTACATTTGTACTCGTCTGAGGTGCAATTGCGCATTGCATGTGGTTCGCAGTTAAGCTCATCTCCTCCATTTGAACAGTCTCGTTCCGAATCACATCTCCATCGTTCCGGAATACATTTTCCATCGCTACACCTAGTAATTTTATTAATCATTTATTTAACACCTTTATTTCAGGAAATAACCTTAATAACAGATGTTTATGTATTTTAATCTTAGGGGCATTTTAAATCTAAAGTTGATTCTAATTAATGTAATATTTTTCATTATGGTTTGTATTCTACAAAGATGTGTTCTTAGGATATATTTACATTTTACTTGAAAAACGTCCTTACTTAAACTCGCCGGCATTACAGCTACCCGGCATCATGGGGCAGGTGTCTTCATCAGTCCAATCGCCGCAGTCGTTGTCTCCATCGCATTGGAACTCTTTCCGTATACATTTCTTATTATCACACTGGAATTCGTTCTCGCCGCAACGAAGCAAGTCGACAGCTTAAAGAACAATAAAGAAGGGATATATTAATTTTATTATCAGTACCTTTAAAGAAATATTTGACCCGTGATTTCGCGTACATGTTCACTATTTCTTTATTGCATATAATATCTTCACTAAAATATAAGAATACTATATTATAAAAGTTTGATCTATCAACTTACGACATTCAGCTTCATCGGAGTTGTCAGGACAGTCGGCTTCTTTGTCACAGCGCCAATGCAACGATATGCATTCACCAATCGCACACATGAATTGATTGTCGCGGCATCTAGTATAAAACAATGTTTTCAATATTAGAGACGTGATCTATATAGCAGAAATTTACCAAAATTTTTGACTCGTAGAGCATTTGCCATGTTTTTTCAATTTTGAGTACTCTATAGTACTTTTTTTCCTTTTAACCTCAATTTTTAGCCTGATATAGACCAACTTCTAATATTATTATAATCTTAATAGTAGGTTTATAATATTACATAGTAAATGCAGAAGTGAGTTTGTTTGTTACACTTTTAAACATAATGCTGCTGAATCGATTATGACGAATTTTGGTATGGAGATAGATGTGACCCTAGAATCGGTTATAAGCTATTTTTTCTTGTAAAAGACTTATAAGGTATGGGGTGAGGGAAGGATAACTTTTGTATGAAACTTTATATTGCATCGTCCGATTTACTTCAAACTTTACAGAATTGCAGAAACTGTTTATAATTTATGTTTAAAGTATACATATTTATTTTTTTCAAACTACCCCTTAAAGGGATGAAATGAGGGTAACAGTATGTAAAAATAAAATAGAATAATAATAATATAATAATAATATTATATGGAAAAATCGTACTCAAATTACGTGCATTCAACTAATTCAGCTCTGTCCTTTTTCCCCATTAATTGACAAAATTCACGTAACAAGTTTGCATTATACAGTGAAAACATATAAAATATCTTTTTTATTACTTTTTATATTTAGATTTACATAACAATTCGATAGTGCTGAATAACTATTACAATGCCGTATTGTTTTATTTTATCAACTAAGTTTTATTAAAACCCTTACAGCAGTCTAGGAGTGAGAGTGTAAATACGAATCAATAGATGACGCTTGTCGATATACGATATATAAATGTTTTTACTACTATTACTCATTTTATATTTTATTATTGACTGATTAATTTGTTACAATGTATCAATGTAATTAGTTCTATGTCAATAATATGGTAAGAACGTTTCGGTTTATGTTGTTTTTTATTTTCTTTGAGCGTTAGTCTTTTATTATTTTCAGATTCGTCGAAAGATTTACTCTGTATCAAATGTTTTTTATTTTGTACTTGATACAAATTTATTATCTATGTTTAGTTCTATGTTAATAATATTTGTAATACGTTATATATTATTTTCTTTTTTTTTGACCAATAGTTTATCTTTTAATGTTTTCAGGTTCTTTATCTTACATCTAATTCTACTTTTTTACTCTTATTTTACAGTGTCATATAATTTTTCATTATGTACGCGGTATAAATTGTTATCTGTAGTTAGTTTTATGTTAATAATATTATAATTGTATCACGTTTTATGTTATGTTTTTCTTTTTTTTTGTAACCATTTTATACATAAAACCATAATTATTTAACAACATCATTATTAACGTGAACGATGCCGTGGGTAAAAGCTAGTATTCTATATAATTTATTTTTATGTAAATGATCTCTGAGGATTGATATAAACGTAATGAAAAAGTAAAAACGTCGATGCGTATGGAATCTTCTTTCATTTCTTGCAAACTGTTCCCTATAGTTATTTATAAACCACACGATTTTGTACATAATCGCTAAAGGCTTTTAGTGGGCTCTACTAAATAGCACGTTAATTGGCAAGTTAGTTGAGTTTTGAAAGGTGATCGGCCCGACGAATCGGCTCTACCGATCGCGTGCCAAATCATGATTCATAAACAGTTATTGAACCTTTTCAATTTTCTATCATAAACTCTAGTAAATAAATAATAATAAATTTAATTTATGTGTTAAATTTATTTATTAATTCTTTACTACATTACTTAAAGAATCATCATCATCATATCAACCTTTAATTGTCCACTGCTGAACATAAGCCTCCCCCTTAGAGGGTTTTGCCAGTAGTTGTCATGCTTGATAGATGGATTGGCAATTACAGTTAGGCTTTAGAGATGTTTCAAGAGCCATTATCCCTCGCTCTCCACTCGACTTAGTCGACTCTTACAACACCTACGGGAATGGAAGAGGTGACCTAGTCTATGCCAGGACCACACGGCTTAAAGAATAATATAAAGAATAATTTATTTATTTTTATGTTCATCTTATTAGAACTAATTTAATTTTTTTTTCAGTAAATTTTGTCTGTCTCAGTGATGAGATGATGGTACTTAGCCGTCGGTATAAGATAAAATAGTAAGTTTGCAAAGACATATAATAGACTCGCGCCGAACAAATCTTTATTATTTAAACTGTATAAACAATGTATATTATTATGTGATATTTATTATGAACATTTCGTGATCCTTATATAATAAATAAAAAGAAATATTTTATAAAATAAAACGATCTTATCGCTAAAACAATCGCTTCCAGATATTGTCGAATAGCGGAGAAAAGAAAAGAACAGTAAAGAGTAGTTGATGCAACCAATGCAAATAAAAATAAATATAACTGATTGAACTTATATTTAACACTTAACCAGCAATATTTTTGATCTGAAGTTAGTTATTATACATAGTATTAATTAAAATAAAAAAAATTATCGCTTGAGGGATTTATACGCTGCATATTTATTTGTTAATTGATTTTCAAATATTTTTAAAAAAGAACCGGAATTTTAAGTAGCCTTTAAAATTATCTCCAAAATTTATTTCATTATTTATTAAAAACTATTTCAAGATAATTAGCCAAAATAGCTCAGATTAAAAAGGATTATCTTTGTGAATTTACAAATCGGTTGGTATTGGTTACAAAAATGTAATAGGCGGAGTTTATGATCCTATCATTTTAGCTAATAAATGGACATTCAATACTGAATTATCCAAGCGTTAAATTTAAACTTCAATCCCTTAATTATAATCTATAAATAGATATTTATTTACAGAATACATACAGCGATGGTTTGTATTTAATGTGTATAGTTAATTCCATGTGACCGTGGAATAGCAGTAGAGATAGCTATAAACACATTTTGCCAACGTTAATCACATCGATGATTTTGTTTTACAAGAAGCCCGCCCACGGAAGTTGGATATATCGGGCGTCTCCTTCATGGGACGCGGGCTGCGCGTAGGCGCGTTACCATGGATACCATCTCAGCCCGCCGCGCCGCCGCCGCGCCCTCCCCCATACTGCGCGCGGCCCACCTCGTATTGATCTACCGACCGTTACAAGCCACCCTGTATAACCCAGCCAGTGACAAAATTTTGACATGACAGACAGACAAACAAATCAACTTTTTAAATTAAGAACATTATAGAATATCATTAAAATTTGTATATTATTATGGTACCAATACGGAAGTAAACTCTATCGTGATGAAAAAAGAGTAATCAAAAGCGGTTCACAATTGGCGACGATATGAAGTAACAGTCGAATTGAAAATCTATTCCTTTAGTTTTTGTACCAAAACGGTACAACATGTAGGTCCGTCTCTTCGTCTGTCACAGCTCTGTATCTTAGCAACTACTAACGTTGTCTATTAAAAATTAGGAATAATTTTAGATATTGTTCACTGAACCTGTTCCAAATTAAAAAGTCTCTTTAGAAAAAAGATGATATCACAGTGACCAGATGATACCACAGCTTAACCTTGATTAATGTAAATATAGTAATAGGTTTAAATTTTAAAGAAAATTTACCAATATGGCCCAAGTGACTTGGATACTTTACTCTGACATGACAAATATGATAGGATAGAAGAACTCAAAATTAATGGACACTTCTATAATTTGCCGTAGTACGACACGACATGATATTGTACAGTTTTATCTTCACGATACAATAAAAGAGTAAAATGTAAAAAAATTTAAAATGTCATCATGTAATGCCACTTCTGTAATATTGTCGCAGAAAGAATAGTCAAAGAAAAGTCTCTATATAAATTCATACATTTTCCTTTACTACTATATTGTAACAATAAAATTGTACGATCTAATGCTCTATGAAAGTAAATCTTTCGAATAAATTTGTAACTAAATGATGTCTATGCATAGGAGATATTTAAGAAAAATCGATAAGTCGGGTCAGTAGAAGCGAAATCAATATTATTTAAAAAATTTGTCTATCTTTATATTTGTTTTGGCATAACACATTACCTACTTTACCAAATTTCATACAGATATCATGATAGTATTGCTAAAGGTCTCACATAAAGTTTGGTGTATGTTTTATGTCGATACACTATCTAGCAGTAGTTAACTACTTACCTATTTTACTTATATGAGCAAAATTTAATGATTACATAAAATAGTCAAATACTAACATCTGGTACTTATAATGTAAGCTTAATTTATTAATATAATTGTTAACGTATATTTCAAATGTATTTATAGTTTGTTATTTAAATGTTGTTATTAACGTTTAAGTATTAAGGTTTCAATCAACCACCTAACACGATCGCTTAATAAAATTGTATTTCTTACAACTCTATTACTAAAGCTATAAATGGTGTTATTACGTGGGTGGATATTACGTGCAAACCGTTCTACTATAAATCTGTCGATTGCGTCATGTGCAACAATATTATACGCCGAGATGATGTCTTTGGTACGAGTTTCATGACCTAAGTAGATAAGCGATATACATTGTGCATGAACTCACGCACTTATAAAAAGTACCTACCTAAGTACCTACCGGTAATATCTAAATATATTTTAAAAATGAACACGATAGTTATATATTCCTAGAATTCAATTCTTCCTGCCAATATCTGAAAGAGAGAATCCTTGCTACCATCTATGATCTAAGAAATATGTTAACGAAGCAAATTTGACATCTGAACATAAAATGTGTTAGAAAATATTGAATTAATCTTTAATTTTAATAAATCTTTCATATAGTAATTATAAATTAGCTTAGAATTCCTTAACAGAAACACACAGAAAATCTATTTATTTCATTAACTTCAGATATTTTGTCAGGAAGGTAAAAAAATACTGATATTATACAATTATTTTCATCTAGAAATTAAATAAGAATATAAGTTAATTAATACTTTTACAATTATAAGGTAGTTGAGTCAGTTTGTCTATTGATAACGCACTAAATGAAATTGTTAAATGGGTTTGTATTTTTACAATTGTAGGAAAATTACTTGGATATTAAAATAAACACCAAAAAGACCATTCCATTAATTTAAATATTGGCTAACGTCGAAACTTTCTATTTAAATTTTTAAAAACAACTCTTTGGTAACTGAGGAATTAATTGTATTTGACCCAGATATACAATTGATACTATCGACTATGACCCCAACTGCGATAAATTCCAATTTATCTTGATAAACATATGCTGATAGTAATAAAAAATTACGAACATTGACTATAATTATTGCTGAGTCCAAATTCAACAATCTGTTTAACAGTCTTAAATAAAGTTATACTTACTTGCCCCTGGTGCAGTTGGTTTCATCGGAATTGTCGCGGCAGTCGTTGTCGCCATCACACACCCAATCTTTGTGGATGCATAAACCGTTGGCGCATTGAAATTGTTCGGAGGTGCAGTTTGCTGCGCCTTTAACAAAAACACAAGTAAATATTTGTTTTTCTAAACCATAAATATTTACGAAAAATTTACAAAGTTGCTATACCTACTAATGGAAATAGCAAATAAACTAATAACTTATTTGATAGAGCGTCATTTGACAGTGGCATATCTGAGAGATAAGGTTCTCTTACATTAGAAATCGCAAAACTGCAAAATATGTGCATAGCTTTAAGAGAGTTAATAGTGTAAGCTGAAAACTAGCGTAAACATATTTCCATATCAGACATTAATTGTCCACTGCTGAACATAGTTCACTCTCTGTTGGAGGGGTTTTGTCAGTATTTGCCACACTTAACAAGCATGTTGGCAACCGCAGTTAGGCTTCAAAAATGTTTTAAGAGGGTTGCTGCTGTCCATCCTTCGTCCCATTAAGTTCATTTAGTCGTTTCAAACGACAACCACGGGAAAGAAAGAGGTAGCCTAATCTACGCCGGGGCCATACGACTATAGCATCACATCACATCACAGCTAACATTGAACTTAACGTAGCTTAACTTAGGTAATGACCTATCTACTGTGTCTTATATAGGTAAGACTATTTTAATTGTAAAGAAGGTACTAATGTAATCTTGCATATTCTGCAGCTGCTTTATAAAGCTGATATGTGCATACTTACCACAATGTGTTTCATCGGAGAAATCTCCACAGTCGTTGTCACCGTCGCATTTCCACTCGATAGCAATGCACACGTTGGTATTGTGGCATATCTCGCGATTTTCGTGCTCGTCACACGATCTCCCGCAACCTGCCTCGTCTTCGGCTTCCGCGCAGTCCGCCACACCATCACACCGTTTTTCCATTGGTATGCATGTACATGATACCTGAAGACAGTAAATAATTTAGTAATTAAAGTTCATAACATCCTTATCGAATTCAGTTGTCACAAGAAGGACGAAGTAGTAATTCCCATCTACAAACAAGCTGATATTCTACCACGTATTATATATAACTTAATGAGAATATAAACTAACTAATAATTAACCCAACTATATGAAACTGCTGATGTACAATAGTAGTATACATAAAAAACCATTTAGACAGTGTTTTTGTAATAATTTCAACAAATCTTGGTTCTTTTCGATGAGTTTCATTAAAAAAAAAACTACAAGTCTTGTAATAGTGAAAAGAACCTAGGTAAAACTACGACTTATCTAAAATGATGGATTACGATGTTATTTATATAAATATGGAGTACTTCGCCCTGACTGTCAAGAATTACATGCAAATAAAACCTATCCCAATATTTTTATGAAAAATTTCCTCATATAAGAAGTCGTATTAATGTTTGTTGAAATTGGATTGAACAAACAACTTTTCCGGTTTCAATAGGAAGAACAGTGCATCGAATCAAATTATCCAAACAATAGAGAATAAGTGTATACAATAGACTCCACATCTCATGTACATTCGATCTTTCCTCATCCATATATTACTTTTCCTAATACATAATGTTCTTTTGTTTTCTGATTACATTCATTCTGAGATTTATATATTCTTCCTTCCTTCAAGATTGCATGCGCTCCATTACTCGATATTAATATAGTATTCAAATGTACAGGAGACAATAGGGACAATTTTGTAAAACTATTTTTTAAAATTATCAGTAAAATTACAATTTTAATTTATTAGTTTAACAAAACTATTATAGTTTGGACCATCGACAATAAAATGTAAAGCAGTTCTGATACAATTCTAGTAAAAAAATAGAATATTAATTTCATTGCAATATAAAATTGAAATTTTTATTTTAGAACATTAATATATATTTTATGTATATAGATATGTATTGGTATACCTTTAAAAATGTTATTATGTAGCAAAAAATTTTATATACATTAAAGAGAAATATTACCTGACACGAGAAATGTTGTTTGAGGCATGGTAGATGACAACCACCATCGTCCTCGTTTTCGTCTGTATCCATTGCCACGACGTAAGATTCCTTATCGCCAGTGGAGCGATCTAAAGGAAGATGAGGTATTCTCTTAGTTGTACGCTTTACTACATGTAGATAAAATTTTAGTCATACTCGTGTTAACGAGGAAGTGAAAATAAAATGTGTCAACGATAATAGTAATTAATCTTAATAGGCATTGTCTTCGATTGAGAGAAAACTGAATTAGTATATAAATGCTTCTTTAATTGATTACTCGGAGAAAATTTTAAATAAACCTTTTAAAATGTCTTAAATGCCGAAACTGATTAGGTATTTATCATAACAATTATTCATTTATTTACTTATTTATTCAAACGATGTCATTAGAAGTTCTTGTCGTTTATTTTTTATAGAAGAATACAACAGTTTTTCTAACAGCGTTATGTATTATTTCTGTCTAAAAATATTTACATAAATTACAAAAAATTAAACAAAAGGCAAAATTTAGGTAGCCTTCTTAGCTATGTCTTCCAGCCAACCTTAGTATGGATATAGAAGCAATAAATATAAATCGGTACTTACGATTCCAAGGTTCCACGCGAGTGTAAGGACTGTGTGAATCTCTGCGTATCCCCTGTATCGGGACCGGCGCCATCGCTGGTGGTTGGTAAGGAGGCACGCGGCCGAAGGGCGAGCGCGGGTCTGGTGGTTCCACCGTCCCGTTTCCTGCCCGCGGCACCGCTAATGGCGGCGACTCGTCCGCATTCACTGCACATCATGTACTTGATTTACAGTTTACAGTTTCAATTTTACATAAATTTTTCATGTCTCATAACATGAAAGAGGTAGAGTGAAGTTTATGAAAAAAATATTGAATTTTAAAGGTTTTCAAAAGATCTTTTATAAAAGAAAAACCAATGGACTGGCTATACAAGAACTTGTATTTATTGTTTCTCTATATCTGTATCTATTATTCACTTTTATCATTGATATTTTCGAGAACTTGCATTTATGCAACTTAAAATAGCGAACAAACTAATGGCCCACTTGATAAAATATTGCAACCATCGTTTATTCTTACAGACATGAAGGATACTTCCATATAGTATAGTACTTAATGGTCCGTAAGTTTTTTTTTATACAACTTAGAATGGCAAACAAGCTGACGGCCCATCTGATGGAAAGTGGTAACCATCACCTATTGACATGAGCAGTACCATGAACATAACAGAGTATACTGTTTCCCCCATGATACCCCCCATGCGTTGCCATGAGCTGCTTGCGTTGCCTGAGGACTCAGATGTTATTCCTCTATACCCTGTAACTTCACGCCACATCCCACCCTTCAAACCGAAACACAGCAATGCAAACACAACCGCTTCACGGTAGAGACACGAATAGGACAGAAGTACCCAAGCAATCGACTTTTGTACAAAGTCTTTCTCTGGTTGTTACTTAAAAATAGAAATATAGTCATAGAAGTAAAGTTGGTTATTGGCAGAGACATACACAAAATTCATATTTTTTTTAAACAACCACAAATAATTTTTCTAGAACTAGATAGCCGACCTATTTGTTTTGATCAAATATTAATATAACTGATAAAAAAGTTTGAATACGTACCACATAGCCAGAGAAAAGTAACGGAGGTGATGTAGACAAGGATCGGTGCCGGCATGGTGATCAGTTCACCAGTATTGCGGAGGTGGTTCACATCACTTAGGTGACTTGCGAGGCGGGCGCGCGAACACTCCTCACCCACGACGGTCGCAGCATGGCTCGCCGGCGGTGTCTCACGGAATGCACGGTGCTGCACACAATTTGAAATCCGTAAGAATTATATATTAGAAAAAAAAAACAATATTTTGTTCCACAAACAAAAACTGTATTCAACGGAGACAATAATTATGGAATCAATACTAGAATAAACCCTTAAGGCTTGTCCAAAGTCTATGAACATTTTATCCCCGCATATAATTTCCCTTTGCATAGGTTGTAGCATGAATATTTAGAAGTTTTACTGTGACTAAAAAATTTACATCAAAGACTTTCTCTTCGGTTTGAAAAGCCGAGGTAGATGAATCAAACCTAATTGAAATTATCTCCACTAAAATATATACCTTATCTAAGAAGATATTATTATCATTATTAATTATAAAATAATCATTAAAATCAACACAAAATTAGTGCAGATGCAAAGAAATCCCTTAAAATGCTATGAATACCATTTAGTGGATACATAATTATAAAAATCGTGTTCATTGTAATTTCAGGGCGTTGGTCATAGTAATTTTTGAACGAAGTGATACTTAATAATTCCATTATGCATTATTCCGTATTATTAGGTTTATATATTTACATTTCTAAAAAACTTTTTACTGACAATAAATATTTTCATTTAGATTATATAAAAAAATCTGGTTTAATTTCACTAGAGGTTTAAAAAATGTAAAATTATTAATTGTTCTTTATTTGATTTAGTTTTATGTGTTAACTATTTATAAAAACTCTCGTATGTTATTATATTTGGACTTTCCTTTAAGATAGTTTTAAATGTGTTAATGACTTAATGTAATATTAGTCGCGAGTCAATTTCCTCGAACGACATCTATATAATCGATACTTGCGCACCTACTTTTTCTGTTATTTTCTCAAGTTATTTACAAAAAAAAATCTGCTAATATTATACATGTAAAGTTTGTTTAAAAAAAATAATTATTATTACACAATTAGCCTAGACAAATTGTATAAAAATCCATAGAGTTAATATAATACTACTGAGACTATTCTACTCGAAACCACTGCACTGAACAGGCCCGAGTTACTTTGAACAAAAAAGGTTTGTTGGAAATCTATACAACTAGTTATTTATATTTAAAAATTTTATATTACAAAGTAAAGTATTTTTTTTATACAGCCTTTCAATATCAAAATTTTTCGAAAGACATTATTATATTCATTTACTTTATTACGTTGATACTTTTAAATGATAGCATAAAATCATTTTCCTATTTCGTGAATATAAAGGTAGTGCCTACTTTTAGATATCGACATTGTTACTTTGTATTATTGATCAATTAATTGTAGCGCCAATAAGCAATTTCAATTAATTCAAAAAGGTTTAATTCCAAATTCGAATGTTATTAAAAAAAATAGATCGCATGTTTTATTTTGTTTGCATAAAAAGAGAACGCCATAAAAATGCTATGAGTATATGCAATTTGAAATAGCAATATAATTACGTTATTGAACAAACCTTAACAAACGAACGAATATATAAATGATATGAGCAATAAAGCTACTCTACTAACTTAGTATATAAACTATATTTTTACCGAAAAGTTATAGGTACCTTACATAAAATACTCGATCAATTTTACTTGTGGAATATTAATAATTTCTTATATATAATTTCATTTGGAACAGGTAACAACAAGAATAAATAAGAATATTTCGATATTTTTTAAATAATAAATTGAAAAATTTCACTATTTTTTCAATGTCAAATGTAAAATACAAATCAATTTTAATAAAATTTCACTGGAACACTGTAGTACTAGCCAAACAAATAAACGTTTTAAAATTGCAATTAAAGAAATTAGTTTGCCCGCCAAAATAAAGTCAAAATAAGACAAAATAATATGTCTAATCTTCCTCACACTTCGTATTTTCCTTATATCTCATTCTAACTATAACTGTCGTTGATACCATATTTATTGAGATCACAGGTATTTTCCTTAATCTATGACTGTACATAAACAATTTTAACCTCATGATAATGAGGTCATCTGGATACACTATCTATCATTCTGTTATAAACGTTCTTATGAGATTTTATATATTTGTACTAACAACAAAATGTTTATCATTGTGAATTGTATTGGTACCAAAAATTTTGTAGGCACCTAACTGTATTGACAATTTATTCAGTTTAACAAATGGCTAAATAAATTACTGCTTGTTTAAGATAACTATTTATATTATTATGTTTTTACCTAATGATTATCTGGTAAAGAATGCTACATGGCGTTACTCTCGATACCTACACATAGATTTATTGTGTAGTTTATTTAAACTATAATCCAAGAAGAGAATGTTTGGGTTCACAATAATGTGCAGTATACTTCATACGTTCTCATACGAGTACAGTAAAAGAAGTAAAAAATCATTATTTTTAGATATAATAGAACCGGTTAAATGAGAGATGAACTCACACGCCAAGGATTCCGTACATAAAATAATCTATAAATAGATTTTAATTCTTTATATATATCGGATAAAATATGATATGATAATAAAATGCAATAGACACATAATAATTATTGAAATGTTTATTTTGGGCCACAAATACGATTGAAAAATGAACCACATAAATGTATATGTACGTGAAATTTTTGGATAATTTTTCAAAAACTATTCTAGTTATCTACTTTCCTAGTTATCTATTTATTATATATATGTCGGGGGTGGGAGGGTGAATAATGATTTATATGTTTGTTTATAAACTATATATTTATTATTACCAATTTTTCCCTTCACAAGCTTTGTGGGTAGGATGGAGGCGTAGAGAATAGTATATTTTTTTACATTTTCTAATCATAACGCGATAATTAGTGCTATAAAAATAAAAAAAATATTTTGTTAACAAAATGTGCAAATTAAGCGCTTTCAAATGTTGCTATACTTGGATAAGTAGTTCCGTTTTCCATTTTTAAGTATAACTTTTGAGCCCCTCAGCAAACAAAATAAAATAAATTCAATTATCAATTTATAATATGGGCCAACAATACCTAAAACTATTTCAAATTTCAACTCGATTTCATTGATACTCGCTGAGACATAGCACTGTGCAAAACGGACAGTTGGACGGATGAGCAAAATCTCACCATAAGGATTCTTTTGTACTTTTCTTGTACAGAACCCTAAAAATAATAATGCCACTATAGAACCTGCCCTTCCCTGTACAGATGACGCCGTGTCGTATTTGTTATAGAGGTAAGTGCGTTACAATAGCCCCCCAGTAACGTACTATAGTGTGCCAGGTGAGGCAGATTTTATACAATATACAAATAACTCACTTTATATTTAGACTTCCTTTACCATTAAAATAAAACCCGATTTAGAAATAAATTTGTGATTTAACGTTATTGAAATAACTCTGTGGCTACATGTGGATCTGTTCCTTTCGGAGGTATCTTATATTATATTGTATTATTAGTTTAGCTATTTTTCTAAATCTGCCTGAAAACATTTCAATTAACTTATTATATTGTATGTTATCATACTCTATTAAAAATAAAAGTCCATAACAGGTACTAGGTTGACACCGCCCCACAAAGTTATATCTACCGACTTACAACTTTCCTCTTGTTTATTCGTATAAATTAACTCTTGTTTTATTTAGTTATTTCACGTATCACCGGCACAATTAAATGTCTATAAAAATATAAGGTAATAAACAATTTACGATTCCAAATTAGTGACGAGCTTTTTAGCAGCCATGTTGTGAGGATATCGGGGCGCATGCGCGTTCGGTAGCCATCCCGTAGGCTACTTGTTGATCTCATTTTCATTCACCACGCAGAGAACGGCGCATTCTACGCAGTTAGGTCAGCTAAGACCTTGCATGTAAATCAGAGACAGTCTAAATGCTGATGGATATATAAACTTATTATACCGTTTTAAATACAAACTTAACTCGGAAATCGAGCGTTTACACATAAGGCAAATTGCTTTGTCACGTAAAGATTCATACATATGTTATTAAAAATATTTGTTTAAAAATAGATTAGGTAATGATATAAGAGATCATGAGATTCAATTAATGATCGTAACTATATTAATATTCTAAATATGTAATTAAACGTAATAAAGGTAGATGTTAACATTCTTGATTCAACATGTGAATCCAGACTGCGGATTTTGTCACTTACTATTACAAAATCATAATTATACTTAAGTTTTAAAAATATATGTTAATTATAATTGAAATAAATTTATTTGCTAGAAATATTATTTTAATGTAATATCTGTCGGTTTAACTTACGTGTAATTACATTGTGTAATCAAGAAAACTCGACTAGTTTCGGAACCAATTCGGGGCCCTTAGTAATGAGCGGCTGTGACGCGAATGGGACCCTGACTAGTTATTATAGCTTTAAAATATAATGAGTGCTTATAAATCTTTTAACAATAGAGATATTATTGATAGTATGTTACATTTTTGTAGTAATGAAGATAATTATGTTCTGCCCCATTTAATAGCATGCTATCATCCAACAAACATCGTTTTAAACTGACAGTTAAAAATATAACATTACATATGTATAAAGTTTATATGGTAGCGGCAGCGATATATTGACGGTGCTACTTAGCTATAAACGTTCGACGCTTGAATTTTTCTATTATTTTTCTTTAGTTATAAAAATAAATAATAGAAAAATTCAAGCGTGCTAGATAATTACATTAATGGTTATAGACAATTGTTGTTTTAGGTATTATTAACTATACTTATTATCTATTTATGTAATAGTTTAGTTAGTTATATATTAAAGTTTAAATTTAGTAATATATTAAAATGTAATTTTAGTTTCAAATAATACGATGTATAGCCGTAAGTTTCGATGTTCGTTCAACCGATTGTTTCTCCATCCTGAACACTATGGGTATATAAGATAAAGTATATGCCGATTATTATTACTTGAGACATTAAGGAGCTAAAAGGTTGTGTTTATAAAATGAGAAAACTCATTTCACATTTATAATATTAGGAAGTACATTTACTTATATTTGTAAATACTAATTTATTTTTATAAATTACTAGCTTTTACCTGCGACTTTGTCTGCGTGCCTGAGATATTTTTGATCGCATAAAAAGTAACGACTGACCGAGATAAAAGAAGTCTATTTCCCTTCTCCATCCCATATAGTACGTATATGCCAAATTTCAAAGTAATTCATTCAAGAGCTATGAGATAACAAACAAACAGACTCCCTTTCATATTTATAATATTAGTAAGGATTTGCATGAATACTTAGTAATTTGATATTTATTATCTACTCAAATACGAATACTAGATACGAAAATTAAAAGACATACGATCATTCTCAGGTATTTTAACATGTAAGAGGAATTTATAATAATAATATAAACACTTCCCCCATGGGTGTGCCAAATAAATAATTATGTTAGCGAAATGTATCTAGTGAATGTCATATTTTGTAAAATCATATGTTTACATAATATAAATAGATACTTACCTAGTATAAACATGTTAAAGTTCTTAGTAGGTATCGACGATAGACAATTATCTACAAATATCTGTCGGAATTATGTATATGATATATATATTTGTAGTATCTACTTTAAAAATCAAGTATCAGAGAGATATTTTATGGTATAAAAAACATTTAAACCATAGAAGTTTTGGATACAACTGCATTCGAATATTAAATAAATAACAGGGAAATATTTTTGAAAATTATAACAAAATTTTGCGAATACGTATGAAAATTGAGCGATCAATACGGGGGGTGAACTGCGCGGAGGCTTGCGCCCACGCCCGCCCCCGCGCACCTATTCCTTACCCCCTCGCGCCCTCTTGGAACCCGAAACTCGGCACCTCCTGCCGCCCACGGGCCTGACCATGAAATTCAATTTTACGACGTCAAATGCCATTTTTACCCCAAATACTATGTTTAGCATCTTCTTATGGCAAAATTGCGGAAGCAGATTGACATCCATGTAAAAGGTATCAGTACCATAATCACATAATTTCTCGCTTTAAATTAAGAAAGATTTCACGAAAGAATGGAAATGTTATATTCTGATACATATATATTCAGAAATACACATTATGTTTGGTACCTACCTACCTCAATCCAATAGATGTGACAGTATCTTTGCTAGATTATGGTTCACAAATCACCAAAACATTAGCGTCTTTACTTGGTTTTTCCGAAAGCACGTCACTTTATGACACTGAATGTTCCCGAATGTTACTTCACTTGTTCTTTTTAGGTGGCCTGCTTGGTAAGATATTTTGCTTTATGGTAAGCTACTGGCGCATCTGATGTGTCCTGTTCGCGAGACTAATGGATACTAGGTGAGCTGGAACCTCGGCCGCCCCTCCGCGCACACCCCCCTTGCGCCCCCGCGCAGTCTGCGCCTCGTCGATGAATGGAGCCCACCGCCCCTGCTGCCTTGCTCCTGTATATAAATCCGTTTCAACACTCTTCATCATTTGTTTTGTATCGACTACTGTGAATAACGCCCGATGAAAATAGATGAAGTGCTTATAAATATAGGTGAATTGACCTGATATTTTGATCTCTTCGACATTTTTTATCTATAATCCAACTATAAGGCTACATAATCACCCAACAGAACCTCTCAGGGAAGAAATTAAAATTAATATATCATTTTCTTGTGTTAATAAATGACGAAAGGCCTTTGCTTTGAAAAAAATAAATTTATGGAAGTTCTTAGCTGAGTCGTATAATATTTTAATTATAATATATGGTCAAATTTGGACCAAATACCTAGCAACTAATCTACCACCTTCATAGCCTTTATATATGCTCCAAATACTCAATAACGCCGCCTGTTGCATAACATCTAAAATTAGAATGATAATATACTTACACTATATATACTCGTCTATCACTTACAATAATAACTATGTACAACAAGCATATTGAAGTTGTATAAAGCAGAACTAAGTTTTTCCAACTGATCCTTGCAGTTTTCCGATTTATCATTAGGTGGCGGTACGACTTCAAACTTGTGCTACTAAAATGTATTCGACGTATCTACGTCAAGTACATTTTAGTAGCACATCATCTTAGTAGTTATAGGTGTCTACCTAGTCGTAGCTTTTTTGTGCAATCTCCCACTGTGAATTTTCCAATTTTTCTTTCTAGTGATTATGAGAAAGGATAGATGGCACTTCGAATTTAATATTAAGATTTACTATTTTGTAATTTAAGTAATTCTCTACATTAATTCTTGTTATTTATAATACTGGTAGTATCTAATAAGTGACAAATATTTTTTTTTATATTTTCAAGATAAGCACTCTAGAGATGTCTAGTTTCTTCCAATCTAACATACCTACTTATCCACATTTTTTTCTGCGTTAAAACGTCTGTTTTAAATTGGAAACGTGATACTGATATATGTTTTTGAAAACGAGTAAATTATCTTGCAAATTTCATTCTAACTGATTAATTACTGATGTGTATCCCCGATATATATTTCTGGTTCACTAATATATCTATTATTGAACCAGAAATATATATGTAATTAACTTTTGACTCGACTTCGCTGTTATGGACTAAAATGCAAAATCCTTATATACAATACTAATACTTATTTGATATCTATTTCATACAAAAAAATACAATGAGGATTTTGTATCATATACATATCTACATACTTTTAATCTTCTAATAGATTTTTATTTCTATGTTAGCCAATAAATTGGGTTATTAAAATTTAGTTTGCGATATGATATTCTTACAGGGAAATGCATATAATATACTAGCATTGCGCATAAATTACTTGTACCGCAAGAAAATTCCCACGGAAAAGTAGACTATAACACGACAACTAAATCGAATATTACATGCGAGTGAAGCCGCGGGCAAAAGCTAGCACTTCTATATAATCAAATGTTTCCATTATATGATGGTCGAATTTGTACTTATTTAAAAATCAAAATAGTAGTAATGATATTTATAATATATAATAACCAATGGGAGACTTTGTACAAAAGTCGATTGCTTAGGTACCTCTGTCCCATTCGTGTTTCAACCATGAAGCAGTTATGTTTGCATGGCTGTGTTTCAGTTTGAAGGGTGGGATATGACGCGAATTTACTAGGTACAGAGGAATAACACCTGAGTCCTCAGGAATGGCAACGCATGGGGGGTATCATGAGCGAAACAGTATACTCTGTTATGTCCATTGTATTGCTCATGTCTATAGGCGATGGTTACCACTTTGCATCAGGTGGGCCGTCAGCCTGTTTTCCATTCTAAGTTGTATAAAAAAAAATTATTAAAGAATTGAAACACTTTTCTACATAATAAACTTTATTTATACAATGTTCCTTCATGTTATGCTATTGGCTTGCAATCATTTTTCTAATATCAATTTACTACTACTGCATCTTCATTTGAGACGTTCATTCTATTACATATTTATTATGTACAACGAATATGAACATCTAATTTACACATATAATAAATAAGAATAACCTAGGAAGATTTGTCGAATTACAAGTTTTGATAATGGGGCTTTTACTTTCAATTATTACTTAAATTTACTGCACCGCAGACAAATAGTTTAGTTCTATATATTATCGCTAGTAGTAAATTTTTAGTTATAAATTCATTGATCGAAATTGAAATTGTTAACTACTTAATTATATTTCACTGACTTAATTAAGATATTAAAAGCATTCATCCTTTCATATTTCCCTTGTTCCATACAATATGGCAGCTTTAATAATATTGTAAACATTCGATATGCTCTATTGTCTACTTACATTTAAGTCTAAATACTAAACATATTGTGACAAAAACGTTGGTTCGTATATTGTTTTGGCACACCATATTCAATCACACGTTATTCGATTCGGTACTCATATTTAAATATACAAAAATATTCGTAGGCATAGCTCGACTCACAGGAGGTGTTCATTTATCCGATGAACACTTTAAGGAAATAAATATTCATCACTAATCACTCTTATTTGTGAATTTATAAATAATTTCATTAGAATCGTAAAATTCTTATTGCTTTTACCGACAAAGTTTTTGCTCCGCCATAACTCCGAAAGTATCATCTGATCGATTCAGTTTAAGCAAATATTTTTTTATAACCTGCCCTCGTCACATGATTCACAAAAGAATTTCAATCGAATATATAAAATACCCAATACACTGCATTAAAAACGAGAAAACAAACAGGGAACACGACACGGGAATAGGTGTCAATTACATTCACATCTCTTATTTTGGGCATCGATGCTTTGATCACTGTAGCACCTCGACGAAGAGCGTGTATCATCTTAGGTTTACTTGTAGAACCATCTGAAAAAAATGCATATATGAATACATATTATTACAAATTAGTTGACTCTTGGTCTAAAATATAACTAAAAATTATATAAGTTGTAATTATATAAGTTTGTAAGGCAAGCAAACTCTAAAGGATTTATAATTATTGAGCCATAACTACATCACTACATATTATAAAAAAAAGTCCTCCGCCGCGTCTGTCTTATTGTCTGTTCGCAATAAACTCAAAAACTGCTACACCGATTTTCATGCTGTTTTCATCAATGGATATTGTTCTCGGGAAAGGTTTTACTATATAAGTTGTTATTTTTTTGTATACATTGGCTAAAATATAACGATATTTGTTGGATGTGTCGGAAAAAAACAAGCCGTCTGGTTTGAACAACTTTCAACGAAAACGCTGACTAAACTCTTTGAGATATAACAAAATAATGTATGGTGAAATTGTGTATCTTATATAGATCTACAAAAAAATCTGCGATGGCATTCGATTTGATGGTGAGGGGTGTCCGAAAGTTTAGGTGTATCAATTAATTATCAATTGTGTGTATCAATGTAAATTAATATTATGTATAACGAGGAAAGATGATTGATTAAATACGATTTAACTCAAAAACTTCTCGACCACTTTTTTCGAAAGCTACATCTTCTTGGAGTAACATAGACTATTTTATATTTTCTATAAAGTACTCATGCGAAGCCGGAGCGAGTTGCTAATCAAATATAAAATGAAAGTTCTTTTTACATAGTGAAAGATTAGGTATTTTTTATTCCTAAGTAAATTATAAGTAATTTCGAATATTTTTCTTTTCCCTGATTTATTCATTAAACTCTTTCAATAATTAAAAAGAAGTGAAGACTTTCTATGGAAATTGGATAGTTTTCAACTTGGAAAATGCAAATTTAGTATTTAAAAATTAAGTTCGATAAGTACAAAATCTTGGTAAAAATATACTTGATAAAGATTTGTGTTTCAGCGACCCGTTTTGCCTTTGGATTCGAGTTTATTTTGTGAGCATTATTAAAAAAATAGGTTCTATATATTAACTTCTTGAATTTCTAGAATGAGGTCGTGTCCTATATCGCAGATGTGTGTGCTCCCGCTGCAGCCTCAAAGAGGGCGGTGCTCCAGCAGAGGTTGGTAGTGGTTTCGACCGTAGGCCTAGCAAGGGCGACACTCTGCCAGCACTGCTTGTGCATTCACGAAGTGCTATGATTTCTTCCGGAGATCGGGAACCTGCAACAAAGGTACGTGATAGATTTTAGTTCTATTTCTTCTTTTATTTTTTTCCTTATTCAAGTTCGTTCTTATTGTTGTTCAGCGCACGATATCTTTTTTATCAAGATTCTAGCTAGATGAAAGGAAGTTACAACTTGAATTAGATTTTTTTTTTTTAATATTTTATGTATATTAAAAATATTAAACCTCTATAAAATTATTAGATTTTTTATCGCCTTCTTTCTGCTTATAAATATTAAATCATCGAAGAAGTTTGTACGTTTGTTAAACATCATCGTCATTTTTCTGTCCTTATCCCAATTCTTTGGGTTCACATATTACTATTAAATATAATGTTATTAAGTTCCACACTAACATAACAACCATATTTATAAATTTATTAATCAGTATATTTTTTGTGAATTAAAAGATAGAGATATCTAAATACAATAAATTAATGTATTACCTGTAGATAATTTTAAATCTTTCTCCACGCTGGCACTGGTGGACATCTGATCACGATTTTTTAACTTGGCTCTTTTCCTCGCCCTCGCACCCCAGTATGTGTAATTCACGGCCGCATACTCGAGCAATGCCGCAAACACGAACACAAAACACATAACTAGGTAAATGTCGATAGCCTTCACATATGAAATGCGAGGCAAACTGCTCCTCACTCCAGTACTGATCGTGGTCATCGTCAGAACCGTTGTTATACCTGAAGTTTTGTTGTTGTTTTTGATATCTGTTAACTTCATTTATGATAAAAATATATAGAATATATATAATACACAGTATATACAGATATTAGTTTTATTTAGAGTCATTACTCAATGTGATGTGATATATGTGTGTCCATAGAGTGACAATATGACTATTGTTACTCTATGGATAATCTATGGTTCATCCATCCAACTATATTAGAACATAATTGTCTCATCATATCATCGTATCAGTCCTTAACTGTCCACATAAGCCTCCCCCTATGGGGGTTTTGCCAAAAGTTGCTACACTTGGCAGGCATATTGGCAACCGCAATTAGGTTTTGGAAATGTTTTAAGAGGGGCGCTACTGCCCATCCCTTGCCCTCCCTTAATGTACACCCACGGAAAAGGAAGAAGTGGCTTATTCTATGTTGGGACCACACGGATAAGGGATTGTTACTAATGGGGTCTAACTGATCCATTGCTAGCAATACATCCTATCAGGTCGACCTCCACGCGGTTCCCCCTGAAAACCATCATGGTTAATTCTAGTGAAATTCATCACGATGGGCTAACTGACCTGCTTTCATCATCATCTGTCATCCCTCACTGGTGTCCCGCCAGCATAAACCAATAGCGCGAGCGGGGTTACTATTCCATTATCACCCATTAAAAAAAATATTCAATTGTGTCTTCCAATTCTTATTTTATTTACAAAAATTTAAAATTATATTCTTACCTAAAGCAACCCTAGCAGATGTGGCTTCGTGATTAATCCAAAAAGACACCCACGATAGCATCACGATTAATATACTCGGCAAGTACGTTTGGAACACGAAGTAGCCAATATTTCTACGTAGCTTAAAACTGAGCGATAACCGTTGATATATTCCCGTCGCCAACTTCTCCTGGAACGTTCAAAACTTAATTCAAATAATAATCCTAAAATAACTAATAGTTGGTTACTAAAATATATGTAACTAGGCACAAATCTCCAAATACCATAGTGACTACCTTCTTTTGATTCTAATTCTAACAATAAACTTAATACAGGAAACTTATTTTTTGTTGTTTTTAACATATTTCTTTATTCTATTTTACTGATTGAACACTCCCTTAAATAATATTATTTCTTCAATAAAATATTTTGAAGTTTCATTAATGTCTCAATTATTGTTATTATGCCGTTTCTACTAAGTTATATTGAGCTCTTTTACTTTATGTGTAAAGTTGTATATAGGTAAATTAAACATAAAAAAGTATATATATAATATTTACCTTTCTATCATTAGTTTCGTGACCTAATATAGTAAACTGTGGCAGTTCAGCATCTTCAACTCCTCGCACCGGCGTTTCCTTCCAGTACATCACCACGTCCGACACAGTATAACCATCTGTATATGAAGAGCATAGTTAGCATGCTGATACCACACCCAGTGGTCAAAGGACGATCCACAATTTTATCACATACCATTCTTCACAAGTATTCAGATTACAATCTAAATATACTGGCAATTTACTTTTTTCTTATTTAAATTCTACTCCGAATCAAAAAGTATCTGCATATATTCAAGCAAAGGACATAAAATATACTCGAAATAATAATTTCTTTATTATGTAGATAGGTATGTATCGTCGCAGAGACCACAGTATAAAATTAATTTATATAAATCGTTTAATTGATTTTTTTTTTATTTTAAAATTATTAAGTAGATATAAGCTGAGTTATGAATTACTCGTACTTGTAGGTATACTATCCATAAATCTAAATGTTTGAACTGAAGCTCGTATGAATATTGTTATATATAAGCGGACAAAGGCGGGAATTCTTTTGAGCGCAATACCTACTCTCCGCAGAAATTATATCAAGCAAATTAATGCCAGAAAGCTTTTAACGTAAAATTCGATTTAGTGACAATGCGCCAACAATTGAATATCATGTATAAAATATACGAAGGAAATAGTTTTAGAAGTAATTAACTTAAAATAAAAATAAATAGTTATAAAATCATTAGATTCTCGAAAGCGCCAATTTATAAATAAAATTACGTTGTTTTACATCGTTCTCCGATATAACCTTAAAAAATGTGTACGAGATATAAAATAAGTCTATGTTGCAAAGCAAGTGAGGAAGGGACTACAAAGATCAGACGGATTCGTTTGCAAATCAACTGTGGAAGCTCGGCCTGATGATCTATACAAGTGTATGAGTCACACAGCTCTCAATCTCGACGGTGCAGTTCTGGCTGTCGAGTGGGTAGTAGTGTAAGTCCATCATGCATGCCAGGGTAGCGGTAAACCGCATCCCGTAGGTGATACTGCCGTCCCCGCCGAGCCTCACCAGCTTGTTGCGCTCAGTCACGTCATGCAGGAAGCTAAAGAAGAAAACCGAAAGATTGTCCATGAAATTATTTAAATGTTACATAGCTATACAATATCTATACAATACAATGTTATATTTGTACTTGTATATAAGAATAGAAACTGATCGATTGATTTATAAACACACAGTTGAAAATACTTGTAACAGTATCGTTTTTTATGCCACGAAAGCACATTACTAAGAAAAAATATTTAGAAATAGCCATTAAAATAAATTCTAATACATTTTAGTTTTATCACAAAGTAAAAAACAATTAAAACATCAATATAGATATTATGGAGCTATTTCGCCGCAACTTCGTACAAGTAGATTTTAGAAGTAAGAAAACTAATGAAGTATACTCCTTCTGAATTACATATACTAATTTTTAAGTTAGACCTTCAGAAATACAACCGTAAAAGTTACATTTAATTTGGTGCAGAAATTTTTGCTTATGCCAGAACAATAATTATTGTTTTGGCTTTAACTGCTCTTATTAAGATCCTTTATATAAATTTTTCTCAAATATTTCTCATCTACAGACATGTTTTAGTTACAATTTTTAACCGACTTCATATTATATTACTAAGATTACTAACCTATTTTTATCATTAGCAAAAAATGTGTCTGGAACCCAAATCTTGTCGGCGAAGTCTCCTGATAGGGTCAAAACCTCGTCTGCGAGACCGAAAGCTAATCTTTCGTCTTTCCAATACTGATTTAAATAAAGTGTGATCGTGTAATCCTGCAATAGAGAAGACATTTAAAACCTCGTATATTAAATATCTTTTTTATGTAGCTTTATTTTATTAATTTAGCGATTAGTTATTACTAATCGCTAAATAGAAATTTTTTTCACATTAACTAGAGGAAAACGTGTTATCCCCATGGTAAAGTATGTATGTATGTAGAGTCAAATATTTTTATTATTATTATTTAGTTAGTATGCATGATCATTGTTATTTATTTTATTAAAAAACCAAAAAAAAATCTTGCGAATATAAAGAGATTAGTTAGTACAGTTTAAAAAAAATTAAAGTAATAAATACAACGATAAATATAAATTGTATAAAAATACAAATAATTGAAGAATGAGTTAAAAAAATTCCTGTGGTGTAACATCAATCATATGTTGGATAGAAAAAAAAAACTAATAGAATCATAAACATTCAATATAAAAGTAACTCTAATATCTGTGATATTTCACTGTGTGACAAATTTGTGGGATATCATGAATATTCCTTCTAAATAACGTAGTCTCTACTCAGTACTCATATCATAAGATCTTGTAACTTTTTTGGATAAAGATTAACAAGATTTTAGAAGATTTGGTGATAAAATTATTATTATTATTTAGAAGTTGATAACTTATTACGTTCTAACAAAAACAAAACATAAATAAAGTTAGGTGACGTGAGTTACTTTTACTATTATATTGATATCATTTTATATTATGGCGAATAAATCTGTCATCATTATCTTCGGCGACACTTAGAAAACTCGATAACCTGAGCTTAAATGAGGTTGTTAGTAACAACTCCAATGTTAGCTTATATTACTAACCTCCATACACTTTATCAAGTCGACCTACGATCCTCTTTAGAAACTTTGATGATTAATTCTCAGTAAATTCATCACAATGGGTTAACTGACCTATCATCCCTTGCTGATGTCCCACTAAGGTATATCGATAACGTAGGCGGAGTTTATCATTTCATTATCATTCGTAAAAAAGTTAACTAGTTACAAATAAGACATACACTATAATATATAGGTTAATCAGGCCATTGTATATCGTTCCATTGAACATATAAGCGTAAATCTTCCAGATCGCTGCCGTTGAACGCGTCAACATTTAGGTAGTGTTTCATTTCAGTCATATAAAATATGGGTTTGACCCTACTGGTACATATAGCCTAGACTGGTAAATAGGTATAGTATATAATGTATTTAGTAGGAATATAAACTACATGAGTGGGCGGTGACCTCTAGGAAGCCGCGAGTGGCGTGGCCGTAGAATTTAAAGGCAAGCATCGATTGGCGGAGTCAGCACACCGCCCCTCAACCACCGGCGACTCTCGATGTATGTCAAGTGACGGCCTTGCTCTCTTTTTGATGCTATTAAAAGCTTAATGAATTACGATGGACAATCTGCTCGACAACAGACTCCTTCGTGACCCAAAAACATCCTCAGCGGATCTCAAGATGTACTGGCGACAATTAAGGAAACAGAATAATAGTTATTAAGGTTAAAAAAAAGTAATTCCAACATTGTTAGGTTCAAAATATTTAAAGATGTCAGCACTTCTTCATAGCCCATTGTTTAAAAGATCTAGTAGACAAAGCATGATTATTCATTATTTTAGAATTATATACAATGTTTCCGACGTTTACGTATTGTTATATTTTTTACTTGATAGAGTTGTATTACTTCCCCAGGATGACATTTCCATGGTCTTACCTATCCAATCGTAAAATAGCATATATAGGTACATTACTGTACTTCGATATGTGACTGTACATCTGTTACGTCCTGTGGTGACTTATTTTATACAAATTGGAGTAGCAAACTAATTGATAGTCCATCTGATAGAATTTAATAACCATCGTCTACAGACATAAATGACGTTACGTCATGCAGTAATTATCTATACTATATCCCTTTCAGACCCAAGATTTTTTTCTTTCAGATTAAATATATTTTCGTGTTTAGGAGCCAAGCCATCTTGCCGGCACGCACGAGACTTCTGCACCACCTAACCGCTAAAATGATTTCTTATTGGCTGGTTTAGAATCTCACTATCATGTTATTTCAGCTTCGTGCGTAAAAATGAATTGCGCGCGGTTTTAGAATTTTATAAATTTACAACTCACGCCGAAAGGGATATACAAACCAAAACATACATATGCAAGTTCAACCTGCTTGAAGGCAAAATCCTGAGTATGCATGCAACTTAACTTTTGCATAAAATGTTTCTCTGTTTGGGCCTTCATGTTGGTTATAAATATAGACAGCGATTTTTACTTTTCATTAAGTGAACCGATATCTATTGTTTATATTTTAAAAAGGTATAAAAATATAAGAATGCTGACAAAAGGTTTCGCAAAACAAATACATACTACTTGAACGTTTGAAAAATAATTATTGTAAATAAATAAACGAAACAGTGACTTTCTTAGTTGTAACTGTGTTGTTCAGCCACCCTTGGCTCATCGGAAATTAAGTTGACAAACCTAATTATTTCCAAGGTAAATAATTTAAGATTTTGTCCGCAAGAAAATAAGATAAAAATGGGAAAATAAACATAAAGAATTTTTAAATATTGTGCTATATAATAGCTGTAAATATAGCTCCCTGTCGAAATTTTTTCAAAAGGTTACAGCATGAAGTACTTCAAAAAAAAGAATAAAAAAGTTTCTACGCATCGGCAACGCGCACGTACGATCCCTAGTATTGCACGCGTTCATAGGCTACGGTAACCGCTTATCATCAGGTGGGTCGTATGCTTGTTTGCCACCTCAGTGATATAAAAATAAATCTATACGCAAAAAATTCAGATGAATTTAGAACCTTTTTTAAGAAATCATTAATAAATTATAGGTAGGTATAAAAACAGTATGTATAGTAACAGTAACTACTTATAGTTGTAAATAACTTACCATGTTAACTTCAGATATCGCGTCAAAACTAGCAATCGTCAAATCCATCCCCACAAACAAAGGATCGCCTGAAAAGCAATAATATTTTATGCAACCAAGCAGCCATATGTCGACGTTATTATGCCAAGTACAAACCGCTGACAAATCACCGCGTTTACCTACTAAATTCAATACAATATTGAATCTTTATGGTTCATGGCTTGCAATAACTTGTAGGAACATACATCTTACTCGAGGAATGATATTTCTGAGATTACCTACGTTTATTTGTCGAGTGAATATTGCAATATTTTCATATTGCACTCTCAACTACCAACTCGAAATTACGGTAGTTCGTTACGTTAGGTCTATGTATACACACAAATATCAGATTACGCAAACATTAATCATGATATGCATGTTATATGTAAGGAATTTATATAGTTATATATAATAGTTTAAACAACTCTTAGTTACACATAGTACAATATTGTATAGGAATTTATTTATTGATACAAAACTACGTTATTATGCAAAGTTTTACCCAAATGTTACCTATTTTGCTATGAGGTAATGTCAATATTCTAATACTCTTAACTTTTATAAATTATAATATAATTATAAAATAATATGTCTAACTATTAAAAAGAAATATATATATATATATATATATATATATATATATATATATATATATATATATATATATATATAGTTCTTTTCCATAATTAGACAAAAACATTTTAAAGCTACTTTTAATAGCTAAAACCATGTTTTTTCTTGAGGACGTAGAATCAACAGTACGTATATTAATACAAAACTTAGATACTGTTTCTAATGGGTAAGACTTAAATTAAATTATAAAGTACTTATTATTATAGTCTGCCGTTGCTTACCACCGAAGTTGGGTCTCAGTCGGATGTCGTACCCGTCTAGTATCCGTGTCACGGTGTGAGTCACGTTTTCAAGACGGTCTGCCGCCGACACACGCTCGATTCTGTCATTATAACATTTTTTACACTATAATTATATTTGTCGTATTAAAATGATATTTTTATGACGCTTAGAATATCAATACCAAACAAATAGACGACCATCCTGACGAAAAGTGATATCCGTCACCTATAGATATGACATCACAAAGTACACTGTGGCGCCCGTGGTTCCTCCCATGCATATAATTCCTGAGGACTATGGTATTGTGCTTGCGTATCATGTAACTTCACTACCATACCCTTTAAACCGAAACATTGCCAATCACAGCTACTTATCAGCAGAAACACAAGTGGGGTTTTTGTCCCAAAATACTTTTGTACAAAGTCTCCCTCTGATGAACTAGGGACATTTTGGTATACCTACCTAGAGTAAGTATGAAATTACGAAATATATTGATAATTCAAATCTTTTACGTCTTCTTGCTGAAAAAATGTGATAACTTAACAAAATATTCGCTATTAGTTTTTACCCGCAACTTCGCTCACGCGACTGGACATGTCGCTTACCGGGACACTTACTTATAAAAAGTAGTCTATATTCTTTTCCATCTCATATAATACGTGTATATCAAATTTCATAATGGTTGGTGAAGCCGTTAAGGCGCTATAAGGCAAGAAACAAACAAATTCACTTTCACAATTATAATATTATTTTATATACATATATTATTAATACATACATATATGTTTAATACAACTTCTACAGTCACAGTATAATCTGTTACGTCTAATTCTATGTAGGTGGTTGTAATCCATAAGAAGGTATCAACGGCGATTACGTACTTGATACATTTCAACAGTTCGTAAGCTTATTTGCCTTTCCTGGTAGTAACTTGTAAAGTTCTGCTTATTCTGTTTAACTAATTGTCTTGTGATTTGATGCACACTATCAATTCTAGCTATATAAATAAATTTAATATGATATTCATTATAATAATCCATCTCAATCTTAACAAAATTAGTGTAAGTCCAACACGAAAGTTAAACCTACCAACTGTAAAAAATTATCAAAATTTGTTCAAAATTGATAAATATGTCGTGTAAAATACAAAAAAAATGGTAAATATCCATGTAACGAGATTATCGATTACATACGCGATTATTTATATTTTTATTTTATTTTCCTGCCTTATTTTTTTTTTATCTGCTATTCTAATTTAATAAAAAATAAATCATTAATAAATAACTGTCGCCCGCAACTCTACACATGTCCTTTCTTAATGTATGCTTATGTTGTAAAATAAATCTATGCTCTAAATATGTATGAAAATTAATAAGAATATATTTTCTGTTTTCGTAGTTACGTTTACGCGTTACTTTTTTAAATTTTATTCTTCTTTAATTAAATGTGCTGTGATAAAATAAATTATTCATATGGATATTTTACTCCTCATTATCAAAATAATAAAAATACCATCGATTTATTATAAAAACTAAAAGAAAAAAAAAGCATTAAAAACGTCAAAAATCGAAGAAATATTAAATGTATTCATCTATTCAATTTTTATTGATCACATTACAAATAATATTTGGTAAAAAAGGTGGAGTTAATCATCGTTTTCATCATATTAACCGTCTACTGTCCACTGCTGATCATTAATGAATGCACTCTAAAATTGATAAGTGTACAGATAAATTAAATTTATTGTTAAATAAACATTTTTTAAGATTAAATACCATGAATAAATACCATCATACTTTTTATGGAATATAACGATACAACGACAACAATTCTTTTTCACCTATAAAAAATTATAAAATAAATTTTTTTTTTCTTATTGGCAGGCAGATAAATTTAATAATTATAATTGAATGCTTTTCAAATATCTTTATGGAATCCCGTAGCTACAGTCAGTGTCAGTCGACAAATTCAATTCGCACAGAAATGAAAAGCGGCAACAATCAAAGCGGGAATATTTGCGGCGGTTCCTGGTGGCGGTGCACCGAGCCGCGCCGCCTACTTACTTGCCGACGGCCGACGGTATGTCTTTGCGGATGCCGCAAATATTTGCTAGTTAAAAATGTTACCCCACATTATTATCGTCTTTATGAAATTTTATTCGTGATGTAACATATCATTAGTTTACTGTTAAACAACAATCGCACAATACGTAAATTTCTTTTTAAAGTTCCTTATCAGTAGATATTTTCTGGATAAGCGAGGTCCATTTTAAATTTTATTATCACTTACCGTCACATGAAGTAGGATCGAGCACAAACTTATCTTGAAATAAATAAAAACCTATATGACTATATAAAAAAATTATAAATATAAATAAAAAAAAATGTTAATATAAATATTAACAATTAACACGTATTCGTATAATTTTTTTAGCATTTTAGATTTATAATATTTACTTAATAGGTACTTAATGACTTTCTTAAAAAGTTGTTTTAATAGAGATATATACATATATAATATTCTACAAAGTCTGAACAATATATTTACTTATCTCTATATTTTACAGTAAAGTTTCAGTAACGTATATTATTAAAAAGTTACTCACTGTGCTCGCACGATGTTTATCACTAATGGCAGCATAAGCAGCGCGTGCAGGCGACGGTGGCGCGCGCTGGGCGTGCGACGCGCGCTCATCGCGCGGGACGCGGCACGCGCATCGCGCTCTCACCGCAACCTGTCCACGTGCCTCGCCGTCCGCATCCCACTCACTGACCACATCATATATCTTGCAAAGTTTATTGGAACTTTTATCGCATTTCAAGTGGGAGGTGTGTAAGTGACGTAGCCGGTTATCGCGATCGCGATCTCTTATGTTGTCTGCTGGAGTGTGGCATGAGCGGCTGCAGCGACAGCGGCACACGGAGTGTCGCCGCGCGTGCGCTACGCGCCACGTCTTGCACGCTCTTGCAAAGCGCCCACTGTGAGGGAACGACTTTACTCTCGACTTTCAATCTGCGAAACTCTCGTAGCTCGAACCGCCTAGCTTAGGACGAAATGACCAGAAACCTATTTCTATAAGAATGTAACAATTTAAAACCTATCCTACTACCAATATTTAATTTTTGAAAACAAATATGTATTCTATGAAACACATTTTATACTTAGGTAAGTAATTATTTTTACGATTATTTGAATATCATAATTAATTAAATTGCCTATGTTGCCTCCAAACATAATGTTTACATAGTATGTTCACAATATATTTAGATGACAATTGTTCCTCTTGTAAATTGTCAACTATTGAATTACAATGATAGAAATTTAGTACTTATATAATACTAAATTTATGATCTGGTCAGATCATAAAAGTATAATACTAAATACTAAAATTCTGATATGAAGCAATCAAATATTTCATACTCTTTTAACTTCATTTTAAAATTTATAATCTAATTCGTTAAGTATTTTTAAATGTATCTGGAATACTATACATGATGAAAATAACAAAAATGTATGAGCACCGATATAACTACTACATGGAAATCTTTCTAGAACTTGCAATGGCACATTAAACGAGGATGGTGTGTTCAGGCAGGATGTGCCGCCGTGTCGTCAGTGAGAGGAGGCGTTAGGCTGCAGTCGACTGGTGCGGAAGTTATTTGCCGGCACGACCGCGCGCGCGTCCGCCTAGAGATTAGAACTAGCTGTGACGCTCGAAACGCATTCCATGATAAACATTGCATCGCCTACCTGCAGTCATCCCATGTGTATACCGACGGTTAACCACTAATACCTCCTAACATGTATAAAATATCTGTAGATTTTTTCTAACCCATCTTCTTTTTTGTGTAATACATATAAATATTTTTACACCAATATATATAGCTTTCATTGTATTTGGAATAAATTTTGAATTAAGATTTTTTGTGCTGTAAACTTTTATCTATGTTAGTTAGGTTGTAATGTTTTATTTCTAGTTTTCCTTCTCTTGCATTGATGTATTGTACTTTGTTCCTTTACTCACTTCACTTGATACGATATCCTGGGTATGAAAGAGTTGTAAAATATTGCACACTTATTGCGTACCCATATAGAAAAATAAAACATATGACTAAAACTAAGAGTCACTGAAGCACATAACAATTATTCACAGCATAAAGAGAAACCATTCGTGTATTTTTTATATTTCACCGGATATGATCGCTTTTCCAATCCGTTTCCAGATCAGTAGGTAGGTAAGAAAATGCATGCATATTGACAATAAACACATTCCAAAGGTTTCGAACTTACGACTAGTCTACGAGTATTCAGTTTCTGTCGTAGTTTTTAAAAAAGGGAACACTTGCTTGCTTTAAAATTTACAGTTCAATTATAATAAGTTTGGAATGTTTAAAGAATACTTTTGATGATAGGTTTTTTCGTTTAGTTAAACCAAAAGAAAATTGCAAAAAATAAAGACCCATCTAATGAAAAGTGGTAATCGTTAACCATAAACATGAACACTACGGAACATAACAATATCGTGCCGACCGACCATCACCATCGTGCGCTAATAGTCTACGCCTTTTTGAAAATGATTGTTATATGTATTAAATTTGTGTGTAGAGATACTGTAAATATATTTTCACTATGTAGCGTTTAGATATTGTTAATAGTTTTCTTGCATGTAATACAATCACAAGTTGATTTAAAACAAGTAAATAATAATTATTAAAATCGTTGATTTTTTTTATTTTATATAGAGGATCATCGTTTAATTATATTAGTATAAAAATACAAACTTTTTAATGCATTTAATAGCACTTATAGTAAAACTAAATCATAATACTTGTACATTAATATAATCTAAGATCTATGAAACCGTGTGACCTGTAAATAACCAAGAGGTTATAGCTCTTAGTCTCTTAGTGATTGCTTATACCGCACAGTGCTATTAATGGTAAGTGCTAGACTCTAAGAACTATCTATGGCTAGACTTTACTCGATGATAGCAATAGTACCACGAACATCTTTTTGACAATTAAAATGAGTGCTAGTTTCAAATTTGTGGAAGTCGGTTTTTAGAAATTGTGTTCTCATTCTTCTGAGTATTATGATTCATTATTAATCACTTAGTTGCTTCGTTTCACTCAGCAGCGCCCGTGTAAACTTTATTAAAGTTCTTTCGAAAAATACCTTTTAAATGAAAATTATCAAGTTGCTCTTCCTCGCTTGATTCTTGTTAAATTTCCTGGTGAATGATTAAATCGGAAAGTGGAATAAGAAAAAAAATTCTAATAGCAAGTAAGACAGACACCTGGAAACATTTTCTTCCTAGTTATTATATATACTTATGAATATATGAATTACCTAATGTTACAATTTAAAAAGTGGCCATATGGCCAATTATTACTTTTTCTAATAGGGATGAAAAACGGAAAAAATGTATCCACTTAATCTCAAAATTTGTACCTCATTCCTGGATTGAAAATAACGTCCGTTCATACTATAAAAATAAAATTAAGTATGTGTTAAATTGGAATATAAGGAGACCTATGCTACAATCAGATACAGTATCTTTCATTCATTTTCAGTAGGCTATCAGAACGCTAAAAACCTAGGTAACTTAAAGGGATTGAAAAATCTTCGCTATATAGGCACGAGGGCGGTTTGTTGAGCCGCGAGATTGGGGTAGGTAATGATGCCAATTTGAAAGAGACGTGCCACACTACCACACCCGTACCGCCGGCTTTCAGTCACATGTTAAATAAAAAAACAATTGAATTATTCAATGTTATTGTACATTCACGGGTATTTCCTACTATCCTGCATTATATTATAAAAGTGAATATTAGTAAAGATGTTTATGTTTATTATGACCACTGCCCAGGTGGTCTACCATGAAACGAAAATCCGAATTTTCGGGCTCAATTTCGTGTTTTTGTTCATACCAAAATCGACCCAGTAAATGAAGCTTAACATTTCGTTCATCATAAATCCTATCCTAATAGTCCAGATAAATGTTATTTTAACATTTTTAATAATTTTAAACGGCATGTGTTATGTAATTTTAACATCAAATTTCTGTTTCGTTCGTGCCCGAAATTTCGGAAAATATTTCATGGTAGGCCCTCAGATTAATTTATAGGATACTTTTTAAACTACGGACTAGTTAGTAATATCTTAAATATTAAACTTTACAACTGTATTTGGATGTTTGCTTTTTAATTACGCTTATACAGCTAACCGTATTGCTGAAACACGATTTCATTTATTTACAATGACGCAAAGTATTCATTTTAATTTCTTGATCATTTTTCTTTTCGTTATTATATTTTATGTCAACTTCAAATACTTCAAGTACAATTCTACTTCTTTGGACTGTAGGATTAATTTAAAAACTTTCTATAGCTAATAACATCTACATATAGCTAAATGTCTCTATAAAGTTTCATCAAAGTCAGTGTAAAGGTTTTTCGGTATATGCGGTCAAAGGAACAAAGAGAAAAGTTGTTTTCCGTTCTCTCCGTATCATTCATTACACATCGGATGCTGTAGTTTATTCCGATAGAATTTAATGAAAGGTAACCAAGTTTTGTTGTAATTATTACAGAAACACATAATTTCTTTCTTTCAAACACACTAAATGAAATTTGTAACAAATCAATCAATTAATTGATTTATTTTTTGTAAAACTTTTGGTCAACAACAGACTTATGACCGGGTCAATTATTCTTTTATTTATATTTATATTACGTTATTTTGGAACAATTCATTGGATAATTTATTGTATAGTCTACTATATAAAAAATATCAAATGAATTGTTGTTATTTGTTTAATATTAAATATAAATATATATTTTTAAGAATATTTAAAAAATATGCTTGTAATATCGGTAGATTATACAAGCATATTTCTTAAATATTTATAAATAAATGGTAAGAAATTTTTGCTTTTTCTAATTATGTTATCACCAATTGTGTGTTAATCAATCTGTCTGGTCAATAGTACACCTTCTTTATAACAGGTTTCATAAAACTGATGTACTTCGAGATTTCGTAGTAAAGGCATAGGCTGTGAGAATAGTCTGGCAGTCCCTGGACGAACATTACAGTTGGAAATGTAGAGGATTCTATTTCATACTAACACATATCTATCATGGTAAGACCATTCATAAGTTCACTCTTATGAAAGATTAACATTGTTTTATCAATAAATTATTAAAACAAAATAAATATGATAATTAAATAGAAATTATGAAAAATGGCCATGTGGTTCCGGCATAGTATAGGCCACCCCTACCCTTGCCATTTTAGGTCGACCTCCATGTTATTCCCCTGGAAACATCGTGGTTAATTCTTGTTGAATTCGTCACTATGAGTCCTCATCTATCATCACTTACAATTATTCTGCCAGCGATACCGATAGGGTAGGCAGTATTACCATTCCATTTTCATCCATAAAAAAAATACAAGCCGCGCGCTACGCAACAGCGGAGATAGGTGTAGTCTCGTAACAATAGCTACGAAATAGCTTAGAACGGCTTAGACCCGTAGCCGTTGCTACGCACACTCACGAAATAATGAATTCAGCCTAATTTTCAATCTCTGTTATAATTTTATGCTAAATTTATAAACAAGTATGCATAAATAATTAAATGTATGACATGCAAAGAGGCTTCGAACATAGAAAGTTTGTCTTAAATAAAACTTTTAAGACTATATAATATCGCATGTAGTGCTTGTTATTTATATATAAATATTACAGAAAAATTATTTAAAATGGCATCCCATCATGTATAAATGTACATGATGAGATCACTGCTACCTAATTAGCTTTAATAGATTTATCACGCACGAATTGCTTACGAGTATACAAATTCATAAAATATATAACATTCTTAAAATGATTTAGTAAATAGATATCATAGTTACAAAAACCGCCACTCAAATAGTCCTAGGATAAATAACGGGCGATAATACCGTCATTTAGACGGTCCTCATGTGTCGGGTACTGGAGATTTATAAAATGTTTCATTGTCAGTATTAACAGGGACTTTTATCATATTGTTTTTAATTATAACAATGGTCTCTTGTTCGCGTGGATTAGGATAAAAGTACCATTTACGAAAATACGGTCTATTTGTGTACCGAATTTCATTTAATTTAAAGCCTTTAGAGTGTGATTGAGTAACAAACATCGAAATGTCTTCACAAATCTTCTCATTTATAATATTCGTAGAATGGTCTGCATTCAAATTTCAAGTTAACCGCAGTGTTTATTTACAAACATTTGTCTTTGTTTCACTCTAGACTTAGTTACTTAAGTTAAAGAAAATGGAGAAATAAATATATTATAACAAGATTTCGAAGTTATGAAGTTTTAGGAAAGGAGAAAATGAAAATTTCCATTTCAATTAATCTTATAAAAGTGAGATTTGATTTAAAGGCGCATTTTATAAATTACGCTGGCTGTTTCCAAAATTTTTTATTTTTCCTCATCTTGATCTCATCATACATTTTTTCGAAGTAAGAAATACACACTAGCAATTTACAACAGTCTCATTCGTTTTCGTTAACTCGTGTTTCATTTGGGAATTTATTGGAAATTTTAAAATATTAGTTCAAATGCATACCTAATACAGTTATATGTTTTAAAATACTAAATAAATAAATTATTGAAAATTATTTCTTAATGTCAACGTCTTAAGAGGAATCTACTTTTTTAATAAAATTAATACGAGTATATGATTCAGCTGACAGGACGTCCTTTTAATATTCTAACGTAAACCATTTCTAAATTAATTGGACCGTGACATTATTTAAATGGCACTTCTATGTTGGAAAATTATATAAATAGGTTCAGTTTAAAGGGATTTGCTTAATAGAATGGCATCAGTTAGAGGATCGAGCGATTCCATTTCATTATAGAGTGGCAGAGAGCGGCACACTGCGTCGTCTACCAGCGCACCTGCAAACCAATCATCCGCGGCCTTAGGGATCATCATGCCATTTGCTTCCTATTGTTACACCGTAGCGTTTTGCATTTCAACTATAAATACTCTAATAGCTTTACCCACACAGATTAAGATAAAAATATGGTGTAATCTATGTAGGAAATTTTCTATGAATCTACTTAGTCGTCCAAGCGTAATTTAATATTAAACAACTTTTACCTTTACGATTGGATACATATCTATAAAATAAAATATCTATTACCTTTAAGTTACACATATACCTATATATAAGAGAATGTTGATTAAATATTTTAAATCTCTCAATAAGTAAATTTGTAATGTATTATTTTCATCGACTTCCTTTGTTTAAATTGTGAACATTTCATAAGTCCTACATATAATATAAGTGAATCTAAAGATCATATTATACATATATGATATACAGAATAACTGGTAATTCGACCAGAGTTCAATTAAGAGGCTATGTAGGAATAGTTAAAGATAGTTTCACTTTCCGAATATAAGCCGTTTGTGAGATCTATGAAATAATAAGTTTATATATTATTGTATCATGTATATAAAACTTTAAAAGTAAGGACAAAAAACAAATAAGACATATTTTTTTATTTATTTAAACACGGCACATGTAAGCATGAGAAGTTAAACTTGGGATAAATACCTATACCAGGCCTGATGACCTGGTGGCCAATGTATTGTAGTATTCCTCCTTTTAATAATCATAAATCGCAAGATCTACACCTTAAAATAAGTAATGAGATGTTAAGCTTAAGGTTATTTACAATTGAATTTTGAATTAAAAAACAAAAAGGTCACTTTTTTTTATTAATTTAAATCAATCGTAGTTTTAGTATAGCTTTTCACTTTTCCAAATCGCTGTGAATGTGGTGAATTCTTTTTTCCTTGTTTATTTATATAAAATAATCTATGGTCATTTAAAGTTTATAGTCACATTGGTTTATGATCATGAAATGGTTGTTATGAAAGTATTCGTTAGTTCTTTATTTGTTAATAAACTATTTTATTTAACTTTCAATGGAGTCAAAGCATATTAAAATATGAATTACATAAGTGGCAACAAGTAGGGTTTGTACAAATATTTCGGACGTATATCGAATTGAAAGTTCATTTTTGTGGCGAGATTCGAAGGTTCGCTTTCCAATAGGCAACACGCCTGCGCGTGGCTCGACTGTGAGAAAATCAAGTCAGATGGCGAGTCCTACAAAACGTTGAACATCTTTGCCGCACGCCGACTGCGGCGCCACAGACGCGCAACACAAACTAGCCGCGATAACAACACGCAACAACACTTTCAAAGTACACAAGCGCCCTTAAAGTAAAACAAAGTAAGCCTGAGCTATGCGCAAGATATTCTTAATGCGTACCACGATGTTGACTGCAAGTTTAATAACAATCCTTCTCGGGTGAGTACACAGAGTTCCATTTTTATTTAAAGTACTTATTTACCTATTTTATTTATAAAAGAATTTGCATAAGATAAAATGATTAAGAAGTAAACACCAGACTTGTACAAACATGACTTAATTATGATACAATTGAAATATTACCAAAGTCACATTAACTTGTTCAAACTCTAGAACACTGATCGTAATCGAAGAATGGAAACGATTTAGCATTTTTAATTTAAATTGTCCTTGTAAGAGGAGGACCTTCGTCAAGTGCCGCCGCTTTCTTTGTATTGTACCGAACACGAATGTCGAGCGTAACACGTAATTGTTTTTTTTCCTAGCGTCAAGACATTTTACAATAATGTAAAACATTATGTAAAAATGTTCATTTTGTTCAACAAACAGCGATTTCATTCGTGATAATACAAACCTATAAACGACTAGAAGATTCGTAGTCGCATTAGTTTTTAATTAACTTACCATAAAAAAGTCAAACTTGCAATAACCAGGTGCTTGCTGCAGTAGTTTTTGCGTGATGTCGAAAGAAACATACAGACAAACAAAATTCCTAAAAAATATTATTTTAGCATCTATTGGTTTTATTAAGACCACCATATTATTATTATTTTTTAACTCTTCTATATACAGATATCAAGTAAAATTGGACACTTGGCAAGAAATTTTTTAATCACTTAACAATAATTGAACCGTATTGATTTTTATTATTTTATAATAAGATTTTCATATTTTAATAATATGTCTATATTACAACAGTTTAAGGACTTTGGAAATTTACATACTTAATAAACATTGCTACACTAATTAAATATTATTAAATTTATTTTTATTTAATAAATACTGTTTAGATAAGCGATGTTTGAAATTATTTTTGTAGTACGAGTAAAAGCGTAAAAATTTATAAATAGAAAGAGGATTAGTAAATTTTGCTTTACAACAACCAGTTATTGCTTTATAACGAAATACGGCGGTTTCAATCATCATAAATGTATAAAGGGAGCAACACGAGAGTATAATGATTACAAAATGATTTATGAAAATCAATGTAGAAATAGCGATATAATCAACAAAAGAATCAAACGAAATAAGAAGAAAAAATTAATGGAACGCTAAGTCACATTACTCACTTCATCTCATATTTACTGCTAGCTGTATCCTGTGACTTCAGCCGCATGAATCAACATATAAAGTATCCCATTATAAGTATATTCTAAATAAATTATATCCTAGTAAGACTTAGTATTACAATATACTTACAAACATTTATAAAATAAACATACATAATCAAACAATTAATTATAAATTAAACCTATAATGTTTTAATAAAAAAATAAATGTAATTAATAATTAGTCAAAATAATATTTATGATCCGTACCCTTATATGTTAAGATATTACCTATATGCATGCAAAATTTCATTTAAATCCAATTAGTAGTTTATTGCATGAAGGATTAACAAAGGCGAAACATTTTGAAAATATACATAAATATAAGTATTTATGTATATTTTCAAAATCTTTTGCGTTTATAATAATAGTAGGATAGTACGAAGACTTATTATTACTGAACACTACTAAATTGCCCACAGAATTTATAAACTATACACTTTATCAATCAAATATCAATTTCATTATGTCGGATAATTTATAACTGAATATTTTGAAAGGTCCATTGTTTGCCAACAATATAGTTCAGTAAACAATGTTATTTACAAACAAAACTTTCTACATTTATTTCATTGTCAACTTATATTTATTTCCCATTTAATTAATTGACTCATATATTTAATAAAAAAAAAATTATAACATAATATATGTTAAATATAAACAGATAAATAAAAATAGATACTACCGATTGTATAAGGAATTTTTTTATACAACTTAGAATGGCAAACAAGCTGACGGCCCACCTGATGGAAAGTGGTAACCGTTGCCTATAGATATGAGCAGTACCATGAACATAACAGAATATACTGTTTCGCCCATGATATCCCCTCCCCCATGTGTTAGCATTCCTGAGGACTCAGATGTTATTCCTCTGCACCCTGTAAATTCACGTCATGCCCTTCAAACCGAAACACAGCCATGCAAACACAACAGCTTTACGGTTGAAACACGAATGGGACAGAAGTAGCCAAGCAAACAACTTCTGTACAAAGTCTCCCTCGGGTATCATCACAATCGGTCCAGAATTGACATAAAAACACGCGAATTCCAAATGTCTTGCTTTTTTAGCGACAATTTCTTTCTGTAAATGATAGATAGATTTATATCCCTGTTAGTCCCATATTAATTTTAACTATAAGTAACGGTTAGGTAAAAAAATATTAAGTAAATACATAAGATGTTAATAATATTTTAACTGAAACAATGCTGATGACCAGACAGCCTAAGCTACAAGACGATAGTACCAGAATTAAATGAACGTAGCCTTATACTGCCTAAAACTTACGTAATTTAACAGTCGGGTTTTTTGTATCCTCACAACGCGGCCACTTGTCTAAATGAAAAAGGCCTACATTTAGAGATACATACAGCCATAGATACAGACAGCAGACATATCTATCCCTTTTGGGAATAATCATTCAATTATAATTCGCTTCATTAATTACTATAAATACTTACATAGAGTTACAATTAATATTTAAATTTTAACATAAAATTATATGAAAGTGTATTGCGATTTTTAATTCCATTCACATATTATAATAATGTATATATTATGTACTAACATAACTATTTCTGCACATCCTAAAGGTTGACTTATAAAGAATGCTTATAACATAAAGTACGTCCATTGTATGCACATTTTATTGATCAATAAAGTTAAAATAAATTAAGACACATTATTTACTTTTATTTCTTATAAATCATTATCATAAATACTCTATATTATTTCTTCTCTATTAAAACTTTACCAAAACTCTATAATACGAGTATATATAATTATCCACATATGCCTAATGGTAACTGTATAAAAATATATTTTAAAAAGAATTAATTAATAGCTGGATGATTATTTACTGACTATTACAGGAAATAAAAGATATTTGTAATCTTGATAGCTTGTTTAATGCGTGTTCTCTCGACAAAAATTAAAGCAGAAATGAATGACCGCCATTCCATTCGTTCTTGTTCTCACTAAAAAAATATAATTATGAAAAAAATTAAACCGGTACATGGTCGAATCAATTGCTATAATTAGAATAAATTCATAATTAAAACAATTGACATTTTAATAACTAAAAGGCATTTACGTGACAATATATTATTAATATTGTAAACTGTTAACTGTCCATTGCTGGACATGAGCCTTCACCATAAGCGGCGTTTTGCCAGTAGTTTCCACGCTTGGCAGGCGGGTTGGCAACTGCAGTTAGGCTCTTAGAGATGTTATAAGAGGGACGCTGCTGCCCATCCCTCGCCCTCCCTTAGTCGCCTCTTACAACATACATGGGAAAGGAAGAGGTGGCCCATTCTATGTCGGGGCACACACAGCAATTAATGACAGGATTATTAACTATAGTCTAACATAATGTGAAATATCTTTATTTATATGATTAATAAAGATAGAACAATAATAAGCAGAAAAAAGAGGGATGCTATTATAAGTTTGGAACATTTGTCTATGGATTTGTATATCTGTTTGTGGCATCAAAATCCGAGTTCTTTTGTCTGTGCTTTACCAGGAAAGCCTTTGTCGACCTGAGCGCTTTAAAATCTTATATTATATTATTGTCTATTTTCGCTTTTCTTAATCTCTTTACTATAACTTATGTTACAATTTAACCTATTTCAATGCGGATTTTAACCCACTATACAAAAAGAGGGATAAGTTTTCAAGTCTTTGCCTGTTTATGAATTGTTTTAACGTTCCCAAACAGAGGGGCCGATACCAATGAAATTTGAAGGGATGTCGACAAATCAAGATAGTATGATGATGATAATATTTTAATGGGTAGTAAGTGATTTTATATGTTTAATTTATTACTATCCAATATCTGTTACAAATTTTCCACATTTGCTGCATAAGTATTTACCGAAATGAATAGTAGCGTCACTCAAAATATCTAACTAAACACACATTATTTACTATAAATTTATATTTGCGGCGAGACGAGTAGAGATATTTCGAAACATACCTGAAATAAGTGTTAGACTGATACAAAGGACGCGAAACTATCTCTAAAGTTATTCACAATCCTCCCCTCCCCTAATTCTGTACTTTACTAAAGGCTAAGTTAACGAAAACGGCAGGTAAACTTTTAATGACTTCTTTGAAAATCATTAAGTAATAAGATAAACAATGTTGCTTATCGTAGGATATAGTTGTAAGTTATGCAGAGTACCGTATTACATTATGTATATACAGTATTTGCATTTATTTTTAATAAATATTTTTTAATAAATATAACATTTACTGTTACTGTAACATATTACAGTATAATCTAAATGATAGTGAAACCCATATCAATATCTGTTATGAATAAAGTAAGAAGACAAATAGAAGCGAATAGCGTTTATTTACTTATTTTCTACTATTTCAAAATAAAACTGCATACAAAATGATACCTTGGATATTATACTGTATGTGCTTTTGCCTTCAAAAAAATAAAATCGTTGCCTTACCTTCCCAAATTACCAATCCGTACCACAAATACTTCACGTTCCAATCTCATAATCCTTGAAGTCCACTCCAGTTATTTCCTTTTATCCCTTAACTTAGAATTTCAACCATTCCTTGGGAAGGCCCGACTCTGACTTTTCGATAAAACAATGCAATTTCATTTAATTTCATGAGAAGATTTAAATTAGTTATAGTACCCACTTAATTAAAATAAATAAATTGTAACGAAATAGCAAAAACGGTATGAAATTTGATTAAATTTTTTTTATAGGTACAATACCAAAAAAAAATTATAGGTTATTTTATGTGGTTATGGTTTGAACTTCGTACTAATGACCGAGTCGATCAAGATAAAAAGTAACCAATAATCC